ACAATTTTTCTCCCTTTCATGAAAATAAATGAACCAACAGTAACACATTTCTGTCCAATTTATTCAGGAACTTTACATCGTAGATTCTTAATCAATGACACTTAGCTCCATCTGGGTATTCCATACCATAGGATTGTGAATGTTCATGTACTTGTCTTTCAGTTTACTTTTATATAGTCTCTCGAAGTACAAGTAGATATTAATTACGAATTTAGCTCATACTAGCTACTGTGAATTGATTTATTTTTCGTCGATTGAGGAAAAGACTTCTTTTCATGGATATTTGATTTGTGATAATAGGTATTTCCAAAGTTTGCATACAAGCCTATAGAAAATTTGTACTCAGTTGGACACTAACATTTGTGGTTCATCCTTACCCACGCAAAAATTAGTATCCAACTAATAATAATTAATCCACAGTAACTAATAAAATTGAGAATGGAAATGGGGAATGTGTCAAAGAGACAACAACCCGACCATAGAGCAGATAACAGCCCAAGGCCACCAATGGGTCTTCAACACAACGAGAGAATCCCGCACCCGAAGGTGGGCTTCAGCTGGCCCTAAACAAAAAAAAGTTTTAAATTGATGTCAACAAGCCACTAAGACAAATTTTGTGATACTAAAATAGATCACAACCAGCTTCTCATCCCTCCTTTTGCCAGTGCAGGTAGATATCAAGAAGCCACTTATATTGATGACTGTTTAACATCTAGCAACTGTTACTGTGATTACATGTATATTCAGGATGAGAACATATTTAATGTTATTGAGATATTTAACACACTAGTTTGTATCCGACTAACATACAGAGCTGGGATATCCAAAAAATAACAGGAAGCAGGAACACATGTCAATTTACAAGAAACTTTTTTTTTACTCAGTAACCAGTACCAATGCTCCAACTCTAAATGTTTGGTGCTTAGAATAAAGATGCAAATACTAATTTTCAAGTCTTGTTTTGACCTACCTAGCAAGCTACCATGAATGTAGTCGGCCAAAAAGTGGTTGAGATTTGTGACTGTACATCATATTTTTTTTTCGTTTGTTTTGTACATAAATCAGGCCATTGCTTTTCTCATTTGAATTGTATTGCATTTGTTATGTCAGGCCTTTGATAGCTTGCTTTTGGTTATGGCTTTTGTTCATTATTGAAGGCCATACTGCGACCTATAGTCGTTAACATCCGTCATTTTGCCTGTGTTGGATAGCTGTCTCATAGGCAATTGTACCACATCTCCTTATTTTATATTAATAACATAATTAGTCTTTCCTAAAAATTTGCAACTTTTCAGTACTATTATGGCCCAGTCAGGAATATTTAGAACTTAAGGGCTTAATTCCATTCATAGTTTATTGCCTATTTACTTCCTAGGCCTATATGAAAGAAGGAGATGTGGTATGATTGCCAATAAATCTTATCATCTTGAGTCATTGTACAGTTCTTAAACAATAAGCAAAGTGTGGTTTCTACAGAGTGGTTGTAGAGATTTTGTTTCATGAATTTATACACCATATATCTTTTCCTTGATGTTAAGAGAGTTTTAAGATCAAGAGACCGTACACTAGCAAGATGAATTACAGGTTATGAGATAAATGACAACCACACATAGAAAAGTACTTCAAAACTAAAAGCTTTAGGCAATACAAATTTCTGAAAATATTGAAGGTTGAGCATATCTGTCAAATGTCTTGAATGAATGTTCAACTCTGATAGCCATCTGAAGAAAATTTGAAAAAAAATATTCGCAAAAGGCCTTCTATAAAATTTATCATTTCTGTCGGGAATGACATGACTGCCAGAGGCAATATTAATTCAGATTGGTCAGTTTTAGTAATTCTTCCCTTGATCTATAAGGTCATTTTTTATGCCCCCGCCATAGCGGTGGGGGCATTAAGTTTTACCCTTGTCCGCCTGTACGTACATACGTACGTACGTCCATCGGTACGTCCCGAAATTCCATTCTCTAACTTGAGTTTGCCTTAACCAAATGTTATGAAACTTTTACACAATGCTTATTACCACAAAACACAGATCAAGTTTGAATTTTGGTTGTGTCACTTTAACTGTTCTAGAGTTATGCCCCTTTATAAATGGAAAAATTGCAAAATGTTTAGTTTCTGTTCTATAACTTAAGTTTGCCTCAACCAAATGTTATGAAACTTATACACAATGCTTAATACCACAAGACACAGATCAAGTTTGAATTTTGCTGGCGTCACTTTAACCTATCTAGAGTTATGCCCCTTTATAAAAGGAAAAATTGCAAAATTTTTAGTTTCCGTTCTCTAACTTAAGTTTGCCTCAACCAAATGTTATGACACTTATTCACAATGCTTATCACCACAAAACATAGATCAAGTTTGAATTTTGGTGGCGTCACTTTAACCGATCTAGAGTTATGCCCCTTTATAAAAGGAAAAATTGCAAAATTTTTAGTTTCTGTTCTCTAACATTAGTTTGCCTCAACAAAATGTTATGAAACTTATACAAAATGCCTATTACCACAAAACACAGATCAAGTTTGAAATTTTGGTGGTGTCACTTTAACCGTTCTAGAGTTATGTCCCTTTATAAATGGAAAAATTGCAAAATTTTTAGTTTCTGTTCTCTAACATAAGTTTGCCTCAACAAAATGTTATGAAACTTATACAAAATGCCTATTACCACAAAACACAGATCAAGTTTGAATTTTGGTGGCGTCACTTTAACCGTTCTAGAGTTATGTCCCTTTATAAATGGAAAAATTGCAAAATTTTCTTCTAAATATCAAGTTTATAACTTATTTTAAAAATTGGAGTTATCTTACTTTGTCCATGATTATAGTTGAATCAACTTCAATCGATGCTTTATACAATGCAATGTTTAATGTTGACTTCCACTGATAAAACACAGATCAAGTTGAATTTGGGTAGTGTCACTTTAACCATTATTGAATTATGCCCCTTTATAAATCGAAAGATTGCAAAAATTTTAGTTTCCATTCTGTAACTTAAGTTTGCCCCAGCCAAACATTATGAAACCTATACACAATATTCATTACCACAAAACTCAGTAAAGATCAAGTGCAAATATTTGGTTTCCGTTCTCTAACTTGAGTTTGCCTCAACCAAATGTTATGAAAATTATACACAATGCTTATTACTACATAATACAGATTAAGTAAGAAATTAGGTGGCAACACTTTTACCATTCTTGAGTTATGTCCCTTTATAAACATAAAAATTGCTGAATTTTTTAGTTTGTCTCAACCAAATGTTGTAAAACTTATACACAACTGTTCTAGAGTTATGCATGTTTACAAATAGAAAAATTGCTGAATTTCTAGTTTCTGTTCTCTACTTAAGTTAGCCTCAACCAAATATTATGAGACTTACACACAATGCTTATTACCACAAAACTCAGATCAAGTTCAAATTTGGGTAGCGTCACTTTTACCGTTCTTCGGTTATGTCCCTTTATAACTATATGATATGCAAGCGGGGGCATCATCTGTGTCCACATGTGGACACTATCCACATTTATCATAACATACAGGAATGAAAATTATGAGACTTCATTTCATGGTAATCATGTAACACACATTGTGGCCTTATTGTCAAATAATTTAATACCGGGTACCATTGAATCCAAGAGGAAATATAAATTTAATCACCACCACTTATTAATAATTAAACCAATCAATATAGAAAAATATTGAAAAAGTTGAAAAAGGCCACACAAATTTTATTCAAATTTGCTTCAGTAAGTAATTGTTAGGTCCTGCCTATGTTAGTAGGGGGGATTATGTTTTCTGGTATGCATTACCATCAGTTCATTTGTCCGTCCCTTATTACCGGAAGGTCAAAGTTTAGGTACATGGTAGTTTACCATGATGTTGCTGTCACATCAACTTGAAATATGTTCATTATAAAGTAAACTTTTGAATTATATGCCAAATTAAGGTTAAAATATGGAAACATTCTAAAGGCTAAATTTTTCAGTTAAGATAAAGACTAAGTTTACAATGAAGTTACGATCAACTGGTATTTATTTTAGCTCAATACTAGTGAAAGGTTGTTGGTATGAATTAAGTGCAGTGTAGTACAAAAAAAAAAATCCTACCATCAAATTGTCTGTTTAATCTGGGACTATTAATACTAACAATTTATTATGGCCCAGGTTTAATTTATAAGGTGGACTAAATGAAATGAAAAGATAGTCAATGAACACTAGTTTTTTCTTGTATTCTTTGGTATGGAAACTTCTATCCTTATTTAAGGACTAACAAGTTTAAAGGAGCAAAGTAAAAGATATGATTGTAATCAAATTGATAGGTCTTTGTTTTGTTAAAAAGTTTGGTGTTTCTCTCCAGGCACACTGGCTTCCTCCACCAATAAAAACTGACTGCCATGTAATAGCGCTGAAAGTGGAGTTTAACACCAATCAATCAATCAATATAAGGGGCCTAGCTAAGCCACAAATTGCATAATTCTTTAAGTTTCATAGTTACAGTTTAGGGCTAAAGGAGTAAAAAATACTGTAATACCAATGGGGCTGGTTATGAGGGTCTGAATGGGGTATACAAAATAGAAAATAATGGTAAAAAATTGAAGATAAAGAGGACATAAATAAAGAATAGAGATAAGTAAAGAAAAGGGAATAATGGGGTGGTGAAATAAAAAGAATAGAGGATAATGGTCATAATAATAAAGAAAAAAGAAAAATGATCTAAAATGTTAAGAATAAAGAAATGAAGGACCCTGATCCTGTTCCTTGGTTATGGGAACCAAATTTATTTTTGGTGCATAGGGGGATGTTGTACAACATAAATTTTAAATTGTTGATATCGAAGGGGTCTAAATAATCATACTTGGTGAGTTGAAGATGACCATTCTTCCTTAATCAGACTGTATAGTTAAAAAAGTTTTGTGAAAAAAAGGATTAAGATGTATTTAAGCATTGATGGGGAAAATGTTAAATGAGAAAGTTTGTTACTAACTCTTTTATAAATTTGCAGATGTGATCTTGGATGTTGTTTTATCCCTTTCTGTGTGGATGGTTGTAAAGATGTCATCCATACTTGTCCAAGTTGTCGCCAGACAATTTCTAGATGGAACAGAATGTAAACAAACCAGCCAATTGATGATGATTTGACTTTGGACCAGAATGATGAAGGAGAAGATGCAAATAAAGTACAATATTAGACGTTATGCTTTTATTAATTTTATTGTGCAAATTTTGTTGTGAAATGAAACATTCCATTTTTCTGTTTAAATGAGAAATTTAAGATTTAAATTTTCATTGACACTATTCTTTATGATATTATCATGAATGGTAATTCTATGATGTATTGAATGGCTTAGTTTTACATTTTTACATGGCATATTTATGTTTTTAAAACTAAAAAGATCTGATGATTTTATAAGGTGTAGTGCATTAGTTTTTTTAATCACATAGAAATATCTAGAATTTTTTCAGAGATCATCATCCTCTACCCCTGCAAAGAGATTTTGGAGGATAAAAGGAATCAGACTGTCATTTGTTCCTACAAAATTATTTGTTTGTATAACTAAAATAATGTCATTTAAACTTCAGAATTTTGGGACTTACATTTTATTTTTTAATATCATGTGTCAAAGTCAATATTCTTATAAAATTCTTTTTTTTTTTAAAGAATATTGCAAAGTTAGCAAATACCTAAGGCAGGTGTCAATGCTGAATGTATGTGCCACCTAAAATTTGCTTTTCAAATTTATGGGTTTGACCAAAGCGTTATGAGATTATTAAACTTTTAAAAAATAGGTGGTGGTTGCATTTCATCTCATATAAAGATTTTTTTCTTTTATTAAATCAAGGTTTTTTTCAGTTCAGATTGAATTACTTTAATTCCTCAGCAAACAATCAAAATCATGGTGGAAATAATGGCAGAAGGTATGCAGGGACTGGGCTTTTTTTTATGGTTTCAGGTTTGCTGATTTAATTGTTAGAAATTTTATAATTTTTTATTGAAACGCTCTCAATGTTAATTTTTGACAAGTTTTGGTCTATTCACTAATCTTGTCTGCAAAACATAATCAAAATCATTTGTTTTTAATCATTCAATATATTACATATATGATGTTATTTGAAATGCAATTTAACTAATGCAAACATTATGTAGATATTATTTTGTTGTTGTTGAAAAATGTATACTATTATATTATAACTTCACTTTCATATAAATGCGGGGTATTTGTCAATGAGACAGCAAACCAATGACACAAAAAAATCAAAACACAACTTTCCACTTGGAAATTTTGTATTCCATTTTACTATATTAGATGTACTTTCAAATTAAAAAGATATATTTGCTACCTTAAGAAATGCATGTTTAGAAATTCAGATATGCAATAGATGAAAGGTCAGAATAGAGAATAATGGACCAATTTACTACAAAATAATAGGCAAAAAATACAAAGAATTGAGAAAAAATAGACAATTTAAGTCAAATAAATAATAGAGAGGAATGGGATGTTAAAATATAAAGAATAAAGGGCAAAAGTATAAAGAATATAGAAATATGGCTTAAAAAATTTAAGGAATACAGAATTGAGGCACCCCATCCAGACCCTAACAGACTGTAACATATTCAAGTATAAGTACAAAAGCAAAGTGAAAAGTTGGTAATGCCAAAACACTCAATTAACAGGGCCTGGTGATGATATTTAGTTTGACTGGTTCCTGTCCTTTAAAGACCTTCTTCAGAGGCAGAATGAGAATATTTACATAGTATTTGATAGTTATCTATATTCTAGATAATTATCCTGATTTTTATTCCAGATAAGTACAACTTCTGATAACAAATTTAAGATGAGCCTTTAAATTCAGCATTATTTTTATTCTACACACTATAGGCCAAAACAGTTGGTTGTTGTAAATATCTTTTTAATTCATGTACCATATTCTTTTACATCTTTCTTCTTTTTAAAAAGGTCATGTTATTATATGTCAGTTTTAGCCAAAATATTTTAACCAGTGATTTGTAAACACCCCTTTCACTTGGAAACTTTGAAATCCATTTTGACTATTACTATCGAAATGTAAGATGATCCTACTCATTGAATAGGATGGTTTGTTATTGTAACCAGCATTGAATAGGATGGTTTGTTATTGTAACCAGCATTGAATAGGATGATTTGTTATTGTAACCAGCATTGAATAGGATGGTTTGTTATTGGAACCAGCATTGAATAGGATGGTTTGTTATTGGAACCAGCATTGAATAGGATGGTTTGTTATTGGAACCAGCATTGAATAGGATGGTTTGTTATTGTAACCAGCATTATGAATTTTTGGTATTATATTCAACATTAAACTATTTATTTAAATTCAGCAAGATGCCTTTTGTATATAATTTCCATTATGAAATTCATTTGAAGACAGCATTATAATTCTTTTTCAATTTCAATTCAATATAACAATGCCTGTCCAATGAAAAAGCATGTAAATTAATAAATAGACTACAGGTATATATACGAGGGTGTGGATGGGGGTTTACAGAATAGAGAATAATGGGCGAAAAAATTAAAGAATAGAGAAAAATGGACCAAAAAAATAAAGAATAGAGAATAATGAGGTGCTAAAATACACAGAATAGAGAATAATGAGCAAAAGTATAAAAAAATAAAGAATACACAAATGAATATGCAATCCCTTGATCCTGTTGAATAGTAAATTGTATCAAGGTCTGCTGAACCCTATAAAAGGTTATTCAGAAGACCTTGACTTTACAAGAAAGAATGCTACCTACACATTTCTTTGATATAGATTCACATGCATAAATTTTCTGTATCCATTGCTTGTAAAAGACACAATAAAGTGGACATGGAGAGACGCTAAGACCTATATGAACATTCAACCTAACAAGGTTTCACCCATTCTTATTAGAAATAGAACATTCAAATGAAGATATGGTTATATATAATCAGATTGGTTGTCAGTTGTTGGTCCAGAGGAGGGTGGCATAGAAGGCCTACCCCCCTTTTTGATTGCCAAAAAAAAAATAATCTCATGTTTCTCATGATTTATATGATTTATAGCCATAAAATTGTCCATTTGATTTTTATATATTCCATTTTCTGAAATTACTCCCCCTTTCAAAAATTTAGCATCCGCACCTGGTTGTTGTATTGAATGCAATAGCATAAAAATAAATTGTATATAACAAAGCCACATTTTAGTGACCTAATTATTAATTCTGAAACTGTGCTACTTTTGCTATCTGTCACTAACATTTAGATGTGTTTATGTCTTAAAAGTGATGATTTTTTTTTGCATCCATTTTACATAAAAATTCACAAATTTGACCAAAAATATTATTGATCTCAAGGTTATAGTATTAAAAAGCATTGCAATGTAAGACAAATAATCAAATCTAATGTACATCTTTTTTTTAGTTCTCAGCTAGAAAAAAGGATAGAAATATCTTGCTTGGAGGCATTTAATTGCTTTTCACATCTCATAGAAATGAGTTTTAAATTCCAAAGACAATGTATCTTTACAAAGTGAGAAATTTAATTTGTGATGTAATTTGACATACAAAACAACGGTGCCACCTAGTGTGGAAGAATGGATATAAGTGAAATCAACAGAAAAAGAAGTGTAATGATCCAGATTTTATCAATTGGATGTTGAGCGCCCATTGATATTTTTTATGTTTGCAATGTTTTAAAAGAATCTGTATTTTATACCCTGTTAAAAAATTTTAGTACCAATAGTTGATTGTTTTATTTGACATAGAAAAATATTAATGTTTTTTTTAGTTTAATTATGAGAAAATGATCTAAATTATGTAACTTGAATGTCAGTTGATGCAAAGAATTGTTCATGTATAACAATAAAACTATTAACCCACAATTTCTCAATTTATTTTGTATATATATACATTTGCTATATGGTCTTATCATTAGCAGGAACCAGAGAATGCACTATTAAGTAGTTCATGCCAAATCTTGTTACAGGTATGTGCACCACTCAACTATATAGGATTTATTGATCAATTGATTATTTGCTTTACGTCCAGTGGCAAATATTTTATGCATATTCAGGATGAGAACAAATTTACAATTGATTATACAACAGATAGTTTTGGAATTAACTCTACCAACAGGTATCACACCGGATATCCCAATCCAAAATCCACTAATAGATCCGAATCCCGAGGAGTAATTAATGAAAAGTTTGTAACGGTGGGTAGGTAAAATCTGGATCCGTCTCCCACGGATCTTAATTCCATTTAAATGATGTAAAATTTCAGTCACTTGAATAAAATTTCTGATAAGGGACCAAATCACAAAAACATTTCATTGACAAATGATCCATGAAAATGAGATCACGGTCAAATGAACCCTGTAAGACGGAGATGAAAACCTTACAATCATTTCATACAGGGACTTTAGTTGATCTCTTACTTATAGCATCAGAAACACAGCTTATCAGGAAAACTGAACATTGACCAATGATCCATGAAAATAAGGTCACGTTCAGATGAACCCTGTCAGACAAACATGTACACATTCTATACAACCAATGAAATTAACTTATTACTTATAGTGACTAAGAAATAACATTATCACCGAAACTTAAGGTTGACCAATGAACCATAAAAATGAAGTCAATTTAAGATAAACCCTGTCAGAAGGACATGTTTACCTAACAATAATTTTATATACATTATATAGTTAATCTATCTCTTAAGTTTTGAAAAAGAAAATTAATGACAAAAACCTAACATCGACCAATAAACCATGAAAATGAGATCAAGATCAGATCAACACTGTCAGTTGGACATGTAAGTAATCATTCTATACACCCAATAAACACAGCTGACCTATTACTTACAGTGTCCAAATAAAACCCTTCATTTTGAGATGGGGTCTAATAAACTATATCTTTGAGTTCTTCAATTTTTCACATGCAAATAGCCTACACTCATAACCATACTAATGACCAATGAAACAAATCTAGAAAACCGGAATATTTGATATATCCATTCATACTTCTTTCCAATCTGCAAAAATTCTGTTGAGATACATAAACACTTATTTTACATTTATTTCTGTACATAATAATATAAAACAATAAATATCACAGTCTTATAAAATTGCTTGTCTATTAACAAATTTTTCACCCTCGACTCTGTCGTGCCTGCTCGATTTTGCGTCTAACTTGATTACAGTTTAACGTCAGTTCAGCATGTCTCATTTTTAGCATTTCAAGTCTGTCTTTTAAATCGTCCCCTTCATCTTTTCTCTCTTCAAAATCTCTTAATAATGGTTCATTGCCTAACAGGCCACAATTTTGTCTTAACTTCTGATTGTCTATACGTAAAGCATCTCTGGCTTGTTTTGTCCTTGATAAAATGTCTCTTTTCTGCAAAATAAAAATCAACATATGATTAACGCCAAAAAATAAATCAATAAGAAGCATAATATGATCTGCAAATGTTCATGTTTTTAACTAAATTTTTAGGGTTTCTATCTCACTGACATACTGTACCGCATGATGCTATTCCTATCATAATTTCTGGAGGTGTACTATGATTATTCATAATATGTTCTACTGTAAAAGTGTATTTGGATTTAATTTGAGTCATTCAAATTCAATATAACTTATAACGATTAAAAAATTCACTAAAATAAAGGATTGCTCAATTGTTAATTGTTCCACAATCGCTTGATTCCCAGCATTGAACTCTGACCTAGCATCCAGTTGAAATGGAGAAACCATGTATGACCCAGATGATAACACTTTTCTTGTATATTTAACTTTGAGAAAATAAATGCTATTAAGTTACAATATCAACTTTGGAAACATATCTGAGCCACTAAGAGCATTCAAAAGGGACAACTTTTCCTTTTCTTGAAGGTAATGTTCCCTTTAGTGTCTACATTACTCGTATGAAAAATGCTGAAGTGGGTTACACATCAATGAGACAGCAATGCAAGGTCACAAAAAACCAAATGACATCAAGAGGTCAACAATAAATAAGTGAAGTGTCTGCGACTCTTTTCACAAAAAATATTACCAGTAAAAATACTTATAATAAATAAATAATTCTAAAACCAGTTGTTGGCATGACACGGGTTATGTTCTTCTCATATATTTTATGACGGTATAATACTAAACCCCTAACAGGAGGGATTGTGCCTGATTTTCATATGATGAAGACATAATCTTTCAATCAGTTTAGTTGAGGTCTGGAGCTGGCATGTCAGTAACTGCTAGTAGTCTGTTGTTACTTATGTATTATTGTCATTTTGTTTATTTTCTTTTGTTTCCTATTCTGACATATTTGTTTAGGGGCCAGCTGAAGGACGCCTCCGGGTGCGGGAGTTTCTCGCTGCATTGAAGACCCATTGGTGGCCTTCGGCTGTTGTCTGCTCTATGGTCGGGTTGTTGTCTCTTTGACACATTCCCCATTTCCATTCTCAATTTTATCATAAGTCATGAACATTTCAGTATAAACTTACAATCAATTTTAGTCTTAAGATTTTTAGCGAAAAAAGCCCAAGCACAATATATCAAGTTCTAAATTGCTGAGAGTCTGAAAAACTAGTGAAATTAGACAGAAGCTATTAAAGATTTTCCATCAATATAAAATTCCCTAAAAAAATGTTAAAACAACCGCTGATGAGGTAACCAACTGTGGGCAGATTAAAGAATATGTGGTTGGGTTAAACTAGTTTTTTGAAATCTCAACTCTCATGTTTTCAGTCTTGAAAGAAAGCCACCATGTTCTTATAAATGTTGCACTTAATATAAATCTGAAATATTTACCATAGCTACTTCTTTTTCTACATCTTTGAGCACTTCTTTTTCTCTCAAATTTTCTCCTTGCACAAACTGTAATTTTTCCTTTAGATGTGTTAATACTTGTACAGTGCTGGTTATCTTTTTACGTAATTTCAACAATTCCTGTGAAAAAAACAATATTTTACTTAGTAAGAATCAAACAATGGTTAAAAAAAATCAGTTTACAAAGTAAACTAGAACATTATAAAATTTGATTCTTTGACATTTAATACTTTTTTATAATATACTTTAGCAGTAATACAATCAACAGCAATCATGCTATATCAGTCATCCACAGCTGCAAAGGCTTTATTAAAACCCTAATCTGTACGACGTCATGTCAATCGAATTTTTATTCAAATTTGAAAAAAAAAAAATAAAAAAAAACACATAAAATATACTGGTAGTTCAAAACTTTCATTAACCAGTTGTACTAATAAAAAAAGAAAAGAAAAATATCTATCCAGGGTAGAATAAAAAGTTATCATTTTGATAGACATTTGTTATTTCTGTACTTATGCTGTAGTTCAACATTAAAGAGAATATTAAAAAGGGGAAATAACCCTACCTCATTTCTCTCTTCTATTTTCTCATTATATGTCTGGTTTTCTATCTTCAACTGTTCAAAGTCAATTAAATGCAAACCAGCAGCTAATTCTTCCTAAAATGAAATGTTTTACAATATTATTCTATTTTAAAATGTACTTGTGTTTTACTAATTTTTGTATTATAAACTTTTATGGATTCATATATTTTCATGGAATGATTAAAAATGGAATTTTCGTGGATATTTGATTTCGTGGTTTTCCAAAGTCTGCCTATAGACAATTTGTACTTGTTGAACATTTAAATTCCTGGTTCACCTGTACCCATGAAAATTGATATCGCACGAATAATAATGCATCCACAGAGAAGTGTTTTATTTGTATTGATTTTGATTGTACAATCTATGTATCTTTTTTTCCCCCCACTGAACAAAATTAAAAGGGGGAGGGTTGAGATCTCAAGAAAAATTATGTTCAATTGTATGTTCTTAGTCAGGAACATCATCAGTGGTTGTCTTTAGTTATACCTTTATTGGTTTTTTTTCCAATTTTGGACTTGGGTGTTGATGGCATACATTTGAAACTCTCTACAAAATTAATTCCCCTTTTCTAGACACAGCAATTTAGAGCTTGACATATCTATGGACAATTGTCAAAGGTTGAAAATATGTGCTGAAATTTAATGTCATTTGTGTTTGTTCTTTTCTGTTGTTTGATTGTAGTCTCATTGAAGTATACCTTACATTTCCTTTTATTTTTATCTCTTTTTAAAATAATGTGATTTATTGCAATTTCTGATATCTATTTTGGAGTTTATTATCATTTTCATTTCATCTGTAAAAAGATTAAAAAACTTTTTTTAGTGTATTTACACTTAACAGTGCAGAAGAATTAATGCCTGATATCATAGCACACAGTGTTAAAAGAAATGCAGTACTGCTGTTTCAGGACATCTGGGTGGAATAGACCTTATTGCTATGGGAATTTGCAACACTTGACCAGAGAATTTTCAACACATGAATTATAACGTCATTCAACAATCACTTTTCTTTTTTTGAGTCAGACATTTTCTCTTGTGATTTTAAATTTTACGGAAACTTCTGTGATGATCAGTAATGGTGGACAAATAGTGATAAGATGTATTTAGTAACCATTCTTTTTGCTTTTTTTGCATCAGATATTTGACAAATAGCAATAAGGTGTATTTGGTAACTGTTCATTTTGCTTTTTGTTTACAAAAAGTTGTAAAATCTCATGTACAGCATTAGCACACGATTACGCTGTTGTGATTATAAAGCAATCTAACCTTAGATTTGAGTTCCATTTCTTTTTTCTTTAATTTATTCTTTAATTTGATGTTTTCCAATCGGACATCTACTACATCTGATTCCTTCTTTTTTTCAGCTATCAATGCTTGCTCTATATCCTACAATTAACGTTTAAATATGTACCGTAAATTCAGAAATTATTGCATGCATTTATTATTGCGATTTTTGAAGAATTGACAAATATGCGAGATTAATTATTGCGATTTTAGGAAAATATGAATACAGATATATATGTATCAATTATCAGTGTGTGAGTTACTCACCCAGTTTCATTATAAAGATATTTAAGTTTCTCTACAATTAAGGTTTGCTGTTTTTTTAAACTGATGAAAAACATTACAAAATATGGAATAAAAATTCACAGTCTGAAACAAATGACTTACACCATAACTCATAAATGGGTTTTATTATTTTCTTGAAACTTGAAATATAGGTTTGAAATATATATATAAGTAAGGACTGTTACATTAAAACATACATGGTACCCAGGGAAGGCACTTTAATAAAAGAACAGAGTTCCAATGTCCCCTGCGTTGCACATATTTTATATTTCCAAGGGACATAACTCTTTTTTAAAAAGTTGATCGCCCACCATTATAAAGCTTGTCCGAGATATTGCTGATATTAACCTATAGTATAAGTTTTATAAAAATCTGGCAAGAATTGTACCAGTGAGAGCGCTAACAAAGGCCATTTTCCATAAATTTACTATTTCCAAGGGGCATAACTCTTTCCAAAAAAGTCGATCAGCCACCATTATAAAACTTGTCCGAGATATTGCTGATATTAACCTATAGTATAAGTTTTATAAAAATCTGGCAAGAATTGTACCTGTGAGAGCACTAACAAGACCAGACGGACGGATGCCCAGTATTTCCATGTCCCCTGCAACACGTTACGCGGGGGACAAAAATGGGGTAACCACATATAGAGGCAAATTAAAATTTCACTTACATTTCCACTTTGCAAAAACATAGATGACATCAACCTATAGTTGAGATTTGGAAGTGTCTTCCCTGGGTCATATGTATGTTTTTATGGAACAGCCCTAATACATAATCAATACATAACAATTTTTTTTTATAATCTTATACACATGAATGGTGCATGTTATTTAATGAGATAAATTTGTTATTTTTGAGTACTAGATGGCTTAATTGTTGTTGGCATAAAATCAAGTGGCAAATATTTCTTGCACATTCAGGATCAGAAATAAAAAAAAAAAAATTTTATTGAAGGTTCTGCAGTTGGACGACCAGGATGAGGGTCAGAAAATATTTACTACCACTGGGGAAAAAACCAAATTAAAATGGGTCAGAGACTCAAATGTCTGGGTAAAAAAACTCATAACTTCAAATTTAAAAAATAAATAGGAAAAATACAGTCTCTCTGTCCCCAAAAAGATGTGATCTAATACAAACAAAACTATAAAAAAAAACGGGTACCCTTAATAAAAATCCACTACTGAAAATTGATCAAGTTTCATCATAAGGAAGGTTGTAAATATCCGCAAAATGTATATAAAGTGTTTTTAATATTTTCCATGTGTATACAAACATTCTACAAAGTTTAAAAGCTCTGGGATGAAAAAAGGTACTGTAGGAAAGAGTATTAAATTTACCTGCATCCACTAGCCCTCATTTGTATCATTATCCAATCACATTCAATGTATCAAGACTAAGACTTGACTTTAACCCCATCCACCAGCCCCCATTTTCTACATTATCCAATCAAACTCCATGTTACAAGACTAAAATCTGACTTCAACATACCTTAGGTGGCAGTGGTTTTCCTGATCTATTACTAATAGCATTCAATGCTACTTGTTTTTTAAATTCCATAAATTTATTTCTTTCTTCATCTACTTTTTGTTTTCTTTCTTCACATTTTAATCTCAAATCATCCATTTCTAACTTATACTGTTCTTTTTCTTTACTATCTTGACTTCTGAGCTCATCAAGTTGATCTAAATAAGATTAAAAAATGAATATATATGTTTTTTATAAAACTCATGAAGGTCAAAACATATGCGTTGAGTAAGTATGATTCTGTTCTACAGATAAAATCTTCATCAATGCAATCTAACAATTAACAAAAATGTTTACAATGCACTGGGACTTTTCTTGAAGCGATTCAAGGATAGTTTTGATAAGTTTTACTGTTATTGTAAGAGGTTATGAAGAATTTTTTTTTTACAAACAGCTGTTTTTCTTTTAAGATCTAGCAAAAAAAAGTAAATTCAAAACTCATTTATCAATATCTCATTCACTTTGCAAAGAAAAAAAAATTCGTAAGGGTTCCGCGGAACCCAGTGTCCCGCCTACTTTTGCTGTTAATCGCTGGCTCAACAAAAATGAGGAAAAAAATAAATAAAAATATTCCTCTCTATACTATCTTTTGATTGTAAGTAGCTTCTGTCCAAGTTTGGTAAAAATCCAGGATAGTTTATGAATCTAATAAATGTTTTAAAAACTTAAACTGCAGACTGTATGTAATGTTAACTGGAAGAAAAACAAAGTCCATTTATAAGTAAAATACGGAAAAAATCGAACAAAATTTTAACAAAATTTCCTTCTAGATACTAGCTTTTAATCATAAACAAGCTTCTGTCCAAGTTTGGTACAAATCCAGGATAGTTTAAGAATGTTGTTAAAATTTTAAAAACTTTAACCACAGAGTGAATGTAATGTTAACAGGCAGAAAAACTAAGTCCATTTATAAGTAAAATACGAAAAAAATGGATTTTTTTTTTACAAAATTTACTTCTGGATACTATCTAATGATCATAAACAAGCTTCTTTCCAAGTTTGGTAGAAATCCAGGATAGTTTAAGAAAGTTAATAAAATTTCAAAAACTTTAACCACAGAGTGAATGTAATTTCTTGGCAGAAAAACTAAGTCCATTTATAAGTAAAATACGGAAAAAATGGATTTTTTTTTTACAAAATTTACTTTTGAATATTATCTTATGATCATAAACAAGCTTCTGTCCAAGTTTGGTAGAAATCCAGGATAGTTTAAGAAAGTTATTAAAATTTCAAAAACTTTAACCACAGAGTGAATATTTGTGGATGACGCAGACGATGACGGAATGTAGGATCGCTATGTTTCTCTTTTTCGACAAAAGTCGAAGGCTCGACAAAAATGGTCTAATTCCAACCAAAGATGAGGTACCTTTATGTGACTTCACAACTAAAATTCTTCAGATGTATTTTAATTGACACCTGAGATCAAAATGGACATTTCTGTGGGTGTTCATTGCAAGGAAATTCACTAGAATCTTTTAAAAGTCTATATGTATCCAGTGTTCTCCCCACAAATTTCATATAGCATCCTGGTAAACAGGGAATTTTAAAATACCATCTTATTTCTAGAAATCATAGCATTACATACATAACACTATGATACTCACTGTACACTTTTATAAGTGCAAGAACATGCTATATGATAATTTTAACATGGGTAGGCATTATATTTGTCAGCATTTTACACTTTGCTTTTTGTATGTGTAAAGACGATATCAAATAAAATGCTCACCCATGTTACAATGAGCATAGAGCATGACATACTTTGACCTATAATGGTTTACTTTTACAGATTGTGACTTGGATGGAGAGTTGTCTCATTGGCACTCATACCGCATCTTCTTATATCTATGAAAGAATATTCCTTAAGTATGCTAAAATACATTTCTAGCTACACAACATTCTTATATCAATATAACTAGCATGTACCTTCTCAAGTTTACAAGAGAAAAAAGTTTATTTCACATAATTTTAAATGAACACATCTTTATTCATGACTAATCAACATTATATAAAAACATTTCATAAAAAAACTATGTTTACAAAATTTTGCACGCTAACCATGTTACTTACTTATATATTTAACATATTTAGAATCCTGATCACTGGCAGTTTTGTCATAATCTTGTCTTACATCATCTGCTTTTTTCTTTCTAAAAAATTCTGCTAATTTATGTTGTAACTGGTAGTTCTGTTGTTGTAGCTGCTCTCGTTCTGCCATTATTAGCTGAAAAAGTAATGAAGGATTATATGCAATGGTTTTTTCTCAATATGAATAACCTATGACATTTACTTGAAAATTTAAGAAAACATTGATTGACTGATGTTTGCTTAATGACACCTCAGCAAGAGATGCTATACTGCAGCAACAGATAAGAAAACCAAACAAAGGCAAACAACGAAGAAAAACACATGGCCCAGATAGCCTGACTTGGTACAGGCATAAAAAGTACTAGGGTTAAACCAGTTTTGCGTGCAAACAAACCTTCTGATTTGTCTACCTAGACTATATGTCTTAAAAGTAAATTGCAATTAAAAAAAACCGGCACAGTCCAACTAACTTCAACAAGGAATTAAAAGATGGCACATAACTGAAAAGCAGGGTAAAAATATTCAGATTTCAAAAATATGTAAGAAAACTTTTTCAGATGGAAAATGAAATATTTTTGTGTGTTATTTGAGTTGTTGCTAAATTCATAAATGATATTCTTCCCACACAATGTTGCCACTGTAACCTACTTTATATATTTTTGTATTTTCCGTTTAGGAGTACTTACTGTGTATTTTTCTAACAACTCATCTCTGTCATACTGGGGTTGCAAGTTCTGAAATTAACAAACAAATTATATTATTTACAAAAAAATTAAATAATAAAAAATCATCGTACATTTATTTTTGTATAAGCACATGTCTGATATATCACTACTTAGAAATAACATTTCAGATTAGATGATATAACATATACCATTTTTACATTCCAGGAAAACTGATGCAGCCCTCCTCACGGTAACAGATTTTTTAGCTGCATTGAAGACCTATTGGTGGCCCATGGCTATTTTTGCTCTTTGGTCAGGTTGTTGGCTCTTTGACACATTCCCCATTTTCATTCTCTATTCTATTCAATATACTATTTTTTTATATAGTCCATCATGTTCCGTAAACAAGCTTACAACCATTCCTTCTGTGTATCCATATGTATCCTTCCCATAATAAAGTTACACTAACAGTAAAAAATATTTCAAACATTAAAAATATAAAAAGCACTCAGTTCTTATAAGAGATACTAACAAAAGAGTTCAACTGTCTTTTGACAAGGTAATCAATTGGATTTTTTATTTACACCAGAGCAACCCCAAGCAAAAAAAATCACATACATATTCTTCTTCTTCTTCTTCATCCTCCTCATCTTCTTCAACTTCTTCTCTACCTTCTTCTTCTTTCTGTACAGCCTCCTCATCCTCCTCCATAAAAGGTGACATGTGTCCATCTCTCATCTCTGTTTCTGAAGCTATGAAAGAAAACAAACTAAATAAAACTATTTGCTTTTGGTGATTTTTTTCAGGTAATTGTCTGAACATTAATTCATATTTCTAGAGAGTTCAGTTTTTCGGGTAGTTTTTTTCTTATTTTGTTCTGACTTCTGTTTACATTTCTGGATCAAACTAGCTGAAATTTTGAATACAGGAAAAATTATCAATTCAGAGAATAGAGATATGTATTAATGTTAAACTTGAGGAAAATTTTCCTTACAAAATTGTTGAATACTTCATTATTTCTTCTAAGCAACATAAAAACTTACGAGGTCTGGACCTTTCTGGAGTACCAGGTTCCAAGATATCTGGTTTGACCTCTGGGGCAGGACTTCCCTCACGGGATAATTTCTCTGCTACCTCTACGCCTGTACCATCCTCTTCTGGTCGTTCCCCTTCAGCAAATGTATCACTCTGTAAATAAATGTCAAATATAAATATAGATCATAAGTTAATAGCATGAATTTTAAACAGATTCCAATGAACCTAAGAATAATCAATATGAAGTCCATACACCACTGAAAAATAAGATTTTCATAATAAATGTTTCTTGTAGAATGTTAAAAAAGAGGCGAAATGTACCAAAACCATAGCAGGCAAGTAATAAATTGTATTTAAATTTTACCAAGAGCTCTTATTATACGTTAAACTTGTCAGGTGTTAAAACCAAAATTACTCCTGTTAATGTGACGATTGTGATCAGTTGCTAAAAACTGGTTTTTACTTATTTGATATATGCTGAAAACTTTTCATGACTAATTTTCAAATAGATCAATTTTGAATAATTACTTACTTGAGGTACAGGTGATTTTGATCCAGCTTCCTCTCCTTCCTTTTGCTCTCCTTCTTCAGTAGGTTTCTCTCCCTCTTCACCAGCAGGAGTAGCAGCTGTCTCTCCTTCACCTTCAGGTTCACCTTCACCTTCTGGCTTTTGTTCACCTTCACCTTCTAGTTTTTGTTCACCTTCACCCTCAGGCTGACCTTCACCTTCAGGCTTCTGCTCAGCTTCACCTTCACCTGAAATAACACATAATTTGTATATAATTCCTACGATGCATAGTAGAGATACAGTACCAATTAGTGGTGAAAGATTTAATGAAAATCAATTCAACTTTGAAGATGTACAACGTGAATCTTCATTTTGTCATGAAAAATATTAATCAATAAGAATTTACAATGCATACTTTTGCATCAACCTAAACTACTTCATCTAGTCAAGAAAGAGTATTCCAATTTGTTGTTAGGTTTGATGCCCAAGGGCTGGTACTTCTTACTAGGCTTGTTTAATTAATGCAATTCTTAAGAGAATATATGTATATATGTCCATGCAATTGTTTTTCGTTTGCCTTCAGAATTTGCTTGATCTAAATGTGTAGCAATTCTGGTTCAAGTGTTCTTGATTTTCTGGTTTTAAACATGTTAAACAGCCAAAAATAGGAAAATTTCAGTGATTTCAAAAGTGTTTTCAAATACAACCATGGAATATAAAAATAGCACTCTGGATTTCTCTTTTGAATTATTTCACATTTTGTCATGCCCAGGCCTTTTATAGCTTATCATATGGTATAGGTTTTGCTCATTGTTAAAGGTTGTACAGTGACCTATAGTTGTTTATATCCTCGTCCTTTAATCTCTGGTGGATATTTCTCTCATTGGCAATCATACCACATCTCCTTATTTTTACTTTTTCCCTAAAATTATATCACCTTATGTACATGTATAACACATTCTAACATAATAATCTATTCAGATAGCACCATGGTATTATAGAGCTATAAGGCTCTGGGGAGCAAACTGACTGTTTTATTAGTACCATATATTCTATTTTCATTGTACATCACTAATATTAGGTCACCATGATTTAAATTTTATTGATTTGCCAGTGTGAATTACCTTCAGCTTTCTTTTCCTCTCCTTCAGTCTCTCCTTTCTGTTCCTCTCCTCCTTCTGCAGGTGTTTCTTCTGTTTTCTCTTCTCCTCCTTCAGCAGCAGGAGAACTTGCTTCCTGTTTTTCTCCCTCCCCTGTCTCAGTTGGTGTCTGTTCTTCTGTTGCATTGTTTGTTGCATCACCCTCAACTTTGACCTCAGCTGAAATGCAAAAAAATATCATTTACAAAATGGATCTCGGCCAATATACCTAATGAACCAAAGCAAAAATGAGCCATCAAACATATGCAAGTTTAAGGTATGGGCAGAGGAATTGAGGAAAAGGCTAACACTACCGCCTACATGAAATGAATTGTGCATATTGACCCATCTATGATAAATTACCAATACAATGCCGAAGCTTTTGACACCTTCATAAAATACAAAAAATCTACATGATCTTGATTCATTTTTTTCATTAAAGTGGAATAATGTCTCATTACAAATGTATTTATAAAGGTTACTCGGGAACACGTGTATTTGTTTACTTTTAACACGTGTGTTTAAATCAAAACATGTTTATGTTTAATTTGATTGGACCATCAGTAAGTTATTACCGGTTTAAGTTATATCAATCATGATAACTTCATGCTAGAATTTTAGCGCTAAAATTATAATAAGATATCTAGAATTGTCATTCGAGGTTCGCCTATCCGACAGAAAGGTTCGTTTTTTCTTAAATCGCCACTTGGTAAAATGTCCGAATCTTCTCCACGTCTGGAATTGAATGAAGACATACTACTCGAAGGAGATAATAGTTTACCGCCACCTAATATTCATAAAGCAGCTGATAAGTCGTCTGATTTGGTAGATACTGTAGAGCTTTTTAAGACAATTTTAGACAGCAAGTTAGGTGAGTTGAAATCTGAACTCATACAAGAACAAGATTGCCTTAAGAGAAAAATTAAGGAGGACGTCACTCTAAAATTTAAGGGGGAAGGAAACAGATTTCAGTACACCTTTAACGAGGAATTATTAGACACTGTTAATAAACTTTCAAAATTCATCCCTAACTCCAATACTCAAGCCTATAGATTAGTTCTTGACATAACTGATAAGATCAAAAGCCGTAATAAGAAAATACGCATAGCTGATGCTTCCCCTGCTGGTTGGGGAACCGTTAGGGAATACGAATCCAATGCCGTGGCTTCAGATTCTGAAGATGAGAGAAAGATACGACAAGCTGAGACCAGAGCTATCCGTACCTCCAAGGAGAAGTCAAAATCTCGCCAGCAACCTTACCCAAAAAATCCGCCTCGTCAACAACCTGCGGAATCTTATGGTAACCCTGCTTACGCTCAGCATTATCAACGTAATCAGCAACAGCCCTTTCGTGGGAGCTTCGCAAGGCGTGAGCCTTGCTCAATCGACACGTGCCACTACTGCAAGCAACAAGGCCACTGGAGAAAAAACTGTCCTCTTCTCGCCAGTCTCAGGTCATCCAACAGCAACTCCACAACCTACCAGAAGTAGTAAAGTAGGGCCTGAACGTCACTCTCCAGTCATTGTGAATGATAAGTATTTAGACACTATTAATGACCAATTTTCTACATGTTTTGTTGATAACGATTATATAGAATCTTTTTTAGATCAAGTTCAATATTTTGAAAATTGTCAGTCATATGATAAATTTAAAGGGGTGAAAGGTAGATTAGCTTGTCATGTAAAGTATTGGGAAAATATAGGTGCTTGTCCTTTTGTGCTTGATACAATAAAAAATGGTTATGTTATTCCATTTATAGATACACCTTTTAAAATGTACCACAGAAATAATAGATCAGCACGGCAGAATACTGAATTTGTCACAAAGTCAATTGAAGATTTAGTTCAAATAGGTTGCGTAATTAAAGTGCCTTTTCAACCATATGTGGTAAATCCATTGAGTGTTGCTACTCAAAAGTCCGGTAAGAAACGACTTATTTTAGATATGAGTCAATTGAATAAACACATAAAGCGCGAAAAAATAAAATTTGAGGATTGGAAGTTAGCTATACAATATTTTGACAAAGATATGTATCTGTTTAAGTTTGATTTAAAATCTGGTTATTTTCACTTAGACATATGCTCACAGCAACAGACTTTCTTAGGTTTTCAGTGGGAAGGTCAATTTTATTGCTATACTGTTTTAGCTTTCGGAATTACTACCGGTCCGTACATTTTTACTAAATGTTTGAGGCCACTAGTAAAATTTTGGCGTGGAAACGGTATAAAAGTTGTTTTGTATTTAGATGATGGATTTGGCATGAGTCCAGATGAAAATACATGTAATGAGCAATCGTCCTTCGTAAAAAGGTCTTTGATTGATGCTGGTTTCCTTATTAACGAGGAGAAGTCTGTTTTTAAACCTGTTACCGAGTTAGAATGGTTGGGAATAGTTTGGAACTCGAAAGAATACAAATTATCTATTACTCAACCTCGAGTTGACGATTTGATTTTCTCATTGAATGTAATTTTGGCTAAATTTCCCTATGTTACAGCTAGATCTTTAGCTCAGGTTGTAGGTAGAATTATTTCTATGACTCCCGTAATCGGAAATGTGGCTAGAATTATGTCAAAGTTCTGTTACATGGAAATTGAAAGTAGAATTGGGTGGGATATTCCCATTACAGGGTACAAACCCGTCGAGGTTTTATCAGAGTTAAAGTTCTGGTTAGAAAATGTCACCATGATTAACTATCGTAATTTATGTCATTACAGTAAATCTTCTGTTGTCATATACTCAGATGCTAGTAATATTGCCGCTGGTGCATACACCGTTGAATTAGAAAATAAGATTTTCCATAAGATGTGGACATGTAGTGAAACGGTACAAAGCTCCACATGGAGAGAGCTGAAAGCATAATAGAGTTGGCCCTTTTTTCTTTTAAGAATAGTTTCACAGGAAAAACTATAAAGTGGTTTACTGACAATCAAAATTGTGTCAAAATTGTTAATTCGGGAAGTATGAAAGAAAATCTTCATGTTATAGCAAAATCTATTTTTTCATTTTGCATTCAAAAAGGAATATCAATTGACATTCAATGGATTCCCAGAAAAGAAAATGAAAAGGCTGATTATATCAGCAAAATGGTTGATTTCGAGGACTGGGGAGTCACACATATATTTTTCAATTTTTTAAATGATATGTGGGGTCCTTATTCGATTGACAGGTTTGCAAGTGTCGAAAATAGAAAAGTTATGAGATTTAACTCCTTATTTTGGCAACCTGATTCTGAAGCAGTTGATGCATTTTCTCAAGTTTGGACCAATGAAAATAATTGGCTAGTTCCACCAATTAATCTTGTGATACGATCGATTAAACACATTATAGCTTGTAAAGCTCGAGGCACGTTAGTTGTGCCTAAGTGGATTTCTGCTGCATTCTGGCCTTTGATATTCGATAAACATCTGATTTATCAAGATTACGTAAAAGATGTTATTGTGTTTAAAAATACTGATGGTATTTATAAGCAAGGTTCGAATAAGAATACGATATTCGGAATTGAACCGTTTGGTTCGCCAGTTTTGGCTGTTTTGCTAGATGCATCTTAGACATGGCCCTAATATATATAGATATATTTTAGCAGGCATGGTCTGTTTGTGACATGGCCCTAATATATATATAGATATATTGTAGCAGTCATGGTCTGTTTGTGACATGGCCCTAGTATATGTATATTGTAGCAGGCATGGGTGTTTATGTTGACATGGCCCTAGTATCGGTAATGATATTGTAGCAGGCTTGGTTTTTTATTTGACATGGCCCTAGTATCTATAATGATATTTTAGCAGGCATGGTAATTTGTTTTACAGTTTATGGCCCTAGTATCTATAAAGATATTGTAGCTGGCGTTGAAATATTTGAATATATATTATATTTTACTGTGTATAGAAATCTGAAATATGCTAATAATTCGTCCTCTGTATATGTATATAAAATGTTATTGCAATTTTACGTTTTTCAGATATTTTTTCAGTAGGACATTGGTCAGACTTTAATTCACAAGTTGCCTCTAATAATGATCTCAGCAGTTTGTTCAAACAGTTACCAGAATTCCTTCTTTCGTCCAAGGCTGCGAGTACTCAGAAGAAATATAGATATGCCTTCAATTCATGGTGTAAGTGGACTAGTCAATATTCTTTTTCACCATTGCCAGCATCTCATTTACATATTTCTTTATATTTAATTCATTTGTCTGAAACTGCAAAATCGGTTTCAAAATTAAATGATGCTTTTTACGCCATAAAATGGGCACATAAATTAGCTGGCGTTGCTGATCCCAGTGAAAATAATCTAGTTGCATCTGTTCTTGAAGGGGCTCATAGAAAAATAGGTCATTCAGTTGTCAAAAAAGAACCTATCACACCGCATATTTTGAAAAATATTGTATGTAAATATGCTAATAATACTTGTAATTTAAAAGATGTAAGAATAGCATGTATGTGTTTATTAGCCTATGCTGGCTTTTTAAGATTCTCCGAGTTAGCTAACTTGAGAAGGTCTGATATACAGTTTTCCCCTACTTACCTTACACTTCATTTAGTCAAGAGTAAAACTGATGTATATAGGGAAGGGAAAGATGTTGTCATTTCAAAAACAGGGAATATTACATGCCCGGTAGATGTACTTCAGCGTTATCTAAAGTTAGCTAACATTCCTGAAGAATCGAATGATTTTATTTTTAGATCTATTTGTTATTGTAAATCTTTGAATATATACAAACTTAGAAAGAGTAGTCATATTTCTTACACCAGAGCCAGAGAGTTATTGTTATCTGCACTTGACAGTTTAGGTCTTGATAAAAAACAGTTTGGCTTACATAGTTTGAGGTCAGGAGGAGCTACTGCCGCGGCAGAAGCTGGAATAGATGACCGGTTGTTTAAGAAACACGGGAGATGGAAAAGTGATAAAGCCAAAGATGGTTATGTTAAAGAGAGTATACTCAACAGATTGTCAGTATCTAAGAATTTAGGATTGTAATTTATATTGTTTGTCCCCCCTTTTTCTTTATGTCCCTTTCTTTATCAATCGAAGCTTTCTGTGCTGTCGGGGCGAGCTGATAACCAAAAACTGTGTTGAGTTTTTACTTTGTAAATGCTTTATGTTCGTTTGAAGTATTGAATAAGAACATAAATGTATTTATAAAGGTTACTCGGGAACACGTGTATTTGTTTACTTTTAACACGTGTGTTTAAATCAAAACATGTTTATGTTTAATTTGATTGGACCATCAGTAAGTTATTACCGGTTTAAGTTATATCAATCATGATAACTTCATGCTAGAATTTTAGCGCTAAAATTATAATAAGATATCTAGAATTGTCATTCGAGGTTCGCCTATCCGACAGAAAGGTTCGTTTTCCCACCCACCCACCCCTTTTATTAAGACTTCATAGGAATGTGAATCAGTATGTTATGTAGAAAATAGTTGATAAAATACATGTATGTAAATCGAAATGATTTTTTCTTCAACTTATAGAACATTTTTCTATTGTAGATTGTGTTTATATGTGATGGCAGCGGTCGATGACAGCAAATTGGACATTTGTTTATTGTTTATAATAAAAATAAGCTTTCTGTGCTGTCGGGGCGAGCTGGTAACCAAAAACTGTGTTGAGTTTTTACTTTGTAAATGCTTTATGTTCGTTTGAAGTATTGAATAAGAACATAAGGGGTGAATATTTTGTTTACTCTGGTCGAAATGAATAACTTTAAAGGAAATATGGAGTATACTTCACAGTGTCATTAAGACAAGGATTAAACAATACAATAAAAAAGATACAGATCAACATAAGGTCTTCAGCATCAGAAAAATGTATATATACAATATATTATATCAAGCACCAAATCACATTGAGTTGAGACAAGCCATGATTAAATTCAACAGAAGCTACCAAAACTCCTAAAAATTACAGTTTTCTTCAGTTAAAGTTCTATAGAAAATCTGAATATTTCAAAACTACTTTTTCTTTTTCATGGAATCCAACCAATCATAACAGCATTAATTTTCCTTTCATGTAACATTTATATTTGCCTACTTTAATGAATCTCGAGCTTTGTTTCACAATTTACTTCTGCAGATGTTTTTTTCACAATAAAATTAAATACAACAATACTAAAGGGGAAGATTAAAAATAATGTGTATTAGCATACCTTGAGGAGTCTCAGGCTTTGTTTCACCCTGTACTTCTGGTTCTGCAGGGGTCTCTGTGGCTTGTTCTGTCGGAGTATCACCCTGTCCATTTTCAGCAGGTGGGGTCACTGCTTTTTCTTGTGCTGGTTCTTCAGCAGGAGCTGGAGAAGCTGCTTTCTCCTAAAAATGGGTTCATAAATTATGTTGTTACTTTTAGCCCTTTGTTAGTGAATTAAATAAAATGTTCACTATATCTAGAAAAAATATATCAAAATTGGTAAGGATTTTCAAATGTTGAATGATCATAATGATGAGCAAGGAAACATTCATTCATATACATGTAGTTTTATTATTATTTAATAGAGGCATATTGAACTGACTTAACAAAATGTGATGCATGTCTGGAAAAGAGGAGTCTTGGTGCAAATGTTCCAACTGGAAACAAAAAATTGATGCTGGCAATTTTTCTAGCAACAATTTATCATTTACAAGAACTTTTTCTGCAAATTTTTAATCAATTGCTACCATGTGGAGAGCATGACTGGCAAATATTGAAGAATTTCATTTAGAAGGATGATAGTTTGTCAGCACTTGTTTTTACTTTCTTACTTTTAATTATAGTTGGAAAAATACATCAAAGTGGAAACAGGATTTCACATTAGAAGTAGGACTATAACAAAGAATTTAACCATATATATATACATAACAGGCAAACAGGAAAAATGACTATAAATGATAGTGGCTGACAATATAAAAATAAGGAGAAGTGATATGATTGCCAACGAGACAACTTTCCACCAGAGTCCAAATGATGTGGATGTATGCAACTAAGGGTGACTGTACTGCCTTCATTTAAAATTTCATACATGTAGTTTTAAGTGATGTCAGCGGAATGATCACACAAACAAAATTACCCTAATTAAATGCAGTTTCTAAAATCTAATACGACATCTAATTTTTCAATTTTTGTGGATAAAATCTACTGAGAATTTCTATCTTTCTTATTTCTTATTATACATTGTATAGTGGAACTCTTCCTTTTTTCAATATATCTCATGTTCACTAAGGAAAAGAATGCCAGATGAAGGTCCCTTAAAAAAACGAAGGCCAAAATATTTACAAATCTCCTTTATTGTACACCAACATACTGACTACTGAGGATATCTTCAACAGTGGTCTCGTTAGCCCAAAATAGAAGGGTGCCGCACCCTGGGTGCCCTCAGCCACGACCTGGGTGCCTTCAACCGCGCCCTTCTGCCCTGACGCCTTTTTCCCAAAAAACCCTTGTGCCGTTTTGGTAAAATTGCATTTTGTTTCATCGATTTCTTATCACAAAGTTAAATTACATATATGACACCAGGTGATTGCCCCCAGGTTAATCATGTCATTACAATCAATTACAGTGGATAAGACTTCAAAGGTGTTAATAACTAGGTAATTTAATTAAGACAATGTACCTTTTTGTCATAAATTTGATGAATGTGTCAAGAGTGTTTTTAGCTTGGGTCGGCATTTTCGATCTTTCATGACTTTAGAATAGAATTTAAGTCATCAAAATACAACTATGCCTTCACAGAAACGCCGTCCATCTCAACTTGTGAGCGACAAGCAAACAGTTAACGTGTTAGAAATTAATTTTGGAGTTACTTCCCCTGTTTTAGCTTATTACAAATTTGTGCTCCTAAAATATCATCTAGTACTAAAAATAGGACTAAATTACCAATTGAATACAAAATTATATAAGAATGTTACCTTAAGGATATTAACTGTCTTTGAACATACCAAAAAAAATATATTGCAATTTATTTTTGATAATCATACTTTTAGCAATCCATGTTCTATACATTGTCAATTAAGAAATTTATAAGTTCAATTGTCATGATGATGTCAAGCTGCAATCCTACATAAATGGGTAGTGTGAAGTTAAACTATCATGACATCAACTTGTTGAAGCTTTACTAAAAAAATTTCTTAACACAAACAATGAAAAAAAGTTTTGAGGGCCAAACTCTAGCTGAAAATTTTGAAATAAGACAACTCTGTCACATGTATGCTAAACTATGAGATGTTTAGTTTATGTTGGTTTTTTTTTTGGAAAAGGGGAGGGGGGAGAATAGTAAGTTAATTTGCCTCTATTGGTTTATAGTGATGTGATGTATGAATGTGTATTTTATGAACATGTCGTATGAATTACATTTTCTAATGCAAATTTTATAGAATAAATAATCAAAACAACAAATTATGCATCTTTATTAACAACATATACAGTAATAATAAAGAATGTGAACTCGAGATACACACAGAAACGTAGACAAAAGAAATGAGCAGTGCCTTTTCCTTTCATAAAAATGTGCCCTGCCCTCCACTGGCACCCTGCCCCTTTTGATTTCTAGCTGGAGCACTGTTCAAGAGCTGCAAGATTTGTGCACAACACCTAAACAGACCAAATACCTGGTTGTGTCACTAATATGGTTAAAACATTAAAATGGGAAAGCCTTGAAGAACAGAATTATACATGTTATTCAAGATCCAGCATGATCTAATTGACAAAGATCAACAAAATCTGACACCAAACAATAACTGGAACAGAGGTAAAATAGTTTTAATTGTGAAATATTGCAAACATTTTTAAATGTAAATAGCCGAGAGAACTTTCTGTTTTGCCTGACACTGCACAAAGTTTTTGCACACAACCAAAAGTGTTTCCTGCAGCTTTTCAAAAAAGGGCAGGGTAATTTTTTTCTCAGAGGGCACTCTTAGCGCGATTGGCTACACTATATAAAGGGCACCCTTTGTGTGATTGACTACACCTTTTCAGCACTATTTACATACATGTAGATATAAAGGCAATGTTATGGATAGGGATTTAATCGAAATATACCATTGTTTCATATTTATTGGTAAGAAATAAAGGAATGTACATGTACAATGTATACTACATGTATATTAGGTTATTAACTTAATTCCTTTTTGTAATAAAATTATCACTTCTAGACTCAGCTAATAGAATCTTGATAGTGCAACTGCCTCATTTCAATCAATAACTCCAGTTATAAATTTTAATACTGGATCACATACTGCATGAGGCTGATTGCCTAAGGATGTGTTGTGAAAGTGGACTTATGCATATGCAATGCATTGCTTTTTAGCTGCACATCAAAATTAGTGCCAAATACTTTTTGGATCTCAAATGCCCAGTTTATAACAATCAAAGCTACCTTAGTTCATAACTTTACAAAATATTGTAGGCTATCCAAGGATATGTATAGCAAGACTTACTACACAAATTTTTATGCTATTCATCTTTTTTTCCATCTAAATCTGCTTTTTTTTTTTTTGTTTTTTTTTATTGAAACGTTGTTGATTTTTCGTACTAATCAAAACTATATCAGCTATAATTCTTAACTTTTAATTTTATTTAGATAACAACAGTTTAAAAGCCATCGTAAATTCACGCCAAATCCGACGCCCTGAGCAACCAAATAATAGAAAATATAAACAAACAGCAGATTGTTTACATAATCGGTGGTAATGTTCATCCCATGCATGGTAAAATCATAACTCAAACGATCGCCTGGTTCCCTCTTAAATTGTCTACATCTTAAATTCATAGAGGTACAAATCGATGTTGTTCTTATTAGATTCAATCATGAACCGTATTTGTACTCTGTCCCCTCAAAACTGTTCAAACATAATTACGATATTCAATAAAATGTCTGCCATTGAAATTTTGATTTCGTTCAAAGGAAATAACTTGAAATGGTCTTACTAAAAGATGAATCACAGAACCGATATTAAGTAACTGCTGGGCGTTATATTATACGACGGAAAAGGGCATAGCGCCAAATTTGTTTCTTAAAAAGGGCAGGGCGCCATACCACGCCAAAACCTCCTGTAGGAAACACTAACCAAGCAAATTCAAATTTTGAATTCTTGTTCCTTACCTAGAAGAAGGAGTGATAGTTCGTAAGGTAACAGATTGCAAGAGGACATGTCACTGTACTTGCAAACATTATATGATTATTCTGACTACGAGCCAACCAGTCTTTGTTCTATTCCTTATTGCTGCATGCTAAGCTTAAAAACCGCAAACACCAATTTTCTTATCATTGACACAGCCAGGGATCGAATTTTTGTGTGATATAGACAAAATAAAATCATGAACTGCACAAATTCTTTTTTTATGTGATCAAAAAAACAAGAGAAAATCATCAATTATTTGCTTGTAATAAATGTATCTGTCTTCTAATGACCAAATTAAAAATTTGCTACTTTTCATAAACTCAATCGAAAAAATAAAGTGTTGAAAAGTATGTTTGTGTTTATCTACAGAAGTTTGATTTTAAAAAACTCATTTCCCACCTCTTGGTCAGCCATTTTTGTTGTTAGGGAAAACAATGTAGATGGCGTTGCAATTTTCCCTCCAATTAAAACATTTTTGTAAATTAGTTTTCAAATGACTAGCAGTTGGACGGCATTATTTTTTAATCAATTATCAAATTTATAAATAACGTTAAAAAAAATAAAGTAAATTAAAACATAAACACTGATGACGTCATTTTTGGAGGCAATTTCAAGCTTGCTAACTCGCGGCAAAATCAACTTCGCAACATAATTTTTTTCAGAAAAACTAGAAAATGTGTTCCACTGGACATATATTTAATTCTCCAAGACTAAACAAGTCGTCGAGAGGACAAATACAGGTGAATATGCTAAGATTATGGTTATAAACACAATTTAATACCATTTTTGTGATGTTTGACTCGTTACGTTGATTGGAACAAAGACAAAACACATGATTATCGCCACATACATGTCTCGTCCCAACTTTGCAATGTAGGTTGACCACTACATCTTTTCCTAACTTAGTTTATATTATTTCATGGTCAATGACTTTTTTTTTATCTTACTCTTAGTGAATAGTGTGGCGCCATGAATCATGATAATTTTATATTAACACCAGTTAACAGGTTGGGGACTACCCCCTCCCCAATTGGTCCCCAACATGAGTGACTATCCCTTAAATTCATGAAAAATGCAGTTACTTTTTGAAAAATGAATAGTCCTTAAAATTATAAATCATAAACGAGGAGAATTTTTCACGAACATTTCCAAGATGAGGAGTGTAGTCTGTAGATGCCTATGACTTATTTTTTTTAACCCTAAGATGTCTTACAAACAAATGAAAAAAATGATTACAATTTTCAAGACTATTTCAGGCACATTCAATAATATATATAAAAATAGCATATTTCCTTAAAAAAATACATCGGTTTGAATATTATTTTTCTTTTGAAAATTTAAAAAAGAACTTAGAAAGTGTATTAGATAATAGAGAATGGAAATGGGGAATGTGTCAAAGAGATAACAACCGGACCAAGAGCAGGACACAGCCCAAGGCCATAATGGGCCTTCAACGCAGTGAGAAAATTCAGCATCTAGAGGAAGCCTTCAGCTGGCCCCTAAAAAATAATGTACATGTATGCTAGTTGTAATATCCTAACTTTAATATTGATCCGGAATATATGTCCGTCATTTCATTCCGTATGTTACTATGTACAATGTTTAACACAGTTATCTACCTTGATTAAAGTATCAGAAATCCAGCATGGTTTGCGTCTTTATAAACAAAGACATTTATAATACTATACACGAAACACCCTTGTAAAAACACACCATCGCCTCACAGATCATTTCATTGGCGACGAGAAAATGGCAGCTTTTAATTTACCCGCATTTCCTTCCTTTGATATTGAAACGGACAAATCAAGCGCAGGTCCTCGTTGGGAAAAATGGGTTGAACGCCTAGAAAACCTTTTCATTGGTCTAGATATCGACGATGAAGACAGAAAACGTGCCTTATTATTACATTATGCTGGGGAAAGGGTCTATGATATATACGATGCCGAAAAAAAGCAAACATTAGCCTCGTATGATGCAACAAAGAAAGTCCTGAAAGACTATTTTGACCCCAAGAAGAACATACAAATGGAAATATACAAATTCCGTAGCTATAAACAATTAGATAGATGGTCAATCATTAGATGAGTTTGTTACTGAATTACGGAAGTTATCAAAAAATTGCAAATTTGGCAACATAGACAGTGAAATTCTCACACAAGTCATTCAAAACTGCAAATCAAACAGGCTCAGACGAAGAGCTCTGAGGGAACCTGACAAGACACTTGATGACATATTGGCAACTGGAAGGGCGCTTGAGATGGCAGATTCACAAGCTCTAACTATGGAACGCGAAACCATAAATAAAGTACAATCTACACAACGTACCGCCCAAAGACAACCACAAAAGCAAAACAACCAAAGAAATAACACAAAGCCACAATACCGTAATGATAATTCTAAACAACACAAACATACATGCCGTAACTGTGGTGGACAGTACCCGCATACAAATGAATGCCCAGCTAAAGGGAAAAAATGCAACTATTGCAGTAAACTAAATCATTTCAGCAAAGTATGTAGACAGAGGCACAATCCTACTAGACAAGAAAAAGTTAGAGAAGTCCAACATAACACAGACAACAATAATTATGAATCAAGTAGTGATGAAGAATATGCATATCATATCAGCATGATTACACCGTCACGAGAACATGTAAGTGTAGTTGGTTCGAAAACACCAAGAGTAAACATTCGCATAAACGACAAACATTGCAACTTTCTTCTAGACACTGGTGCAACAGTTAACCTTCTTGACCAGAAAACTTATCACAAGATAGGAGCACCTAAGATGAAAAAGGGCAATAATCCAAATTTATTACCGTATGGCGGAAGTGATCCTTTAAAGGTCATGGGTCAATGTCAGCTTAGTGTCGAAACAAAAAGTACTATTGACTGTGACACCTTCTATGTAGTTCAAGGAAATCATGGAGCTTTGCTCGGATACCCACTTGCAAGCAAGCTAGGGCTTGTAAAGATTATTAACCAGATAACTGATCCAAAAGCAAAATATCCTAAATTGTTTGAAGGCATTGGTAAATACAAGGGAAAACCAATTAAACTGCACATAGATGAAAATGTGAAACCAGTAGCACAGAGACACAGAAGGACACCATTTCACCTTCGTGATAAAGTTGAGAAAGAACTTATAAAACTGCAAGAGCAAGATATTATTGAAAAAATAGAGGGTACACCAACACCCTGGGTGTCTCCTATAGTGACTCCACCAAAGAAAAACCCAGAAGAGATTAGACTATGTGTTGATATGCGTCAGCCGAACAAAGCTATATCTCGTGAACGACATCTTTTACCGACTATAGATGAACTGATACACGACTTAACTGGAGCAATACTGTTTACAAAGCTGGACCTAAGGTCAGGATACCACCAGCTGGAACTCCATCCTTCGTCTCGATATATAACAACATTTAGTACACATGCAGGTCTATTTTGTTACAAACGCCTCAATTTTGGAATATCATCAGCTTCAGAAATTTTCCAAGAAGTAATACGCAACGTTGTAAGTGGTATACCTGGAGTTAAAAACATTTCAGACGACATAATCATATATGGCAAATCACAGGCAGAACATGATAAAGCGTTAGATGCCACATTCAAGAGGTTACTTGAAAACGGACTAACTTTAAATCTTGAAAAATGTGAGTTTAATAAAGATCAAGTAGTGTTTTTCGGGGTTACATTTTCGAAAGATGGCATTTCGCCAGATCCAAAGAAGGTTAGCGCAATCAAAGACATGTCTCCACCGAAAAATGTACCAGAACTGCGTAGCTTTCTAGGTATGACTACATACTCATCTAGATTCATACAGAATTATGCAACATTATGTGAGCCGTTAAGAAGACTAACACGCCAAGATACAAATTGGACCTGGGGTTCTGAACAAGAAGCAGCTTTCGAAAAATTGAAATACGAACTATCTAGCGACACCGTCATGACATATTTTAATCCGAAACATGAGATTGATATTTTGGTTGATGCCAGTCCTGTTGGACTCGGGGCAATAATGTCTCAAGAAGGAAAAACTGTAGCTTATGCCAGCAGAAGTCTTACTGACACTGAAACAAGGTATAGCCAAACTGAACGAGAAGCTCTTGCTATTGTTTGGGCATGTGAACACTTTGATATGTACATAAGAGGTGCACCAAACGTGAACATTATAACAGATCACAAGCCACTAGAGCGTATTTGGCAGAAACCAAAGCCACCACTGAGAATTGAACGTTGGGGTTTGAGATTACAACCATACAAACTTAAGATAACATATCGACCAGGAAGTGAAAATCCTGCAGATTTTATGTCAAGACACCCATCAGACAACCCTGTCAAATCCCGAGAACAATCTATAGCAGAACAGTATGTGAGATTTGTTATGTCTGAAGCAGTACCTCGTGCAATGACACTTGATGAAGTTAAAATGGCTTCTTCAAAGGACAAAACTATTCAAAAGGCAATAGAATTTGTAAGAACTAGACATTAGTTTGTTAGCAATCATTCTGTGGATTCTAGTCAAGAGACTCTAGTCAGAACATTTTAAACTTTATATGATAGAAAATTTGAAATCCATTTTTATGACAATCATAGACTTCATTTCATTCTTTTGATAGATAATTTCATAACAACAAAAATATCTTAATGTTTAATGTTTCAATAAGTTTAAATGAAAATTATTTCTTTATCTAAGTTGAGGAGGGATGTAATATCCTAACTTTAATATTGATCCGGAATATATGTCCGTCATTTCATTCCGTATGTTACTATGTACAATGTTTAACACAGTTATCTACCTTGATTAAAGTATCAGAAATCCAGCATGGTTTGCGTCTTTATAAACAAAGACATTTATAATACTATACACGAAACACCCTTGTAAAAACACACCATCGCCTCACAGATCATTTCACTAGTTCAGCAAAATGTTAACCTACTTTCAAGTTTGCAAGTTTGTAACTGATAACAGATACATGTATTTCTTTACCTTGATACTGATTTGGAGTTGCATCATCTGCAATACTTAAAATGTTGTCTTGGGTAATTTTTACTGTTAGCATAAGAATACTTAGGAGTGCAATGTTTAACAGATTGGGTTTTTTTTTTCCAGGTGATATTTGGTCCTATGTTTTCTGGCAAAACGTAAGTACAAGTATAAGTAGTCTTATTTAAATGTGAATGGTCATGAAACAGATTTTTAATTGATCTGATAGATAGAATCAATGTCACCAGAGGACATGTACATTTATATATATACAAAAATGTACATGTGATGGTGTCTTTTCCAGAAATAGATACATTTCAAGTAAGTTTTAAACATGCATACAGATGTACCTTGAAAAAACATCATGATATGCAAAAACTTATAGAAATGTTTGTACAATATATATTTGATAGAAATGTATAAAGATTTACATATCAATAATATAAGTATAACTTTTGATTTCTATTGCAGAATAAGAGATGCGAACGATACTAAAGTGACTCAAACTCACGTCAAAAATAAACTGACAGCATCATGGCAAAAAACAAAAAAAGACCAAAATACAAACAACAGTATACATATCACAGAAAACTATAAAGTAACATGAACCCCACCAAAAACCGGGGGTGATCTTAGGTGATCTGATCTTGGGTGATCTTCAGAAGGATGAAAATAATGTTTTGAAATGAAAGTACTTTTTGATAAATGCATATGTCCATGATGTTTTATTGCATCAATGATGGATCTATGTCTGCTGAATGCCAAAACTGCTATAATGGTCTCCTATATATTATTATTCAAATGCATATGCATTTGTTTAAAGGATGTTTTTGTTGGTATATTTTAGGACAGAATTAATGAGAAGAATGAAAAGATACCAGATAGCCAATTATAAATGCTTGGTCATTAAATACTCAAAAGATGACAGATATGACAAAGAAGGCATAGCTACACATGATAAGTAAGTTGAGTAAATAATGCACACAAGTTTACCTGGACAAAATAAGATTGCACTGATTGCAAAAGATAACGTATTTTTAAAAGATTAAAAGTATGTATTCAAAAAAAATATATTGGAAAACCAATATATAATTCTTGAGATTGGACTGTGTTTATGTATTGTTAGATACAAATGTTTTAATCAAAATACTTGACCATGAAATTGTGGTTACATCAACTTAAAACTAGGGTATGCATGTTCATTATGATGTGAACTTTGTAAATTATATTAAAAAAAAAGCAGAGCTCTTGGGATTACAGTCTTCACAATAAACTTTAAAATCAACAGGCCCGGATCTCAACTATTGGAAAATTTTAGTTAGATTCTGTTGGCCTGTAGGGATGATTTTTACAGGCACGAAAGGAATTTTACAAGCCTGGGCTGCTGGGCCTGTGGTTCAGCGTGAAGACTGGGATTATATTGGTGTCTCGGGTTGATAAGGATGTGATATTGAAAAAGCCATATCATATACACTTTATTACATGTATCTACATGTACCTCGAGCTCACATAGATGTTTTTTATGTGACATGACGTCATACAGGTAAGGAGGTTTGAAATGACGTCATACAGATTATAGGTTTGACATGACGTCATACAGATTAGGGGTTTGCTAAAGCCTTTGCAACAGTGACTGCAATCGATGACATGACGTCATACAGATTAAAGGTGTGATAAAGCCTTTGCAACCGTGCTGATATTGATATCATCACGGGTGGCTGATACAGCACGCTTGCCAGCCAATTATGTATTACACATACAATTTATCTGTATTAACTACTAAGTATATAATAAAAAAATATATTTTGATCTTAATTCTTGTTTTTATTCTTAATTGTGTCTTTAAATTAAGAAACAAAATAAAGATTGCAGCAGATCTTAAACTCTATTAAAAATTTTTGCTATTTATAAGAATTTTTCTAAACCATAAAATGGTGTGCAGAATGGTTAGTTTTCATGCACATACATTTTACCTGTATAAAACCACTATGGAGCATTCTATACAATATACTGAATCATACTCTAATGCAAATTGTGTCATATTTTCACAACTATATTGTTGTTAACAATAATTTGATAATTATACCCCTGCTTTAAAAAAGTGGGAGTATACTGTTTTACCTCTGTCTGTCAGTCCATCCGTCAGTCTGTCCGTCCCATGAATATTTTTCGTAGCATCTTTCTCAGGAACTACATTACCAGGATTTCTGAAATTTGGTTTCAGGGTTCATATGAGTCAGCTATACTGTGTGATGCGTTTTCAGATTCATCACTCAACAACTTCCTGTTTACCTTATACTTTTAGCGGGCGGGGGTATCATTAGTGAGCAGTAGTTCACAGATTCACTTGTTTGATGTTATAATAAAAAAAAAAAACACTAATGGTTGGTTTTTTTGCCTGAATTGTAGAGTTTGTAAAGTCCACTGTCCTTTTCTTCTTGAATAACTAAATAAGAAGCAATTATGACTGAAAATGTGAAAATTTTATATAATTTATTCACAGTATTGGGATACAAATATGAAAAACCAGAATTAATTTGTTCATCTTTATTTTGATACTTTTAATAATTTTTATAGACAAACATTGCCAGCAGTCCCAGCAGAAAAGTTAGATGATGTTTTAGTTATGGCTGAGAACTTTGATGTTATTGGTGTGGATGAAGGACAGTTTGTAAGTATAAATTGTGTATAATGACCTTTCAACCTATTCAATTACTTTTATTTCCCTTGCCAAAAGAGATATGAAGATTTGTTCACCAGACAGAAGCTACTCTGAGACGATGGCTTCCCTGGCTACTATTACTCAAGTGGGAGATCTTCATAATAAATGTCAATAAAAACTTGTCTGTAGTTATTTGTGTCTTTAGACTTTATTTCGTTCACTAACACCATGTTCACAGTTTTGTTCATGTTTTGATAATTTTTCTTCATAAAATATTCAAATTTTCAAATTTTTGGCATTATCTAGGTGAAATCCTCAAAATTCTGCCCTTTGACCCAAAATTGTAATTTTTAAACCCAAAACGGCAAAATTTTGAAAAATTTCATGAGGCTGTACAAATTCCTTACAGTAAACGATGTCCATTCCAAGTGTTTTGTACATAAAACGACATTTTATGTCATTAAAGTATACTAGTTTGGCTTCAATTCTTCCATATTCTTTCAAAAAAAATGTTCCCTCATTTCAAATTCTCATAAATTCCGTAAATTTCCTCTGATTTTGACACGGTTTTCAACAAACGGAAGCGCCATGTTTACACTTTCATCCGGGTATTCAACAAAGAAAGATAACTCGTGTTTGCACTGTTTTGAGCGGGAAATATAGAAGAGGTATTCCGATCCCGGTAAAACGGGACTCGTCGTCAGCTATCTGAAGCGTGAATCCCGGTAAACCGGGACTCAGGGCGAAAGGGTTAATGAAATATCCAGGTACATGCAATTTCTCACATCAATTGTTTAAATTTTATTTTTAACATAACATTTTTGTTTCGCCTGCGACAAAAGTCTCAGAATGCAAGACATAGTGATTACAATGCGGCAACGGCGTAAACTATTTGTATATATAGCTTTATATTTCAGAAGCTAGAAGACCTAGATGCTTTATACCTTGTAGGCAGATGCCTTATGTTACTAAGTTTCCGTCTGTCATATATCCATTGTCCTTGACCTCATTTTCATTGTTCAGTGACTTGAAAAAAAACAAGTTTTTTTTGTCAAGTGAAATACTCACCTATTATGAGTAATAGGATAACTATATTTGGTATATATGTTCCTTGCAACATCTACATGTCTATCAGGTATGGTTCACCTGACCTCAACCTCATTTTATGGATCAGTGATCAAGGTTAAAGTTACATGGTGAAGTCCGTATCTCATCATTCTGTAAGCATTAGGTAAACTATATTTGGTGTATGGAATGATTGTAAGGTGTACATGTCCAACTGGCAAGTTTCATCTGACTTTGACCTCAACTTCATGGTTTATTGGACAATGCTTAGTTTTTGTCTCCACTCCGACGAAAGTCGCGGAAAGCGAGACATAGGGATTGCTTTTCCAGCAACTCCATCTCCAGCGTCAGCAATTGTTAAGTTTTTTGCTTAAGTTAGTTTGATAGGAACTACTTGTGATAGATCATTGATATTTACTAAGAAGTTGCATTACTATCAGTACATACATGTATCAGTTTGACAACTATTTTGAGGCGCTGCCCCTAGGACATGTTCCAGTGACTTTGAATTAATAAGCAATTTTCAATGTTAAGTTTTCTGCTTAAGTTAGTTTGATAGGATCTACTTGTGATAGATCAATGATATTTTGTTTAAAGTTGCATTACTATCAGTACATATAAGTTTGACGACTATTTTGAGGCCCTGCCCCCTGAAAACATGGTCTGGTGACTTTGAATTAATTAGCAATTTTCAATGTTAAGTTTTCTGCTGAAGTTAGTTTGGTAGGATCTACTGGTGATAGATCAACGATATTTTGTATGAAGTTGCATTACTATCAGTACATATCAGTTTGACGACTATTGGAAATGTTAACAACTCTTCAATATGTCTGAAAAGTTCTTGAAATTTGTATTATTCTTTTCCAAATTATTTTACAACAGCCGTTTTAGTGATGTTAGATGAATACTGTGTCATGGCATTTTTATTATTTCCAGTTCCCAGATGTTGTGAGTTTTAGTGATGAGATGGCAGAGAGAGGTAAAACTGTTATAGTTGCAGCATTAGATGGAACTTTTCAAAAGAAGGTAAGTAACAGAGTATCAGAAATAAAAAAGACAAACGTGATGTTGAACATTCATGTTTACAAAAATTGAAGCAACCTGCCTTTGTCTTTCCAAATTGGCTGTACAAAATAATTTTATTCTAATTGAATGGTGTAAAAATAGTTTTGAATGTATGTATTTTTTATGCCCCTACCACAGCCATGGGGACATTAAGTGTTACCCTTGTCTGTAAGAACATACGTCCCAAAATTAGTTTCTATTCTCTAACTTTAGTTTTCCTCAACCAAATGTTATGAAACTTATACACAATGCTTATTACCACAAAACACAGATCAAGATAGAATTTGGGTGGCGTCACTTTTACTGTTCTTGAGTTAAGCCCCTTTATTAATGGAAAAATTGCTGAATGTTAAGTTTCCTTTCTCGAACTTTAGTTTGCCTCAACCAAATGTTATGAAACTTGCACACAATGCTTATTACCATAAAATACAGATCGTTTGAATTTGGGTGATGTCACTTTTACCCTTCTTTATTTATGTCCCTTTATAACGCTATATGCAAGCAGGGCATCCATCATCTGTGTCCCATGGACACATTCTCCATTTATTATCTGCTTTTACAATCAAGTTCAGAATCCGACTAGATTCATAGATTAGTGGTGTTAAATTTTTTCAAAAATATTTAGAAATGCCTTATTTTTGTCGAGCCTGCGACTTTTGTCGCAGAAAGCTCGACATAGGGATAGCGATCCGGCGGCGGCGGCGGCGTTAGCTAACTTCTTAAAAGCTTTATATTTTAGAAGATGGAAGACCTGGATGCTTCATACTTTGTATATGGATGCCTCATGTTACGAAGTTTCCGTCAGTCACATGTCCAATGTCCTTGACCTCATTTTCATGGTTCAGTGACTACTTGAAAAAAAAGTTCAGATTTTTTGTAATGTTAAATTCTCTCTTATTATAAGTAATAGGATAACTATATTTGGTATGTGCGTACCTTGCAAGGTCCTCATGCCCGTCAGACAGTTTTCACTTGACCTCGACCTCATTTCATGGATCAGTGAACAAGGTTAAGTTTTCGTGGTCAAGTCCATATCTCAGATACTATAAGCAATAGGTCTAGTATATTCGGTGTATGGAAGGACTGTAAGGTGTACATGTCCAACTGGCAGGTGTCATCTGACCTTGACCTCATTTTCATGGTTCAGTGGTTATAGTTAAGTTTTTGTGTTTTGGTCTGTTTTTCTTATACTGTATGCAATAGGTCTACTATATTTAGTGTATGGAATGATTGTAAGGTGTACATGTCTAGCTGGCAGGTGTCATCTGACCTTGACCTCATTTTCATGGTTCAGTGGTCAAAGTTAAGTTTTTGAGTTTTGGTCTTTCTTTCTAATACTGCATGCAATAGGTCAGCTATATTTGGTGTATGGAATGATTGTAAGGTGTACATGTCTAGCTGGCAGGTGTCATCTTACCTTGACCTCATTTTCATGGTTCAGTGGTCAAAGTTAAGTTTTTGAGTTTTGGTCTTTTTTTCTAATACTATATGCAATAGTTCAACTATATTTGGTGTATGGAAATATTTTATGATCTATATGTCAGTTACGCAGGTTTTATTTGACCTTGACCTCATTTTCAAGGTTCATTGCTCAGTGTTAAGTTTTTGTGTTTTCGTCTGTTTTTCTTAAACTATAAGCAATAGGTCAACTATATTTGTTGTATGGAAGAATTGTTAGCTGTACATGCCTGCCTAGCATGGTTCATCTGACCTTGACCTCATTTTCATGGTTCATTGGTCAATGTTTAGTTTACTTGGTTAATGTTAAGTTTATGTGACAGTTGTAATAAAGCTTTATATTTTGGACTATCAACATAATATCAATGATTAGTAAAGAAGGCGAGACATTTCAGCGTGTGCACTCTTGTTGTTTTCAGTGTTGAGATACAAAAATAAATCTATAAAAATGAATGAATAAATTGGCTGCATTTGTATTATTTTTTCTATAAACCTGTTTTTGTTTTTAGGGATTTGGAAACATCTTAAATCTAGTACCTTTAGCAGAGAATGTAATCAAATTGACTTCTGTTTGTATGGGTTGCAATAATGAAGGGTCTTTTACAAAGAGGAAAGGCCAAGAAACTGCAGTAAGTAGACATTGTACAAAAATCTAATTGAAATAATGATATTTAAAAAAAATCACTTGGTTGCATCATAAAAAAATATGCACGAACTATTTGCCACTGGATGTAGAGCAAACAATCATAAAAAATATTAACGGAAATAAAAATAAATACCACATGATTGGATTTTCACTATTGACATCTCCCTATAGAGTAACACTGTATTACTCCAAATGGATAATATCTACCTTAAAATAGTCTTCACTATTTAAAAAGCCCATAGAATGGAATTGGTTTCACAAAATGCATTGAAGGCTATCCAAGGAAAAGTAGGGAATTTGTTGGACAGCTCTTTATATCATTGTACATGGGTGGTGCGATTCAAGCCTTTAAGCCAAATTTTATGTCTGTAGGTCATGCCAAAAAAATCTGTCCCATGCCTAGACACCAATTTTATTTTTACTTGGATAGCCCTGACATGGTTTCACCTGTAGAATTAGGGCAACCTGTATCATACCTGTACTTTGACAGTCATAATGTAACAAGTAAACCAAAACAAAAGGAAGTAGTAATAATTGGTGTTACAAGAACTGCTAAGAAGAGACTACTTAAAAAGCTCTGAGCATGCTCATAGCTTCCTTTATGATCCCTTAGTATGCTCACAGTTACTGGAAGCTATTTCTTATTGATCTTTTCTAGAAAAGAGAAAAGATTACAGACCAAGGCTTCCAAAACGGTCATATATTCCGGACATTTGTATAATGTCCGGTAAAAGTCCGGCTGGGCAAAGCATGAAATGGACATCTACTTTTTAGTTTTCAATGCTTAAGAGACGGTCATTTTAACATAATTCGTGATCTTTTTGCAACCTTTTGCCTTTAACAGCCACACATTTCCGGTCATAAAAGTGACATGATCATTAAGTACTATCAAAGCAACCCCTACTTTAATACCTCCTCATTTTAATCAAGGCTAATTAGTTGTCGAACAGCTGAAATTTACCTGTTCAGGTGACAGGTAAACTATTTTGAACCGGACATTGATCGGTCTATTCAAAGTTATTTTCTTACATTTCAGCGGTTTGCATCTAATTAATTTAGTCAAAAAGATTTAAATTATCAGAAATACGTTTACAAATATGATTTGATGAAAAAATTAAAAAGGTGAAAATGAAAAATCGTCATAACCACGTTGTTTGAACCAGAGACATGTCTCTGTTTGAACTAGTACACGTGTGCGCAGGTGTGAAATTTAATTATGCTTCCTAATTCCTTCAAAAAATGCTTAAATTGTCATTGATACCTTTATCTCACGTTTATTTCGAATATTTTCTTGAAGAAATAACGTAGAAAGAGCTACTTACACTCATTCATGCTTTGTAAACGTACACGGAATTTACGTATCTGTCTCTGGTCCATGTTTTACAATTGTCAAGATAACATCCAGTTTAGATTTAAAAACGAAAGTAAAGATTTTGACAACGTTATTTTGCACAAATAAAGAGTCTTAAGTAGATATAAGTACGCTGATGTTGCACACTTCGAATGATGCACTGCCAATTTAACAGTTTATGTCAGAACTTCGAATTTGAATCAAAGAAAGTTTAATATCGTTTTTATTTTAATGTCAATCATTCGGATGGCCAACTCGGCAACTGATTATCATAATTGCCTTTTATTTATTTAGTCTTAAGGGATTAAAATCGGGATAATATATAAAATGTCCGGCTGGCTAAAAATAATTTTGGAAGCCCTGTTACAGACTTCAATTGCTCTATTTCTAGTTTCTAGAAATTATGATCAAGTTTACAGCAGGAATGTTTATTTTATTTGCCATTTACCTTGTTCTTTCGCAAAATATTGTTTAATTAATTTTGTTTGTTTTGTTTTCTTCAGGTTGAAATAATTGGAGGAGCTGACAAATACCTTGCTGTTTGTAGATCCTGCTTTAAATCACCATTGAAGTCACCAAGAAAACATGAAACACCTCCATTTAACATTATGAAAGAAGCAAAAACAGTGGCAAACAGAAAGTTGTTCAATTCTCCTGTTAAAAATTGTTAGTGTTTGTTATGAGTTACTCATATGATACTCCATGATCTCTATTCCAGGGTGAATGATATTAGGTCAATAAAAATTTCTTGTGTTACAGGTTATCAAAACAAATTGACTACATGTAACTGACTTTGATTCTTTCATACATTTATTCTTTTATATTAATTCTGACTCCTAAATGCATTTACTTGTAGAGAATGCATTATTTATAATAAATACCTCCAATTTTGAAGTTCAGCTGACTTCAGATTTTTTTACTTACAAAAGTCGACTTTTTCATTCATTTTGACTTATTTTTAATGTAACCTGGACCAAAGGGTGTTTTGGATTGACCTATATATAGTACAATTTAAATATGAAGTATTCAAAAATTTATTGAAAAACCTGGTGATTTGGAGGTTAAACTATCAATTAATTTATTTTGTGTATCGTCTTTATAATATATATGCAAATTAATTCCTAACTTGTAGTTTTATTGTGGACCAATAGCAACTTACAATTTGAAACAATGTCATATCTCTTTTTATCATGCATTTTAATGTAATACTTTGTATTAACTGCAGCATTCTCCAGAATTATTTACAGAAATATAATTTGGATTTAAATTTTTCTTTTTAACATACAAAAAGCAACAAAATCCAATACCCAATGAAAAACAAATTTGTTTGATTTGTACTATGCCTAAAACCATGAATAAATGTGATTTCAAAGATGTCATTTTGCAAAAAATAACTGGAAGTCATTTATATAATGAAAACATTGTTTTGTTTCTTAATAAATAATTATAGATTGTTTCGGAATTGATGTAGAATTGAAAGTATTTTATTTTGCTGATTGGAATATTTTGAATGAGGAATGTCTAACTCCTTTATAAATGATTAAAGTTTACACATGTATTGTTGAAAATAAGTTGTTAATGGTAATTGTTTTAAAAATAATTCATTTTATAATTGATTTTAGATTGGGTATTTCATTTTGCTTGATAGTGTCATTTTTTTATTAATCTTTTTTTTTCACTACTGTGGATTCTTTTATTATGGTTTGTATCACATAATTTTTTCATGTAAAGAATTCATGACAGCTATTAAAAAACAAATATGAAATGCATTTTTTTTATTTTTTTTTTAATCATAACCTTATTACTAGATAAACCTAAATCAGAAATCCTTAATTAAAATATACTTAATTTACGCATGAATTACTTCATTTTAGAATAGCTTATAAGCAATGGAACACATGGTGACAGTAACGCTTTGAACATATTAAAATAGAATATTATTCTCAGGGATAAGATGTGTTATGTTCATATACCAATAAATGTGTTCAAATTGCCATGTTCATGTACCACTGATGTGTTTCATGTTGCAATGTTCTTATACCACTGAATGTGTTCAAGATGCCATGTTCATGTACCACTGAATGTGTTTCATGTTGCCATGTTCATATACCACTGAATGTGTTCAAGTTGCCATGTTCATGTACCACTGAATGCATTTCATGTTGCCATGTTCATATACCACTGAATGTATTCAAGTTGACATGTGTATATATCACCGAATGTGTTCAACTCTATTTATTTCAACCACAAGTATTTATCATAATCTGAATATTTCAAATGAAAATTATAGTTACCATTTTCAAGAACCCCAAAAAATCAGATCAGAAAATATTAGATTTCAGTTTTCATTAGGTTTCCCTTTCTTTTCTAGAATTCTTTCTTTTGTAATGAGAGTTAAAAATCTCTAGTCTGTTCAATTAAATATTAAAGAAAACTTTGCATTTATTTTTTTTGGAAAGTAAGTATTTGTCTTTTTAAATCTATAATCATTTTAAATTTTAAAAAAATCAAATACTTACTTGTTCTCGACATTATTTTTTTTTTTTAGCATCATTGCAATGTGATCCTATCTGAATTGATTTCTTACAGATTGTGTTATGGATGTGATGAAATAATTTAGAGCCATTGTCAATTTTTTACTAGATTTCTGAAAAATTAATTATGTTCCTTTACACAGAAAAAATAGTATTACAAATTAACTGATTGGTTGTAATGTTTCACAACTACATCCTTTAATTCAACAGTAATTTTGTCACTATGTCTTGCACTTCATACCAGAGTGATTTTCTATAAGTTTGACTTTCATGTCAATTTTTCAAAACTTTACTGTAGTAATCATTATATTTTTACTACTTAAATTTTCTTGTAATGTACAATGCTGTTGGAGTGATTTAAGTCTCTGACCAATATTATTTTCTTTTCTTTTTAAAATTGGTCCTCAAAGTTTTATAGACACCTCATCTAGTTGTCTAATACATGATCTTCCAACTAGTGCATTTTCCTGGAAAAATATGACGTCACAAAGCACATATCTCCATGTCACAATGTCCCATGACGCCTTTCCTCGGAATGACCCCAGGTCAGGCTGGGCAGTTTATTCACAAAATCAAAATCGGAATCTTGTGTATTATTTAAATAGCCAAATATGTTTGTTACGTCATATTGAAAAAAGATTACTTGTATCAATTTCTTGTGTTTAAAAAACATTTTTGACACAGTCTGCATCATTTCTGTATGTGCATTGCTGTAGATTTATGCTTTTCATTATATATATTGTCATAACTGTTTATTAAGTAGGTTTTTTATCATTGTAAACTTTAATACTGTATCAATCATCACTCATATCATTCATGTATATTGCATTTAATAGTTCATCAATGTATTTGTTCTGTTTTCTGTAATTCTTAAATTTGTATTTTAGTGCTCATGTATGCAAGGAACTGCCATCAGTTTTAGTTAATATTGTTGTTTCATCATTTTATCCATTATCGAACAATTTGTATTTTGACATTTTTTATACTCCACTTTACATATTTTATGTGAAAATTAGTTTTCAGTTCTTTTCTTCTTTTTTTATTGCATTTGTATTGATTTATGTTTTAATCCATATTTGAACTTCATCATGTCTGTATATTTAATAGTGCCAATAAAATTCATACATCAGTAGATTGACTTTTCTTTATTTGTATTATGTACCGATTGGTTGGACCACAAAACTGAAGTTAAGTACTTTTCAAGCATTGATATTTTATGAAACCACAAAATAACAGAAGTTGGGTGACAGCAATCTACAACAAGTATTACCAAAACATATTTAAAGAGCAACTTAGTCTTCAGTTCAACAACCATATAAACTACAAATATTTTCCAAAAAAGGCAAAAACCAGATAAAAAAACATAGAACCACTGTGGAGTGATATTTTTATTAACACTGATAGTAACAATTGGGTCATCATGGCCTATTTTCAATGCATATAGGATTTTTTTATTTTTTATTTTGGATAACTATAATTGATGGAGGAGTGATCTTCTGTCCGCTGATCAGTTGTAAAACAGCCTTAATCTATTCTTTTCATGCATAGATGAATCTGATTTATGTTTGATAAAAACAAGAGTGCACATGCTGAAATGTCTCGCCTTCTTTACTAATCATTGATATTATGTTGATAGTCCTAAATATAAAGCTTTATTACAACTGTCACATAAACTTAACATTAACCAAGTAACCTTAACATTGACCAATGAACCATGAAAATGAGGTCAAGGTCAGATGAACCATGCTAGGCAGGCATGTACAGCTAACAATTCTTCCATACAACAAATATAGTTGACCTATTGCTTATAGTTTAAGAAAAACAGACCAAAACACAAAAACTTAACACTGAGCAATGAACCTTGAAAATGAGGTCAAGGTCAAATAAAACCTGCGTGACTGCCAAATAGATCATAAAATATTTCCATACACCAAATATAGTTGAACTATTGCATATAGTATTAGAAAAAAAGACCAAAACTCAAAAAACTTAACTTTGACCACTGAACCATGTAAATGAGGTCAAGGTCAGATGACACCTGCCCGCTAGACATGTACACCTTACAATCATTCCATACACCAAATATAGTAGACCTATGGCATAGAGTATAAGAAAAACAGACCAAAACACAAAAACTTAACTATAACCACTGAACCATGAAAATGAGGTCAAGGTCAGATGACACCTGCCAGTTGGACATGTACACCTTACAGTCCTTCCATACACCGAATATACTAGACCTATTGCTTATAGTATCTGAGATATGGACTTGACCACCAAAACTTAACCTTGTTCACTGATCCATGAAATGAGGTCGAGGTAAAGTGAAAACTGTCTGACGGGCATGAGGACCTTGCAAGGTACGCACATACCAAATATAGTTATCCTATTACTTATAATAAGAGAGAATCTAACATTACAAAAAATCTTAACTTTTTTTTCAAGTAGTCACTGAACCATGAAAATGAGGTCAAGGACATTGGACATGTGACTGACGGAAACTTCGTAACATGAGGCATCCATATACAAAGTATGAAGCATCCAGACCTTCCACCTTCTAAAATATAAAGCTTTTAAGAAGTTAGCTAACGCCGCCGCCGCCGCCGCCGGATCACTATCCCTATGTCGAGCTTTCTGCGACAAAAGTCGCAGGCTCGACAATAAAAAATCTTGTTCTGATCAGAAATGTGCTTTATATAGCATCTCAGGAGCCATATCACTTTAATAAATCCAAATACCCCTACTTTCAATCACTATGCAGTACAGTACAGTAATTCCTGGATTCAACGTTAACCTAAACTTGTACATGTGTAAATATAACAAGAGTGCAAATGGTGAAATGTCTCGCCTGCTTTACTGATCATTGATTTTATGTTGATAGTCCTAAATATAAAGCTTTACTAGAAGTATCACATAAACTTAACATGATCCAAGAAAATGAGGCCAAGGTCAGATAAACCCAACCGGAAATACATGTACACCTTACGATCATTCCATACACAAAATTTAATTGACCTATTGCATATAGTTTCTAAGAAACAAACTTAATCAGGAAAATTTAACATTGACCAATGAACCATGAAAATGAGGTCAAGGTCAGATGAACCATGCCAGACAGACATGTACACCTTACAATCAATCTGCATTAAATATCGTTGACCTATTGCTTGTAGTATCTAAGAAACAAACTTAACCATGAAAATTTAACATTGACCAATGAACCATGAAAATGAGGTCAAGGTCAGATGATACCTTCCAGTTGGACATGTACACCTTACAATCATTCCATACACCAAATATAGTTGACCTATTGCTTATAGTTTAAGAAAAACAGACCAAAACAAAAAAACTTAACACGGAGCAATGAACCGTGAAAACGAAGTCAAGGTCAAATAACACCTGCCAGACTGACATGTACATCATAAAATATTTCCATACATACAAATATAGTTGACCTATTGCATATAGTATTAAAAAAAAACCAAAACACAAAAAACTTAACTTGAACCACTTAACCATGAAAATGAGGTCAAGGTCAGATGATACCTTCCAGTTGGACATGTACACCTTACAATCATTCCATAAACCAAATATAGTTGACCTATTGCTTATAGTTTAAGAAAAACAGACCAAAACACAAAAACTTAACACTGAGCAATGAACCATGAAAATGAAGTCAAGGTCAAATAAAAACTGCCAGACTGACATGTGCATCGTAAAATATTTCCATACAACAAATATAGTTGACCTATTGCATATAGTATTAGAAAAAAAGACCAAAACACAGAAACTTAACTTTAACCACTGAACCATGAAAATGAGGTCAAGGTCAAATGACACCTGTCAGTTGGACATGTACACCTTACAATCATTCCATACACCAATTATAGAAGACCTATTGCTTATAGTATCTGATATATGGACTTGACCACGAAAACTTAACCTTGTTCACTGATCCATGAAATGAAGTCGAGGTCAGATGAAAACTGTCTGCAAGGTACGCACATACTAAATATAGTTATCCTATTACTCATAATAAGAGAGAAATTAACATTACAAAACATCTTAAATTTTTTTTTCAAGTAGTCACTGAACCATAAAAATGAGGTCAAGGACAATGGACATATGACAGACGGAAACTTCATAACATAAGGCGTCTATATACAAAGTATGAAGCATTCAGGTCTTCCACCTTCTAAAATATAAAGCTTTTAAGTAGTTAGTTAACGCCATCGCAGCCGCTGCCGCATGATCACTATCCCTATGTCGAGCTTTCTGTGACAGAAGTCGCAGGCTCGACAAAAAAGAGGAGATGTGGTATGATTGCCAATGAGACAACTATCCACCAGAGACCAAATGAAGGGGATGGAAGCAATTATAAGTCACAATACGCCTTCAACAATGAGAAAAAAAAGACAATGTATAGTCGTCCCCGACATAAAAATGTTAAACTATTCAATCGAAAAAACTAACAGCCTAATTTATAACATAACAATTTTTGAAACCACTGAACTACAGGCACATAAAGAATGTGGCAGGGTTAAACATGTTTGTGAGCACTCAATCCTCCCAAAAACTGGAACTGTTATTAGGTTTACGTTGTCAACATGGGTTTAAATTGTCAATGTTATAAACAACAATATATGCTTAATATATGCTTAAAATTTATTCTCTGGTGCTTTTAGAACAGAACAATAATAACATTTTACAAAGAGGTCCCAGTAATAATACAGGTCTGTTTGTCCATACCTGAGAATCAGCTACTGTGAAATATACAATATGGCTGATAGAATTATTTACAAAAAGAAGAAAATGATATTTAAAACATTTGTAAAATTCACGATTAAGATTTCAAAAATATACTTTTGTAATGCGAGACATTCTAAAATGACTAGACAAAATGTTAATCTTCAATTAAAAATCCTCTGATAATAAAACAATGTATAACAAATACAAAAGTATCAACAAAATAACCAAAAGATAGTCCTACATTTTGCCCTCAGCAGATAGTCCTACATTTTGCCCTCAGCATCTAATTCAGATGTCTGTGTAACTGAACTTTATCTTAGCTGAAGCTACAGAATAAATAACAAAATTTAAAAAAAATATTTTTCATTTCATGAACAGTTTGTAAAAAATGAAAGTATTGTGCTTGGTACTTATGTTCTGGGAACAGTATATCTAACGGGAAATGAATCTCATACGCTTTTCAGTATAAAATTGATAAAATCTCGGACTCCCCGAGACTTCCCGAGATTTACGGATTTTGGTAGCGTCTGACTGAAAAACTATCAGAACTGCTCAACAAATAAACCACATAACTCTAATTGTAAATAAATACAAGTTTTATCATTTAGTAGATATATTTTGTCATATAAAATTACCAAAATAAGTTTGATTTATTTGATGTGAAGTGTTTTATAATAGTTTGGGAATTTGTAAATCATCGCGGCAATGGCCGCCATTTTTTTATTACCTGGTTTGCATTCTGCACAATTCTGTGATGAAATGCTTGCGATTTTAACAAATTTGAAGTGACAGAATACAAGTTTGATACACCAGCATCACTATAAAACTAGTTTGAATGACATTTTATTGATAATATCAGAAATAATTGAGATAATAGCGAGTCCGTTTTTAACACATGTCCGTTTCTGTATCGTATCTTTATTAACTATTGCACGACGATAAAATCGACTACAATCAGGTAGTGTCAAGTCCCGTCAATATATATGTTCCTGTTATGTTTAAACTTCTCGACATTATCACTGATGAAATTCCAAAAACTTATATGGTATTTCTACATCAAATTTATAAGAAAATATTAAACAGAAATTTTGCAAACGTTGAGGCTAATTTTAATCGTTGTTATGGACCTATACTCCTTAGACATTCATAATGAAGCAGAATACCATGCACAATTTTAACAAATCATTATCCATATAAATCTGATAAAAAAAATTCTGATAAAATAAGGAATATCAAAATAAATTCTATACAATATTCAAAAAGAATAACAGTTCTATAATATCAAATAAAAGTAAATTTCTACAACACAAAAATTAAAATAAATTTCCTTAATACCCTTTTTCAGATTTATTATATGATTCATAACCAACACATTATACCATGCCCTATGTAAATAATAATCCTGAGGTCATCAACAATTCACAACCATTTTCTAAAGAGCACAAAGTATCCACTTATTCTCCTTTCTTCCTTAAAAAAATCTATTTCCTTGGAAATTGACAGCATCTAGGAAAATGACCAGTCGCATACATATTTCTTCTGTATTTTAGTGTATAATTAAAAAATAATTTTGTGTATAATTAAAAAATATTTTTTTCCTTTTTAATTATGTTTTGTTGAATGTGCATGTCCAGAATATTTCGACAATATTCAATTATTGAGTTGAAAAATAATTTTCCTTTAAAGCATACCCGTATATATATGTAATTTAACAATTAAAATTAAGAATTTCCTTCTACAGCCATCTTCCCTATGACAAGCCTTTTGCTAAAAAATAAATGAATGACCCTGAATTTTTCCAATCTCTATGATAATTTCATCTTTTCTGCAATTTCATGTAATATGAATTGGAACTTTTTCTTTGCTAACTCTACATCGTCAGATGAAACATCGTTATGCAAGACAAATCTTAACAGTTTATCACTGTAAACAACTGTCTTTACAATAACTACATCTCCTAATTCTCTTTTCTCTTCTTCTGTTACCTAAAATGAGAAAACAATAAAAAATTAAATAAGCAATTCATAATAAATCTTTGCTTGAAGTTGTCATGGTTTCTTTTCCTTTTATTTTTGTGCAAAATGTTCATTTATGAATACAAGGTCAAATTTATGATACAAATAACTTACAGGTTAATCCTCCTCAAATGGAGGTAGAATCCCTTTTTGCCTTTTTAACCACTCCAATAAGATGGATTTTTTGGTGGGAAACAAAAATTCGTGGACATAAAAAATCTCCCCTTTAACAAGTGGTTGTATATCAAGGCTTTAATTCTTTAAGTTTTCTTATAAAATGCTTATTTCGCCATGCTTATAACTATATTTGGCAAAATTGTCTGGATGTCACAAACGCATGGGTTTAAATTCCACTGATGGAAGTACAAAAATTTGCAGATCTAACATTGTTGGGCCATTAATGAAGACATCTTTTTCCAACTTATTCAGTTTTAACAAAATAGACTAATTTCCCATTTGTTATAATTATAAATGTTTAGTCAATACATGCATCAATTGAAAGTAATATAAAATGAAAAAGGTTGTCACACTGAATCACCACAACTTAACATGAAGCAGATAACCAGTAATCAATTACTGTACTTATCCTAAAGGCTTATTCAAAAATGACAACCTTACGTTTATATGACTTTGCAAATTGTTATATGCTTATAGCTTGCTGTTCGGTGTGAGCCAAGGCTCAGTGTTGAAGGATGTACTTTGACCTATAATGGTTTACTTTTACATATTGTGACTTGGATGGAGAGTTGTCTCATTGGCACTCATACCACATCTTCTTATATCTATTAAATAAATACAATGACAGATGTGGAAACAAAATCTAATAGGATTGCAAGTTATATATTTTATTACACTGCACTTGCTTCATACTAACAACCTTTCACTAGCTATGAGCTAAACTGTTCTACCAGTTGGTCAGTTTGTAGAGATGAATTCAAACTGCAATTTGGAAAAATATTTAAGCAATTGGTATTGTGAAAGGTCAAAGCCTTAAGGACAAGTACAGTAAACAAAAATGTTAGTAGTACATTGTGATGACAAAAGTTGTACTGTACCTGTAGGAGCCTATCATGTAAAATCTGTGAGGGAATATTGTCTTTCAGCATAGTTATAAAGACAATATTGGTATGAACTCCACTGAGGTCTATATTGACTAGGTCATTGTGACTCTCCATAATACCTGAAAAAAATAATTCAAACCATGATTATGAAATAACATAATGAAAACCAACTGTCGAGAGCAAATCTTCATTAAATTAGTCTCACTACCTGAAACAATTGTAATTGTCATAATAATCTTGAAAATATCACGAAAATATATACAGTATCTTCTCCAGTTTTAAATAATAATAATATATATTTGTATTGAATAAACAATGAAAAAATCAACTAAGCACTAACATAGTTATAAAGAATTTTTGTAAAGGGTTGCATAAATATTACCAATAAAAATTTTGTTTAAAGTAAACCATAATTCTTCACATGTTTACATCATGAAACAAAATTCAGAATACAATATATATACATTGTATTGATTAATAGATAAGTTAGTAAAATATGAAACGGCTACAGAAGCAGTAAAAATATATGAATTTAACATCAAGTGCCTTTTTACATAAAAGCAAAATTAATATCTGTATGAAATTAAACAAATGTGCATGTACATGTTTATAAAAATTAATCTGCAAAAAATTATATTGATCTCTAGATATCTTTGAGGGGTCTGATACTGCTGTAAGACCCTGTTCACACTAGCTTTTTTTTAATCGATCTAAATAAAACCAGTTAGCGTTCACATTATATTCAATCCTAGCGATCTCTATCAGTCTAATCTAAACTTAGATCGATTAAAAAAAAAGCTAGTGTGAATGGGGTCTAAGAAGCGCCATTAGTAATCCAACAAATAAAATAAAAATCCAGAATAACAAAATATATGATATGGAAGTTCCCACTACAAGAAAAAATTTAATCGATCTGACTTATTGCCTGTGAAATTGTAAACACTGTGTAAAAATAGAAATATTTAACCAAATTAATGTGTTGATACACGCTTGCAAAAAAATAATGGATGAAGTTATTGTTTCACTTGAATTAGATGTTCAAATGTTGATACTGCTGTTCGTTTAGATTTCGTTTATTTTCAGCCCTTTTATGTTGGTGATCCATTTTGTAATATATTGCGCGTGCAATTTTACCGCCATACATGCGCACAAATTATTTTTGATTCAATCGCACTAGTTAAGGTCAATAGTTGTGTTCACATTTAAAGTAAGATCGGTTCACTTTAGATCGACTTAAACTAAACTACCTCTTTTGGTGTTTTAGTTTAGACCGATTCGAGATCGATTCAAAGCGTTCCCATTGGGCTTAAATCGATCTAAAGTGAACCGATCTAGTTTAAATCGATCTAAATGTCCAAGTGTGAACGGGGTCTTAGAGTACTGTTTCTTTGACATATACAACACATTGTCTATTTATGATACTGATTTATTGTCAGTTCTCTAATGAAATGAAATTAAGTATCAACACTGTATTCTAAGCACAAATTCCTAAAGGAATATGTTTACTGCAAATACATTAATACAAAAGTACTGCAGATGACAAAAATAAAGACATATATATATATAAAATATGGTAATAAAAAAAACCATATCTATTTATTTCTACTGACTTTACCTAAACATATATATTCTATGTGCATATCTTACCATTATCAAAAAAATAGTAATTGATGGTATAAAAAAATCTGAAAATTACAAAAAATTAGTTATACATTAAAGTATCATAGTTTCTACACATATGGCTTCAGAAGAATAGTTTTCAAGAGGCATCATTTTGCTACAATAAGCCAAAAATGGGCAAAGTAACAGAACTCCTGTAGAAAATTGTCCAAAAAATGAAGGTGTAGTATGGTCAATTAAAAATGATGACAAACAATGCAATTATGATGTAAATGGACAATAGCAAGATCTCAACATTCTGAACATTTCTGTCTCGTCAGATTTTCCCTTTTCATAGAGGTTTTCAAGATAATAGACAACACTTGCATTTTACACCTATGTTCTATTTTTTGGCAGCCAACTTTGGTTGAATTTGGCTTAGTAGTTATAGTTTCAGAGGAGACAATTTTACAAAAGTTAATGGACGCAAACAACAAACAGCGATGACAACAGCCGCCAAGTGATGAGAACAGCTCATTTGGCCCTGTGGGCCAGGTGAGCTAAAAAAGGGGAAAATAAATAATAATTTGGTGGAGACAAATTCTAATATCTGAATGAATTTGATTTCCATTGTCCTGATATACATGATAGAAATGAACAGGTCTAACTTCCCATCTGTATTAACAATGTTTAAGCACTTTCATTAATAATTTGTACCTTGTGATAATAGTTTGGTATTTTCATGGTCTAGATGCAGCCTTGGCAATACATTATCTAAAGCATACATAGCAGCAGCAGCCAGTACACCTCCCTGCCTAATTCCACCACCAAAAGCTTTACGTAGCCGTCTGGCTCTGAAATAATAAAAAAGAAGCTATAGAGGATTATTTTCAACCAATGTTTGCTCACGATATTTGTGAATGTGTTTGTCACATCAACATTGTTTCTCCCTCCCTCCACAAATCTCATAGATTAAAACTCAGCTGACACTGTTGGTCAAAATCATTAAGCTAGCTTTAGAAAAATGCTGCAAAACAGAAACAGGCAATTAATCATTCACATGTACATAAGCTTCAGAGTATCATAAAGCTGATAAATTCTACCATAATGAAGAATTTTTGATTCACTTATCAAAACATTTCTACCTTATATTCGGTTTTAAAAGAATCAGGAACTTATATTGCTATCTAGTGTAGAATAATCTTTGTTTATTCTAAATGTACCACATCAAAAACGATTTTTAAAGTAAAACTATCTTAACGGTCAAGTTTTTTACTTAGTTCTTAAAACTGTACTCCAGGAAATGTTTGCTCAATGCCTCAGCAGAATCTGAATTAGTTTTCTTCAAATTTTGGGTTTTTTGCAGACGGACTAACAAGAAGATATTCTTAATATTCCTCATTTGACTGGACTTACTGAAGTCTGTTATAAAATTTACTTGAGAGATCCAACCAGAAAAGAAAAACATAAACCAGACAGGGTGAAACAGGCAAGTATATAGAATGAACTTACTTATCAACAAACTCCTCTGATCCTGCAATTACAGAACCAACTGGAGCTGATAATCCCTGAAATTAAATGATATAAATGCATATAATGACAGATAATATAATGCTGTAAGTAAACATAATCAAACTGTAGCCAAATGCAAGTATAAAAACTGGTTTTTTTTCATACACTGAGTAAAGCCAGAATTGGAGTTTAGATATAATGTATTACTGTGCATAGTAGAAAGGCTTCGACCTTTCGCAGTACCAATCAACCAAAATGTTTTTCCATGTTGTAGATTGAAATCATCTGTTCAAACTCATTAACTTTTGAAAATTTTAAGCCCATTGCTATTGAAGGTTATGAGTCTGAGGTAAGTGTTGTGTAATAAAAACTATTCTTACCATCCAATTTCAATTTAAAAAAAACACCAAATGAACACCCTAATCATGGCTTCCAAAACGGTCATATATTCCGGACTTGACCCATATTTATATAAAAAGTCCGGCTGCTCTCAGCCTCAAACGGTCAAATATCATAGGTTTGCCACTTTTTGTTATTCAAGGCATTTTCATAAAACGGTCATTTCACTTTTTTACCAACTATCGATTGCTAAAAATGTCCGTTTGGGCATTATAGTTTATAATTGTGGCAATCTATTTCACAAAGATATTTCGGTCATATTTGGGTTTAATTAAACTGATGAAGCATATTTCATACTTTGAAGTGTCTCAGTTAGTCTAATCCTCTGGGCACACAAATGCACGGCTTGGTACATCAATAAAAAGTAGAAAAAACATTTGTTCTTTTATTTAAAAAACAACAAGCTGTCAAACAATTATCCCTTCAATAAGTAATATTGAAGCCATAAATCATTCACTGATTACAGGTCATTACCTTTGATGAGAGACCTTAGCTTGTCTTAATCAATAGAATTGATGATGCATAACAATGAACATAAAGGTGATCAGGTAAACGAGGTCAAACATGTAAGCGTGTATGGAACAACATCCTATTTAATTACGCTTTGTAGATATTATTGTAAATGAGCATTCAGTTTTAAAAAAGTATCCTTAGATTTTAAAATAATTCTTCAAATAAAAATATTTATAAATGAATTCGAATTTGTATGATATTCATTATTATATTTAAAAACACTGTACATCGTGTTAAATACTGGGGTACGCTAAAGGGTATTCAAAGTTATTTTCTTACATTTCAGCGGGTTGCATCTAATTAATTTAGTTTAAAAGATTGAAATTATAAGAAATACGTTAATAAATATGATTTGATGAAAAATTTGAAAAGGTTTTAAACAAATAATCGTCAAAACCATGTTGTTTGAACTAGTACACGTGTGTGCATGTGTCTATTGTCCGCTGGTGGGAAATTTAATTATGCATCTAATTCTTCAATAATGCTAAAATTATCATTGATACCTGTATCTAACGTTCATTTCGAGTATTTTCTTGAAGAAATAACTTGAAAAGGCTACTTTACTCAATCGTAAACTTACACGGATATTACGTATCCGTCTCTGATCCGTGATTTACCATTGTCAAGTCAACATCCAGCATAAGAAAATGTGATTTTAAAAACGAAAGTAAAGCTTTTGACAGCGTTATTTTGCACAAATAAAGAGTTTAAAGCGGAATTAGGCAGAATTAGTACGCTGATGTTGCACACTTCGAATGCTGCACTTTCAATTTAACACTTTACGTCAGAACATCGAATTTATATCAAAGTAAAGTTTAATATTGTTTTAATGTCAATCATTGGTTAAATCATATATGATGGCCAACTGATTATCATAGTTGCCTAATTTACTAAGTCTAAAGGGATTTAAAATCGGGATAAGATATGAAATGTCCGGCTGGCTCAAAAAAATTTTGGAAGCCCTGACCGTAATATGTTTGAATAGCCACATTATGTAATATAAATCAAAATATGTATTAAATATTATAATAAAACTTGATACTCTCTTGTAAAAAAACATATAAGCAATTGAAATACATTGAACATACAATGGCATGAAACATTGCAACTGTAAACAGAGCAATGACAAGTGAGTTGCCTCCCCCTGATGATGAAGTGTTTAACAAAATACCCAGGCCAGACAACTGGACAAAACCTTAGGGCTATTCCATTAAAATATATGTGGGAGGGAAGGATGGTAAATTTTATTTATGTATGTAGGTTTTGGGTCGTTTTTGGTTGTATGTCATTTGATGCATGCTAAATAACTAAAAGAAAGTATGCTGGTTGCTTTTGTAGTCCCTTCTTAGGGCTATTCCATTAAAATGTATGTGGGAGGGTAGGAAGGGACTTTCAAAATATCCCTACAACCAAGAACCATTTTTTAGATAATTTTGCATAATGGTAATAGATGCATATATACTGAAAAAAGACCCATGACCCACATTAAATAATTAAACTTCCCTTCCTACCCTCCCACATACATGTTAATGGAATAGCCCTTACCCTCCCAACAATCCAGTTCAATGAAATAGCTTTTACCTGATAAGAAATATATAAGACTAAGTCTTTTTCATAAAACTTTACTCAGTACTAAAGTATAAAATGTGTGCTTGAAACACCAAATCCAGTATACTGATTGGTTGATTTCTGAGTCTGAGTAGGATCATCAGACTTGAAATTTTTATGACCGCAAGGCCAGGAAAAAAATGACTTTTATTTCTGGTTATTTACCTTAGAAAAACACATGTTGACAGTATCTGTATACTTCAGTATATCTTTGACTGGAACATTCAGAGCTGTAGCAGCATTCAATACTCTTGCTCCATCTAAATGTACATTTACATTGGCACTTTTAGCTATATTGTATACCTGGAAAAAAACCCCACAAAAACTTATATTTTTCTCAATCTAAAATTATTTACATGTGTATACTGCAAATTCAGAAATTATTGTGTGCATTAATAATGGTAAAATTACTGTGATTTTTCAAAGAAAGAACAAAATGCATGGTTAATTATTGTGATTTCAGGAAATTCTGCATACAGATATATGTATCTGATATCAGAGTGCAAGTTCTAATCATTGCAATTCTCACCCTGTTGCATTATTCGCATCAATAAAGACCTCTCAATAGTTTTTGAATTTACAGTATAACAAAAAGCATAATGGGAGCCAAACCCAATAATATGGTACCGCATCATTATTTGTGGGCACCAATTTGCATTAATTTGTTGGTATAGGTAGACCACAAATTTAAATGTTTAAAGAAGTATAAATGTTCTATAGCTTGTAAGCAAACTTTATCATGTGTTACTCAAAATCACAAAATCAAACATCCAAGAAAATACCAATTTTACTTCATATATTAAAATTGGGTCCAATGTAAATAAATGATTCTGCAGTAGCTATATATATGCTACAAATAACTACTTTCCAATCATAATTAACCATTTTAATATTCCAGACTTATAGAAGAAGAAAAAGACCAACATGCAGGTTACCAAGTACATGTGTACCTGTATCTGAAATTTGTAGGTTACTACGTATATGTATCTGAAATTTGTAGGTTACTAAGTATATGTATCTGAAATTTGTAGGTTACTAAGTATATGTATCTGAAATTCTTAGGTTACTAAGTATATGTATCTGAAATTCTTAGGTTACTAAGTATATGTATCTGAAATTCTTAGGTTACTAAGTATATGTATCTGAAATTCGTAGGTTACTAAGTACTGTAAATTGAGAAATTCATTTATTTTCGTGGGTATCAATTTTCGTGGATAGAGAAAAAAAGACGTTTCGTGGTATACGTAAATTTGTGGATCGCTGATTACAACAAAAAATTAAATTCAGATACGTAATTCGTGGATTTCTTTTTGATTTAGGAGATCACATAACCTCCTTGGTTTGATCAATAATAACACAAACAAAAAAGAAGGAATTCATTGAGCAAGTTTTGAATTGTCAAAATCCTCGCTTGGTCATTCTAGGTTTAAGTGTTCATTGAAAACTTCTACTACAATAATGGACAGAGACAACTAATTATTTGTTTGTTTTACAATTTATAAATTCTTGTCCAAATTTTATAAGGCATCCAAAACTCTATGATTGAAAGCTCATTTCCCTAATCACGATATAATAAACATAATAGTCATATAAGTAAAAGGTGTGAAAATAAATGTTCCTGTCATAAACATTATTACCTACGGGCAATATCTCCGTACTTAATCCTATTGATTTTTAATCACCAGTAAACCAAACTATGACATGGTAATTACCAAATTTTCCATGAACAGTTTTAATCAATTTTAAAAAGTAAATTATCACTGATATTTAACATATTTATTATTGATTTAATAAAATACTTGTATCTTCTTTCAATAAAAACACGTGTTATGTAACCATGTTTATCGCTAGTCAACATTATACTAGAACTGCATAACATAACCGGAAATAAACATCCGACTCCATACACATTTCTCTGGATTATTCTTCGTTGAATTGTTAAATTCGTGGTTCGCTGTGACCCACGAAACCCACGAAAATTGGTATACCACGAATAAAAATGAATCCACAGTATTGCGATTTTAGGAGAATGGACAAAAAAAGCGAGATTATTTATTGCGACGTCAGGAAAATATGCATACAGATATATTTATCAGATATCAAAATGCGATTTCTTATTATTGCGATACTCACACAGTCGCATTATTCGCATTAATAAAAACCTCGCAATAATTTCTGAATTTACAGTATATGTATCTGAAATTCGTAGGTTACTAAGAGCATGTATCTGAAACTCGTAACTTCTTAGTACATGTATCTGAAATTCATAAGTTACTGAGTACATGTATCTGAAATTCGTAGGTTACTAATTACATGCATCTGAAATAAGTAGGTTACTAAGAATCAGGGCTGATATGCATAAAACTACTCAAGTTAAATTTTGTTCCGAACGGACGGATTTTTTTACATGTCCTACGATAAATTAGTACTACGATTGGAAATCTTAACTTCAGTGGTTTTATGCATACCAGCCCTGACATTTATGGATAACAAAATATCTAAAAAATGAACTCAATTGACATCAAATGAGTTTAGGTAACTTTTTATATGAGAACTGAACTCAGATGTAAACCTTAACATAGGTAATGAAGTTTAAAATATTATCAAAGCCAATGAACCATGAAATATGGGTAATTGAACATTCATTTAATGGTAAATGGTCTATTAATTAAAAACCCATCTACATACAATTACATGGCTTCAAGTTTATTAGATTTTGAAAACCTGACTGTCAATATCCACCATTATCCACACAGATGACAACTTCGAAGAGAAAAACCAAAAGTTAAAAATAAGTCTTCCATAATATCAAATACATCTACAGGATTTGCTTAATAAACTAACCTCTTCCATAAAGGACAACGGTACAACTTTTCCTCCACAAAAATTGTGTGTATTCTCTAAACATATCACTCTTGTGAATGGGAAATGTGGATCATCAATCTGTCTTATTCTTTGTTTCATTATTTCTATATCAAAAGTACCATCTGGTTTGTTTTCTATCAATGACGCCAACACTCCTGCAATCTAACATATAGGAATACTTTGTAGATCAACTCTGAAATTATCAGACAAAGTTTGTCAGGAATTAATACTGTAAATTCAGAAATTATTGAGAGTTTCATTATTGCGATTTCGAAAAAATCTTCATACAGATCTATCTTTTAGTTATCAGAATGTGAGTTCTTAATATTGAGATACTCAACCAGTCGCATTAATCGCATTAATAAAAACTTCGCAATAATTTCTAAATTTACAGTAGTTCTAGAATTAAGGAAATGTCATACTATTTGAATTTGACTTACTTTCCATAATGAGTATTCCTGTAAGTTTTATGTGATACATAAGCAAAGCCTTGCAATAGATATTTGTTACTGTATAATATGGCATTGCAAGTTTATAATTATAATGATCATAGTTGCATAGTTGAGATGATCATTATGTAGTGGTCATACTTTTTGTTCACATTTACTGGCAAGCAGATAAACTGGTTTTCATTTTTTTTTTTTTACTTTTTCATGAAAACCTTGTGCAGCACACAAAAATGTCCCCACATCTTGTGCACTGCAAATAACTATTTGCAATTTGAATTTCCCTCAGGTTTTTATTTGAATTCTTGTTTGATGGACATGACATGTAGCATTTTTAGAGCCACACATGATTCTTATTGCTTGAAGAAGGTCAAACTACCAAACTCCATACATAATGACAAGTCTTATACACTATTACCTGTGTGTGCTATACAATATTTGGTTGATATATGTCTCAATTTAGATCATCTCCTTTTTTCTGTAAAATGAACATATAGTCTTAGGGTGGATAATCTCTCATCATAAAGCAAGCTCAAAGTTTTTTTGTAAAAAGTGCCAAAACAGTTCATAGAAAAAGTCAAGATCATATAGACAAATACTTTTACAGTTCTTACATGAGCAATCCCTCCTTGTTCATGGACAAATATATGGCTACGACTTCCTAGAATGGCTTCTTCTCCTCTTGAAGGGCAGTGCACACACACTTAAAAAAGAAATGTTGAAATTAATATTTATTTGAACCATATCTATGATGATGTCCGTATATATTTTGGATATGAATGCAAATCCATAAACAGATATTTGATTAAAAGGAAATATTGCCGGTAAATTCAAGCTGTACAAGGTTAATTTTGACCAGTATCATATCAGGTGGACAGGACATTTTCCAGATGATACAACTATAACCGGTCAGTAATTTTAAAAGAGCATTTCTTGGTGATAAAAACTATAATCGGTCTGAAATTCACATTGTTTTTCTCTACTTTATCTGAAAGCAGTTTCTTTTGAATCAAGTGACATTGTCAATAGATATAAGAAGATGTGGTATGAGTGCCAATGAGACAACTCTCCATCCAAGTCAAAATTTATAAAAGCAAACCATTATAGGTCAAAGTATGGTCTTCAACACGGAGCCTTGGCTCACACCGAACAGCAAGCTATAAAGGGCCCCAAAAATCACTAGTGTAAAACCATTCAAAAGGGAAAACCAACGGTCTAATCTATATAAAAAACGAGAAACACTTATGAACCACTTCAACAAACGACAACTACTGAACATCAGATTCCTGACTTAGGACAGGCGCAAACAATTGCAGCAGGTTTAAACGTTTTAATGGTACCAAACCTTCACCCTTATCTGAAACAATAGTGTAACATCACAACATAGAAAGACACACTATAAAATATCAATTGAAATGGCTTAACTCAATCAAAAGACATATTTACACCAGTGAACATACACTGAACAAATAAATTTGATCTATGATACAATGTAAATACAAAATAAAATAAACTAAGGGAAGAATAATTAAATTAAAGTAGCATTTTATACTGCTGTGAAATGTTATTCAATTTAAAGGGAAACTTCGCAAAAAAATGAAAAATTGATATTATGTTCGTTATGTATAAAAAAGCACAAATTCATAAATATTAAAGTTTTATTCTGCTAGATAAGAGATCACCATCGATTTTAAGTTTAGAGTATCAATTCTTCGCATGCGGCCATTTTGGCATCCTCCCTGAATAGAAACCACGATATATCTATAAACCACAAAGTACCAAAACAAGCAGTAACCTAACGTAGCCGTAATTGAGTGTCGATATCTTGTCCAGCGTACGGTTGTTTTATCCGACAAGGAAAGCATAAACAGTTTCCCGGGTCACAAAAAAGATTATAATAGACATGGTTGTGCAACCTTTCCTAACTAACTTGATACGGAAAATGTAATTATATATATTTTTTTTTAAATAACTAGTACTATGGTCTGTCGTTTTAAAACTGTTTTTTTTTTTAACTAAGTTTTTGAAACAAGAAATTTTAATGGAAATTAGTTTATAGTCAAAGTTCAAAGTCATAAATAAGTGTTCCGTGTAAAATTGTTTTCGAAAATCTAGTTTGTTCATAATTCTTTTATGTAATAAACTTATTTAAATAAATTCGGACCTTCCCTTATCTGATCACTAGCATGGCTTAAGAAATCCCAGAGGTATTGTGAGGTGACACGTCCAGGTATTCAAGCGATTTCCTGTCGGGCTTTAAAACTCTTATTACACAATTACGTAAAGCAAGTTCGTGCATCACTTCACTTCTGAGGGTATTGATCAGTGTACACGGCCGATAACTTGTAACTTTCCATTTTGAAACTATCAGGTGTAATATACATCTTTGTCTTGCGTGTCCGATAGTGATATACTAGTCATTACTAAACTCATACGCTTGTTTATAAATAACCTTTCTGGTGTAAAGAATGATATTTATGAAAATCTAAATAATTCCCAAAAAAAAGATTTGATAAAATAAAAAATCTATTTACATATTTTCCAAGGGTAAATTGGGGAAAATGTAAATATATACTCGTTGTCAATAAGTATGGACATCTTGAAAAAACAAATATTGATTTAACAAAATGTACGCACTTGTCGATCATTGGTTTATACGCCTAGATAGAAGGTTACGGAACTATAGATAGTCGCAATTTAGAATATATACATGTAAATTGAATATACGAGATAAACATCCAGAACCAATATGATTTAAATACAGTTCGATATATTACTTGCTTTGGTTCATCGAAGTTATGGACATAGTAAAATCACAGATTTATTTTTCAATAAGATTATTTTGAACAGTTTAAGAAATTAGTCATCATCACAATTTTTGGGTATAATGTATAATAATGTGAACATGGTTCTAAAAGTACCTGATTTCAATTTTCCTGTTCCAACATGCATGTAATATATATGCCACTGGACGTACACTAATGATCCCCGAAAAGCCTATTTGAAGAAATAAAGAAACTTCACTGCGGATAGACTGATAGTAGTTGTATTAACGTCTGGTCAGCTAGAGGGTTGATTAATTTATTTAGTTAGCTTGTGGTGGTAATAAACCATTCCCAATATTGCACTTATGCATAAAATATCAAATGAGAGTAATATAAGAGAAAATATAAATACGAAAAGTCACATATCTGGTACAAAAAGTCTCACCATGAACTATAGGATTTTACGTACGATTGTCATTCTTAATCGAAATAACGGACAGTCATTTAAATACATGCATGTATGCTGTGATAAAAAGGGGTGTCGCAGTTGCAAAGTATTCATCATAAATCTATTTCAAGTTTATACTTTCCTGTTATTTTTATAAGTTCAGGCAGAGACATGTATACATCTCTAGCTAACGACAATCAACTATATAAATATCTGAATCTGATGTGATTTATCGTTCATGTCTTTCTTTTTCTCCTTTTTTGTTATTTTGGCAGGAATATATACATTGTAAGATATACTGTTCCCAGGTTTGGGGAGGGGGGGGTTGGAGTTCATGTCTATCGAAAGTTACAAAATAAGAACAGTGTATTTATGAATTTACAAGAAGAATTCTGTTCTTGGGCGTAGTTTTCTTCTTTTTTTTAGTTCAGTGACTTAAATTGAGAAAAAAAAATCTAGTCAGAATTTAAATTTAATTGTTCCGGCAATCCCCCACCTAAGACGCCTCTAAAATAATGAATGGTCATGCTTCACAATCATCAGAATTTTCGTTGCATTGGTATATTCTGTATCAGTAGTGATTAACCTTGACATTTCCGGGTATAACAGAGCTACTTGTATATTACCTGTATGTGGTTAGGTGATCTTAGGTGACGTCCCATGAGGTCTTACGTATACAGGTTCACATTTATAATGGTTTCTGATATAACAATTAGGTTTTATGACATTCACACTTCTGCATGTTCTGTATACCAAATTCTTATCCTTTTTTCAGACCGAATGAGGATGTGAATATTTTTCGGGAAAAATATTGAGTATCAAACTAATTTCGGGATTTTTTTCTTTCTTGGTATTAAATCACAGAAATTTAAAGAATATACTGCTTGTCCGTTTTAGAAGTTTTCTTGTCAGTTTAAACAGACGTATATATGTCTCTGGTTAAGAGTGGGGTTATGAATGAATGATAAGTCTTGCAAAGGTACAAGATATAAAGCACATTGAAAATTGATTCCGCCGGTCTTTCTCCATTCAAAAAAGGAAAGTTGACGTTAGATTGATTCTGTTAATTTTTTAAAACATCGTTGGTCAAATAGCTAAAGAATTTATACGTTGTGAGATTTAGAATATTTTAATCAGGGCATTCCCGATTAGGTAAATGTAGATCGCTTTGGACGGACCAAACTATATTAATGTAACTGATAATTTTCTCTGCACATTTAAATAAATATTCAAGGTTGCCGATGATAATTTGAAATAGTACAGTTTTGATTTATACGCTCGTTTTCGTGAGCCATTTTTATCTATGAAATTATTTAATTGAAAGTAATTCAGAATTTCGATGTTACAACACAATTATGATCACTTATTTATTAAAAAATTGAGCTAATGAAAATATTAAAAAATATAAAACGGCGATTCAGTTATTTTGCCACCATATTCCTCCCCAAATAATAAAAAAAAATATCCTGTCTCAAACCCGCACTTCTGTTTTATCCTTTTTTTCCCTATGTTTTTCATACAACGGTGAAGCCTTGAGGCCAAACAAAACTCTTGTGAAGATCAAAAGATTAAAATTACATAATGCTAATCTTATAATAACCGTGAATTTAACCACGCCTTTACCAGGTGGTGTCAGTATAATACACATGCATTGTATTTACACAGTACTAGACTGAAGCAAGGATTTGTATAGTAAGACAAATCCTTGACTGAAGTAAAAGGTGAGAATACAAACATGCATTTTTATTACACTATCAGTTATATATGTTTGTTCAACATATCCGTCGGAAAAAAAATCATAAAAACATTCTATTGTATGATTTAATTTTATTACTATAATCATATCAGAAATCCTTAAAATATAAAAGGTGCATTTTAATTTTAAAAGTTGCACGGCTGATCACTTTTCTTTCTGAATTATTAGTTGGTTAATAGCTACGCCAAAAGTCTTCGATGCGCTTTAAATCGCGTTATAAGATGATTAATGAACAAGACTTAAAATGAGATTAATCCACTCCCGGCATGCAAAAAGACTTAAACTACGTCACAGAAGTCAGGAAGTTCGAATAAATAAAATTAATAATTCCCAATTTTCTTCTTTATTAGTGTTCATACCCAGATAAAACTTGGTGAATATGTTTTTTATGGTATTATGAACATAATAAGCTGATAAGTAAAAAATCGCGAATTTTCCCTTTAAGAATAAAATGCTCCGCAGGGCGCAGCTTGATACGACCGCAGAGGTCGAACCCTGAACAGTTGGGGCAAGTATGGACACAACATTCAAGCTTGATACAGCTTTGCATTTGGATTGTGATTAAATATTTGACACAGCATAGGTTTCTGACACAGAATGAATGTGGTCTAAGAACTTAAAAATTTTAAATTGGACATTCACCTATTATGGTCCAATATCCAAAATCTAAATACATGGTTAGATTCAGCATATCAAAGAACCCCAAGAATTCAATTTTTGATGAAATCAAACAAAGTTTAATTTTGGACCCTTTTGACCTCAATGTGGACAAAGTTGATAACGGGGCCCAAAAATCAAAAATCTAAATACATGGTTAGATTCAGCATATCAAAGAACCCCATATATTCAATTTTTGTTGAAATCAAACAAAGTTAAATTTTGGACCCCGATTTGGACCAACTTGAAAACTGGGCCCATAATCAAAAATCTAAATACATATTAAGATTCAGCATATCAAAGAACCCTAAGAATTCAATTTTTGTTAAAATCAAACTAAGTTAAATTTTGGACATTTTGGACCTTAATGTAGACCAATTTGAAAACGGAACCAAAAATTAAGAATCTAAATACACGGTTAGATTCGGCATATCAAAGAACCCCAATAATTCAATTTTTGATGAAATCAAACAAAGTTTAATTTTGGACCCTTTTATACCTCAATGTGTACCAATTTAAAAACGGGGCCCAAAATCCAAAAACTTAATACACGGTTAGATTCAGCATATAAAAGAACCCCAAGAATTCAAGAATAAAACCCCATTGAAATTGGTCAAGAAATAAGCAATTTATACGAAGTATCTTTATTTGCACAATACTGTGCAATTAAATATTTCTTGCTATTGCGCAATACTGTACAATTGACAATTTCTTGCTATTGCGCAATATTGTGCTATTGGATATTTCTTGCTATTGCGCAATACTGTGCAATTGAAGATTTCTTGCTATTGCGCAATACTGTGCAATTGAAGATTTCTTGCTATTGTGCAATACTGTGCAATTGAAAATTTCTTGCTATTGCACAATAATTTACACATCCTGTTTGGTGTGTATCTCCTAACATATCATTATTATTTGCTTTAAAAATATAAATCAGAAATAAGCAACTTAAAATGGAAAATTTTAAAAGAAAAAAAAAAGGAAAAAAAGAAAAAAAAGGAAACCCCCCCCCCCCAAATTTTTTGAACCCCCTTATGATTCATCACCCCCAAACTCAATCCCAGCCTTTCCTTTGTGGTATGGTACCTTGCAGTACAATTTCAGAGAGATCCATACACTTGAACACAAGTTATTGTCTGGAAACTAGAAAAATGCTTATTTTTGGCCCCTTTTTGGCCCCCAATTCCTAAACGTTTCGGGCAATTACCCCAAAACTCAATTCCAGATTTCCCTTTGTGATATGGAACCTTGAAGTACACTTTCAGAAATATCCAAACACTTACACACAAGTTATTGTCATGAAACTAGAAAAATGCTTGTTTTTTGCCCCTTTTTTGGCCCCTAATACCTAAAATTTTGAGGCAATTACCCCCAAAATCAATTACAGCCTTCCCTTTGTGATATGGAACCTTGTGGTACAATGTCAGAGAGATCCATACACTTACACACAAGTTATTGTCTGGAAGTTAAAAAAATGCTTATTTTTGGCCCCTTTTTGGCCCCTAATTCCTTAACTGTTGGTACCATAACCCCCAAAGTCAATCCCAACCTTCCTTTTGTGGTATAGAACCTTATGGTAAAATTTCATGGAGATCCATTCACTTAAACTAAAGTTAGAGTGCGAAAACCAATGTGTCTTCGGACGACGCCGGAGACGACGACGACGCCATACCAATATACGACCAAAAAATTTTTAATTTTTGCGGTCGTATAAAAACTATGGAGCTATTAAATGTGTTCAAAGTATTAAATTTTCAAAGAACTTTTTGTGTCAAAAAAGGGATTTTTTACCACGAGGAGCCGCATCACGAAAGGATGTTCGGGGTATGCTAATTTAACGGAAAAAGTAATCTCACTTTGTACCCCGAAAATTTAACCACATATGTGAAAATGTCACAGCTTCGAAACAAGCTATCATACATATCCAAGTTTACGATATGGACTGAGCTACAGGAAAAAACGTTACCATTACTGCCTATGTAAAAACAATTAAAGATATTGACCCAAATCATTAATTGTAAGAATGTTTTTAAAATGCCATTGTAATACCTGTACGAATTTGATTGAGGAACAAAATGAACCTGTCAATTGATTTGTTTTGACAACGATTAGACTTCCTAATTGATTATCAATAAGAGTGTGATAATCAGGATTTAACAATTCAATGAGTACCAACAAACAATAAATGAAATTAGCAGAGATTAATATTTATTTTAGCACTAATTCATCAACAGAAATATTACAATTTATTTATTTATTGTGTATTAAAGAATATTTGTAATGAATCCGTATTCCGTACAAGATTCACCGACTACGATTTGCATTTAAACAACTTCCCAATTTAACACTTCCTGTTGTTCTCAATCAAACACATCCATGGAAACAATAAAGAATCAAACATTGTTTGCTAAGTTATTTATTCTGCAACAACGTTTTCATTATCCTGTAATTAAACAGGACTGGAGTTCAATTTGTCCCCGAAAAAGAAAGCATTTTCAATGGAAGCATTTTACCGAGTTTCAAGTTGGGATTTTTCCAGAAAGTCCCTGTGTGTAAAGCATAAGAAGAAACTTTTTTTCCCAGTTTCAAGGGTGAAAAGGGGGGTGCGTACTATGTATGGGTGCGTTTTATACACACCAAAAGACGGTATTAAAATTTTTCTCTAAAGAGAATAAAATAATTATTTCAACAAAAGTGTAATTGCTGAGTTGTTTCCCATTGACCACTTCTTAAATATAATATCAAATCTGTCTGTTCAAACCATTTTGAGGATGGAAATTACTATGACATTGTTCGGCTAATGTGTTATGCCAATAGATATATACCTATATATTTATTTATTTACATCAATTTTGACTAAAACAAGTTTGGATAAATAACTACATCAATTAACATACAATGTAAATTACATAGCCTGAAGAACAGATTTTTTATTGTATTTCTTCTTCTTGAAAGTCACATAAAAAAGGATGGGTAAGATACTCATACTTCAGAGAAAGAGAGAGAGCCAGCTTCTGACTGATATAAGTGGTGAAGCAAACTGATTTTTTCATGTGACTGAATAAATCCTTAAAGGTTTTTGGTATCAATATATGAAATATGAAACTGTCAGAACAAAGTCCCTAGTCCAGATCCTCCACCATCTTTTCTAAACTTAGATGTTATTTTTTGGTCTAGAACTTTCAGTTCTGATTAATATGTTTACCATGCATTACTAGGAACATTTCTTTTGTCTTTTAAAAGATTTGAAATGACCTATTGATAATTTTTAAACTTTACAAAATTAAGATAGTTGAAATTAGTACTTGATAGTAAATTCCCCATAGTTCCAGTCGGTACAAATAGAGCCTTTTCTTTTCCAAACATATCTGCCATTCTTCTTTGCAATTCTGAAAAATCAAAGCATTCAGTTTGATATCAATTTGTATTTTACCTTTTTCAAAACATAAATTTGGTACTTTTCTTACATTTTTCAGTAAATTCTCATTGTCCTACATTACTGCAATCTCGTTTTCCAAAAAAAAACTGATATACACTTTCCCAGGGAGTGTATATCCAAAATTTTTCTGCAAATTCAGAATTCAAAAATTATTTAAATAAAGAGTTATTATACAGACATCTTGGCCTGTATTGCATAACTGAATTAATCAATCTAAAAAGCACACCAGGAATATTGCAGCACAAATTTACATAATTATGATTGATAACAGTGCATACAATTGTCATCCATAGAAATTGTCATTCTTTTACAGAAATGTCTGCATGCATTGATTATTGTAATACTTGGACATTATAGACAAAAAACTTAAATTATTTATTGCCATTTCAGAAACTGCTGCATACAAATAATGCTGTGAAAATTTAAAACACAAGATTTTGAATTTTGGGAAAATGTTTCCATCACAATTTTTGCATTGCAATAATAAAAATATTGTAAAATATTTCTGAATTTACAGTAGGTAAAAGGGAGAATAATTACAACAAAACTAATACATTATCTGTAAATGTTTAATGTTGGTTAGTGTCTATTACACATAATTCCCAATAATGATTATAAAATTTATCATTTCCTAGTTTGTTTCCAATAGCAGTGATCTCCATAGTGATAGAGTCCATTATTTAACAATCGAAATAATAAATGCATGCAAAAATTTCAGAATTTACTGTAAACTAAATGTAAATGCATCTTGTGACACAGAAAAAACCAATGTAAAATACTATAAAATTATTACCATTTATTGTTCCATCTTCCCCATACACATCATCTCCAACCTCGGCTTCAGCCATAGCTTTCCTCATTCCAGTTGATGGTTTTGTTACTGTGTCACTTCTAAGGTCAACTACGTAATCCTTAGAATCAGGATTTTGTTGTGTAGAAACGACATTGTAAAAACGTTTGTTTAATATAAAAGGAAACTGTGACAGCTTCCTTGGGCATCGCAAAAACTGTCCACTGCCCAGCTGAATAATTCTATATAGGGTTGAAACTTTCATTCCTGCAAAAAATATGAATACCTGGACTATTATAATACTCAAGATACTGCTGAGGAACATTATCAATGTTTTATGGTTAAAGAGAATAATATATTTGCATATCTTTTTAAAATGTCAATGATCATCATATCATATACATATCAACCAATATTTTACAATTGAAAGTTTCTGATCTGTTATAAAACTCAAATACTGTAAATTCAGAAATTATTGCGACTTTTGAAGAATGGACAAAAATGTGAGATTAAATATTGCGATTCCATGAAAAACCGCATACAGATATATGTATCAGATATCAAAATGCGAGTTCTTATCACTGCGATAAACACCCAGTCCCATTATCCGCATTAATAAAAACCTCACAATAATTTCTGAATTTACAGTACTAAGACTAAAAAAAAATGTAATATTCAAAAGCTTGATGCATTTGTACTAATTAGTCCTTGGTGAGTTCTTAACACCACAAAATTTATTCAGAATATAAATCTATTCAACTGGAAAACTTTTATGGCCTGGTAGGACCTTGATGTATAAAAGTAATATGATTTTTGTTTTTCACAAATTAAAATTTTTTCTTAAGATTTTAATAAGCATTTTTTTCATTGCTACAGAAGTTTAAATAATAACCATGATAACAGAAGTTTAAATAATAAACTATGTTGGGTAAAATCTGTGATATTCCCATATGTAACAATTGTATTGTGCTGATTAATATGGACAATAGATCTGCAACACAACAAACAATGATTGTTAACAGTACACAAAATACAACATAGAAAACTAAAGACTGAGCAACATGAGTATATTATTTTTTCAAAGAATAATAAGAAAAAATGTATATCTGCTTCATATATTATAAATATATAAGCCTAAAATAGAAAAATATTTTATTTTAGACCATATTTCAAGAAATTTGTCATCTTTTTCTACCTTACTTCATCATTTAATTTGTGACATAACCCCACATCCATTGAAATTTTAGTTGAAAAGTAAAGAATATGGTATATCAAAAACTTTTAGCAAACTGTCAGTAGTTTTGCCAAATTATACAAAAAAATCAGGTATTAAAAAATTCACCTATGTTTTTGAAGTCACAATTACATCACTAATAATGCTATTGGAGAAAATCTTTTTAACTGAAACAATTGGGCATTTATTATACACACGTTTTCATAAAATTTTCACATTATTGCAGTAAAAATTCAGATTTTGAGTGCCAAAAATTAAGAGTTGGTGACCAAGCTCCTTTAACAGACAATGACTGATGAAAAGGACAGATGAATAACACCAAGTGCTGCCGCTGGCCTGTTAGTAAGCTTAATTTAAATGAATTTATCGTTATCCAAAATAGATTTTAATAAGGCATTTAACTTTCACATATTTACAGGATATAGGTCCTGTCAGGCTTAAAATTATCCAGTTGCAAAGGTTTGTCTGGTAAACAAATCAACTTTCACCAAAATTAATTATTATGATGAAACTTAAATGTAAATATTTTTCATATTAATTTTACTATTTTTTTATTATTTATTTCCAGTTTTCACGATTTGAAGCTGTATGGTATGGATTGTTATGAAAGTCTGACAGTTTATAAAACTATCAGTCATATCATAAGGTAGTGACAGTGCACAGAATAATAATGAATAATGTTTTGTCAACAAAGTCCAAGGACGCAACCTGTTGCAGAAATTCGTCTGTTCAGAGTTAGTCCCCTTCCATTCTTGTTGTAAAATCTAATGTTTATTGTAATTGGTTAGCCCACTCTCTAACATCCAATGAAAATTGGTTTTATAAATCGATTCTCGGAAAAAGATCAATAACAGACCACAACACTGAAAATGTGACACTGAACAAGAAATTGACACTGGGCGTAATATTGATAAAAATTTACTTTGAAGATGTTTTCAAGGCAAAAGGGATGGATACCCGGATTGTTGTCAAGACCTAAAAACCCGCATTCGTTGGAACATTTAAAGTAAGATAATATAGACTTCGGTCGGTCTCAAGGTTCACATAAATAAATGTCCTGTTGCTATTTAGGGTTGCTGAACAGGATCAGGATAGCTTAAAACGGTTTAAAGGGAGCTGTCAACAAACCATTTTTACCTCTAACATAATATACGCATCAAGTTTGACAGTGTTAAAACGTGTTGAATTAAACTGCATATTAATTCCTGAGACTGTCTCAATCTTAATCGAGGGATGTAAAGGGGGGTCTGAACACGGAAACACATGAAATAAAGATTGCAAAAACGTTGCACGGAAAATAAAAAATCAGGAAAAACGAAGCACATGAAATAAAATCGTAAATATTAAGAAATAAAGTACTAGAAGTTATTACTCAGCCGTTCTTGGAGACCATGCAGTCATTATTAATGAACATGAAGACCCTGCTGTCACCTTTTAGCGTCCGCTAGTTGCATCTGATTTGAAAAAATATTATTCATAGTAAAACAATATCCAGGCCGACTTTGAATTAGTCACGGTTTACTATTTAATCAAATGCGGGACAAGCATGAAAAATTAAGAGTAACGACACGAAACAAGGAAAACAAATAAGGGGAAGCACGCACATAACAAACACGAGAAAACGAGAAATAAAACGTCAAAACACGAAAACACGTGAAATAAAAAGACCGAAAACGTTCCACAAACATAATCCTTTATCACCCTCTTATAAATCATTATTGAGTTAATCTGTTATTTAAAACATTAACTGTTTAACAAAATAGCTGTCTCGGGCCTCAATAACCCAAATTATTTGGGGATGAATGGTCAGGGATGGCACTGTTCTTCAATAATGTTGCTAATTTTGATATTATATGAACCCTTTGACCAAAACGTTTTTAGAATGAACGTCATAGGTACACAGTTTTTTTCAACTACGTCGTTTAAACGGGAAAACAAAATTTGTGAAACCTTGTCAAACTTCATTTTTGGACATTATACCGTTATTCATTTTAATTAAAGGAATTTTATATGTAATAATTAGTATTCAATAAAATTGAGAATGGAAATGGGGAATGTGCAGTGTTCTCCCCAGAATTTTTTTAAGGCGCAAAATTCAAGGGCGCGTAACTCTTTTTTTAGAGTGAACGTTTGTGATCTGAAGCAATAAGTCATAAATCATGACATGCAATATGAATTATAATGCTTTGTGTTATGTGTTTAATAATGCAGAGTATTAATAAATTACAAGAATATATATATGAAATAAATTGATTTTAAACACAAAAGTTATCTATATTCAGTCAATTAAAGAAGTCAAAATATAAATATTCATCTCTACTCTCTGCTCCTTCTAGGGATATTGTTTCAAGATAGTGTTATTTTGTTGGACAGTCTGTTCCTCAACTTTGTCTTTATCCTCTTCAGGGTTAAAAATTAAACCCCCACTCACAATAACTTTTGCTTATACCCCCTTTAACATTTCTAAGCCATGAAAACTCAGTCAGCCACTTGTCATTGAAACCAGAAACATGGTGCTTGCTTTTATCAATTGCTAAAACTTGAGCTTGGTTGGGATTAGAAGCAATGAAATCTGCTTATACTGACAGTGTAGACGGAGGTGTATTCCCCACGGTATTCCCCTTTTCATAGAAGTCATTGGTCTGAAAAAAAACTTCTACTTCCATCATCTACCATTTGCTTATAATTCACCCCTTTGTTATTTGCAGAGAACATGTTCATTCAGAATTAATAAAATGAATAGGGTTAAGATATTTGGTATACAACTTTTTAAAACATTTTTTTTTTATAAATGAACAGCTGACCAGTTTCCGTAGTTTCATATTACGCTTCCGTGCGTATTATAATTTGTTTAATCCTATCTTTGGCATATAGATATAAACGAAACTTTACAAATTCGTTAAAGTTAAAACCATTGAAATTATTTACCAGTGACATTATACAGAAGCTGCGGCGATTCTGTACCCGTGTTGATTGTCACATATTTCCCGACGCACGGATTCACGATCGTTGTTCAATGATCATTTTATTTCTAAAAATATGACAGTTTCAGACGAATTTACCTTGCAAGCAACATTTTTTCACTTTCTATTAAAGTAAATCACTCCTCATTATCTTTAATCAAACTTTATTTTAATTTTTTCAACTACTAATACTTTCATTCATAGTTTTCATCGTAAATATCTTTAGCAAGGTGTATTCAAATTTATCATGTGTATTCAACACGTTCATTGGTCGTGTTTAAATAGATTCTTCTTCTCGACCAATGAAAAAATTCGTTATATAAATGGTCAAGTGATCACACACACGATGCGTAAATTCAATGTATTTGCGATCTATTTCTTCAATTTCTGCACTTAAGTTTTTATATTTTTAATTTTCTTCAAAAAATATCTATCTTCTTGATGATCATTTACGCTATTACCTGATAACATAGTCCGATAAGGCTGAGATAAGCGTCGTAAAACTTATCAGTTATTGCGTAACACTGACCGACCCATCAGCGGTGATCAGTAACTTGACAATTTTAACCAACATTTATAATGAAAATGTGAAAATTAACACGCTGCGGGATCAAGTATTAAGGGACAGCGGCCAATTAAGACGCTGCGGGATCTACAAAAATATTATGAAGGCGCTGCGGTACCGCAGCGTCATATCGGCCTGGGGAGAACACTGATGTGTCAAAGAGACAACAACCCGACAATAGAGCAGACAACAGCCGAAGGCCACCTATGGGTCGTCAATGCAGAAATTCTTCGATTTGTTTGGAAAGTCTATTTCTCATATTCTAATGATGGACAGATATGTCCCTGTTTCGGCCAAAGGGTTAATGGGGTTTCAGATTTTCATATTTTGTAACATATCTGGAATAGTAAAAAAATATTCTGTAACACAGTATTTGAAACATTAGTGACATGATTCCAAAGCTTAGCCACATGCATACATGTAGGTGACAGATTCTCCTTCTGGCAGCCCTATAACTCAAGGCAGAATAAATCCCAAATCGCTGCAAATAATGTTATAATTTGTAAACTATATTTTTTTTCCGTTCTGTTTCCAGAAAATGGCAGTAACATGATTTGATCTGCATCTTATCCTTTCTTCCTTGCAGAAACTAGCTGCATTTATTTTATGTTTGCCACAGTTTGGCATATTCTTATATGCAACACTGTTGGTTTTTTTTTTTTTTGTTATCAGTTAACCAGACGGGCCTCATTTGTAAAATAAGTTAAAATCAGCCTTCAGTGACAATTATGATAAAATTAATATTATTTATTAATTAAGACTTCTATAAATTTCTTTACACTATTTAACTGTTACCATGTAGACCCTAATGGCTGAATCAACTAATCATTAGCTTGTTGCCCCAAACTGGCTTCTGTTTTTCATCAGGTCAATTATCTGTAAGACCCTCTTTTGGGAAAATTGAAAATGAAATTAATAGTTTTACAGTTTCTTCAGGTTAAAAAATGTTACTTCTGGTTTCAATGTTAGCAAACATCAATGTTTTGTTATGATTGCTTTTAAATTAGACTGTCACAGAGCAAATTTCAAAAGGGATAACCTTTAGCTTAATGTTGGTGTGCTTTTTTATGGAACGTACAATTCCCAGCTGTTTCATCATTAATTTGAGTCTTTTAAGAGTAGCATTTTTTATTTTCTTAATGAATTACAGAAAACTGTCTGTGATTTTCTTGTGGCATATTACATTCAGATACCCTGATCCTATCAGAATTAACTTCTTTTAAAAAAAAAAATGTTCTCAATGCCATGATACTATTTTTAGTTTCTGTGGAAACACTGATACTGTCTTGATGGAAAAAAAATATTTGATTGAAAAAAAAGTTCAGTATAGACTTAAAAACCATTTGAAAACATTTCTCCTGTCTGAACTGTAATTTCAGTTTATTAATAGTCAATTGATATTGATTCATATATTTTACTAGTATTTCTTAAGTCTGCAATTCAGAAATTTTTGTTGTACATACACCATTTCAACTGAATGCATTATATAAAGATATTGCATAAGGTAACCAGATAAGTTGTCAACCACAGCATCTTGTTGAGAAACTTTGGGCGGACCCATCTTTGATTTATTTTAGTTTTGTTGATGATATTGATTCAGTGTTCTGCCTGGGCCCTACCATAGTGTTATGTGGAAAGATTTATGATAGAATGTATTTATACGCCCGTTTACGGACGTATTATGGTATACCTCTGTCCGTCCGTCTTTCCGTCCGTCGTCAACATGTTGGACATTAACTCAAAAACGCTTCAACCAATTTGCATAAAACTTTGGTGAATTGTTCATATCTATTGATGTGAGCTCCCTTTCGTTTTTTATAAAATTTAGATTTTATGTTTCTGAGTAATGGGGTTTTATTTATTAAAAAAGGGGGGATTTTCCAGTTTTCAGACAATCACTCAAAAATGCTTTCATCAATTTGCAAGAAACTTTAGTCAATTGTTTATATCTATTGACATGAGCTCCCTTTTGATTTTTATAAATTTTAGATTTTATGTTTCCAAGTTATGGAGTTTTATTCATTAAAAAAAGGAGGATTTTCCAGTTTTCAGACAATAACTCAAAAATGCTTTCAGTAGTTCTCATGAAACTTTGGAGAATTGTTTATATCTATTGATGTAAGCTCCCTTTCATTTCAATATGGTGCCTTAACTTTGATGCAACAGTGCTATTTTAAATGTGATGGTTGTATTTGAAAATACGTGAAAGAACACTAAGATTTATATATTTATAATATAAGTTTGCAAGCATTTAAGTTAACATGATTAAGAAAAAATAACAAGAGAATTTATCATGTTTATTATTACATCATGTTCTGGGAACTGCACTTGGTTTAAAATTTTGTTACCTTACTCTTAAAATTATTTTCAAAAATATACCAGTACTTCAATAACAACTTACAATATGTATCTGTTATTTGCAAGCAGAAACCCTTTGCACATAACTTTATTTAGGGGGAGATAATTTGATATTATGTCTAGTACAAATCCGTCAAGTTTTATATAAAATTTGTGAAATAGCAAGAAAATGAGAATGGTTTGTCTTTTATTTCCTGAAATTAATTAATGAAAATGATTAATGTTCAATAAAGAAATATAATATATACAAAATTATCATATTCTAACCCTTTACACACGATAATGATTAAGATTACAAAACTTATTGGTAATATCATCAATGTTAAATATTTCACATGTTAAAAAATCATATTGATTTTACCTGTAATTTCTTAATCTTTATTACCCTTAACTAATACCTTACAATTTTATTACACCTGTTTTGTCCCTTACTTGTATTCCTCTAATCACAACAGCTGTTCTGATCAGTCCCCTGTTAGTCCAGCATATCAGACATTAAAGAAATGCCCAGCTTTTGTCAGACTATGTCCCTACTACTGTACATGCATTCTTGAAAATAAGTATGATGTCAAACTTTTTTTTCTACTGAATTTGAATGAACATTGATATGTACAGTTGACTCCCTGTCATTAAAATTTAAGAAAATCATAAACATTTATAAATTCCAGAGTCTACATCCATCTTAAGGAGAATAAAATGAAGTAAAGTATTAGAAAAAGAGAAACATGTATCTCCAGGTAAAAAAGAAGTCCTGCCCACTTTTGCATGCACAGTAGTGTATTCATTACACAAACTACATGCATGATGATGATGGATGTTTTTTAATAATGTGATATAAATATAAATCATGCTTTGTACTAGACTGCAAATTACATAACTATTGAGTTTATACATAACATGACAGACCACTCAATACACAATAACTTGACCTCATTAGACTAGTAAAAGATAGATGTTTGATCTATATAGGTCATTGTCATTAGGTGTTCACTGTCTTCATGTGTAATGATACATTTGTACATATGGTTAACATGAATATTAAATGTGCATTTCTTTAATAAAATTGAATACAGATGATATATTTTAATCATTTACATATATATAACTTTTGATTTACACTGCATTAAACAAAAAAATAAGAAATCTAAATTTTTGGAGATAAAAAAAGGACTTAGTTTCAAGTCTCTTTATCCATTGGTCCCAGGTTTACTAAGAAACTACAATAATTTTTTGTATTAGGTAATTTCTTCTGTTTTAAAAAATATAAATATAAGTTGCAATTTAAAAGAAGTTATTATATAAATTAGTGACCAACCTAAATTGACCTGAAAAATTGATCATCTTTCAAAAAAAATCTGCAGCAATGTAACTAAAAAATATGCAATAGTGCTATAGCAAGTTTTTCTTGTCCACCACCACTGCTATGGAAGAGCAAAATATGATTGAAATTATACACACAATTCTTCCAATCTTTCCATCAGTGATTTCAGATCACTTTGATTTGTAAATGTCTTGCAATTACAAATCTATCATTAGAAAGTAGAATATTAACAATCTACTTGATATCCGTTTCAATAGCTTTAATGATTTCATTATCCTCATTTATATTCATAAATTTATGGACAGTCATTTATCCATAATTTTATATTTATGCATATTTTCACCTTTCCAGATATTTGTATAGTTTATTAATGAAGAATCAGACAATAACAGAGAACAACAGGAGTTTATTAGTAGAAACACTCAGGTCAATATCTGAAATACTCATTTGGGGAGATCAAAATGACAGCAGTGTGTTTGAGTAAGTATATGTATATATAATAACACTAGGTAGATTGATTGATTGTTGGTTGTTTAACATCTAGTGGCAAATATTTCATGCATGTCCAGGACGAAACACTAGGTAAAAACATTTAAATTATAACTCAGTAAGTTTAAACTTATTCATATTCTTCTGTGTCATTGATTGTATCTAGATGATTTATTTTCCTTCTTTCCGAATAAAATTTCTGTTTCTATGCAAAATGTAGCTATTATTACAATGCAGGTACAAGATGATTGGTAAAATGTTAATTTTTATTTATCACAAGGTCAGGTAATAGCCTAGTACATGACTATCTTACATCAAATCATGTCAGTTGTAAAAGAATATGTTTTGGAAGTTACAGGTAGTCAAAATCAATGTTAAGGTATATATTAAACACTTATATCTGCTATTAAATGAAAACATTAATTAAAAATGAAAATGCTCTTTGCTTACATAATATACAGAGAAAAATATTATGTGAATAGTAGTAGTGTCTCCAAAATAAGGTATCAAAAGTTAGAGCTTGATATTAAGAAACCATATTTCACTTAACATATAAGATAATATTTGATTGGTTAGGTGGCTGGGATTGACAGGAAAGATAATACAATGGTCGATAACAATGGAGGGATCATTAATTTTGATGTCACAAATTCACATATTGATGTTAAACCAGCTTTGAAAGTACACTATTCAAGCGTCATTACAATATCACTTATTATGGTCATTTAAGTTCTTCCGAAAAATGTTGTTGTGCTTGAAATTTATACTTTTATTTTCCAACCAGGAATTTTGAAAGAAGATATAGATTACCTATAAATGTTTCTTTTAATTTTCCTGGTATATTTTTACAATATACATGTAACTTTCATTTTAGCTTTTTCCTTGAGAAGAATATGCTGTCATTTTTCCTGAAGTATTTACAACAAAGAGCAGGAAGATATATTTGTGTACAGTTACTACAGACTCTCAACATTTTATTTGAAAACATCAAGAATGAGACATCTCTGTGTATGTACCACTCCCAAAACATTTAAATACAATATAACCTCATTATACTTCATAATATTATTATTTTGTATATTCTAACTACCGATAATTTGATTTGTTCAGAATGAGTCACATGTTCAACTGTATTTTAAAAGGTAGACTGAAAACAGCAGATAGAAAAGTGATATTGCACAGTTATTTTAAAATGTCTAACAATAGAAATTCTAAAAACTCAATAACAATAGAAATTCTAAAAACTCAATAACAATAGAAATTCTAAAAACTCAATAACAATAGAAATTCTAAAAACTCAATACTTTGTGATGCAATTGTAACAGCCAATCAAAGGAATATCTGCTAAATTTCTAATTTATGCGTATAGGCAATAATAACAAATTGTAGCCTTTGAATGAGGATATATGGACCTCTGACTTTGTCCTCAGTCGATACACTTCTTTCAGGTCGATATATTCTCTGATAAATTTCATATGAAGACTATTAATGTACAGTATCAATAGGGGTATTTTTTTTAGAAGAAATAGTCGTGTTGTTTTGAGAAGCACCATACATATACATCTGTATAGTTTCTTATCCCTATCAAGAGTCATGAATAAAACCAGATTGATCTTATTTAATAGAAACTCTAAATGGAAAATGTTCATCTCATCAAAAAAGTAATATGTCTAATAAATGACATCTCAATAACTTTTTTTGCAGATTACTTATTGTCCAACAATCACATCAACTCAATTATTGTTCACAAGTTTGATTTCTCTGATGAAGAGGTATGTACTTCTTAGTATAACATTGTCCTATCTAGGACCAACATTTTTTTTTTATTTTAGGAAAATTTTATACCCAGATGTAATTAGTTAGCTGGGATGGGTTTTTTTTTTATGAAAAGCACATTTTAAAAGGTTTAGATTGAAACATATTTACCTTCAGTACGATGCAAATTTTTTTATTGATAATGATTTTGTTTTTTCTAAAAATTATAAAGCAATGTATAAGTAAATAAGAAATCTGTCACATTAGGCCTCCTTGAAATCTATTGATGAAAGTTATTTACACATGATTGCATCCAGAAAAAACATCAAGAAGTCAACATTTGGTCTTTGATAATAAACAAGAGTTCCTACCTCATGAGGAGCCTCAGTAGCAGAGTGGTCTAAGTTGTTGAACTACTGTACCACTAGGCTGTCAATACTGAGGTTGTAAGTTCGAACCCTGCATGTGGCAGATGTGTTTGAATCCAATCTTAATGGACTAGGATTGTCAGTTTTCCTGGTGAAAGTCAGTGGTTCTTTCCAGGCATTCCAGCTTCCTGTACCAATAAAAATTGACTGCCACAAAATATCCAATAGTGCTGAAAGTGGCATTAAACACCAAAAATCAATCAATCAATCATACCTTATGACAAGCTCTAAATGGACCAAAGTCTAGACAGATTAAAGGTTGACATCTACACAAAATTTCTAAAGGGACAAAAACCTTAAAACACAATGACAATGACAATCTTGTACAAGGTCCCAGATTTGGCATAGTAACATTACATAGGACAGAGTTAATCTAAATACTGGGATACTCAAGGTTAACTGATTCCTCCCTATAAATTCTCTTATCAGTTGAATAGTAATAGGTATTAATGAAATCTACATTATAGATCAGCCCAAAAGACGCTAAAGATAATGGATTTCAAACAATGAAAAAATCTTTACTAGGATTAATAATATAAACATGCCTTCAGTTACTGACTCTCAGTTACAACAAGCTGATGGTACCTTTATTATCTAAGTGTAAATAGGAAATTGATATAAACAATATTTATCTAGGATTTATCAACAAAATACAAATACAATGTACAAACTTTTTTCTTTTAAGCTTACAAGAATTTATTTGAAAAGCTAAGTTTTATCACAGGCAAATGAATTTCATATTTTTTTATACTGTAGAATAAGAATATGTCATAGCTGAAATTGATATAATTTCAGACTGAGTTATTTCCCTTGAAAATCTTATTTCGTAAAAATATGATATTATCTTGATAAATGAATTCAGGTATTTTAACATTAGTTTAAATCACAAGAACATTTTATATTATGTTATTATTGAAGAAAATATAGATAAGTTTCTTGGTGTATAATTTTTATTTGTAAGCCCTTGAAAATATTTAAAACTCTCCTTACATATTTTTTATTTTACCATATGGTATTTTCTTTAACTTTAGCAGACAATGTGCCTGTACCAAGTCAGGAATTTTAATATATTTGCTCATCTAGTCAAGTATTACACTTGATATAATATCAACAATAAATTGTAATAGAATCGGAGAATGAGAAGTTGTGTCAAAGCACTTGTCATTTCCAAACACTTCAAATAATCAGTATAAATTTTAAAATGCAATTGTTCATAGGATGTGACCAGACTGAATATTATTCAGTATTACTGTTTGACTTATAGCATTTCCTGTCTAATCATAATAAATAGGACCTGTATATATATATATATATACATATTTTTTTTATACAAAATAGAGCTTCCTCTTCACACTTCATAAATCTTTTAATTAGGTCATTTACTCTGAAGTAAATAAAATAAATATCTTTCTTGTTAAAATATTTGTTTGTATTATGTGTTTTTAAAAAAATGTAAGAAATGAATGTTAAAGATATATGTGTTCATTTAACATTTTAAGGAAGCTATTCATATAAAACTGTTTATTTGCAGGTCATGGCATATTACATTTCATTTTTGAAGACACTTTCCCTGAAGCTTAATAAACACACAATACATTTCTTTTACAATGAGGTAAGTTTTGATTATAGTTGATTCATTCAATTTGGATGTAGAATTATTTGTGGTAGTTCCAGTGAATTTTGTAGGTCAGCAAATACAAACATATAGTTAAGAGGTTTAAGTCATTTATAACAACTAAAACAAGAATTTCTGCTTAATATATTAAATGTTTTTGTCTCCATGAAAATAGACTGCTTGAATTCTATAAATATTCAAGAATGAATATCAAAATTTCACATTAGGAATTGGCTCGTTTGGTAGCTGGTTTTATATCCTATAATTTTTTAATGATACAAACAGTACCACTCATTGAAAAACAAAGACAAATGACCAGGAAGAGCTCCGTTCATTTGAAGTCTTAATGATTAACACAAGAGTTTAACCCCACAGCATCCAAGGAGAGGCTCATGTTTTGGTCATCTGAAACAGTTTTAATTCCCTTTTGGAACAAAAGAAGTAACAACTTGCCCATCAAATTAATGTATGGATGTAGAATGGATATTCATGAGATGAATTATCAGAAACTGGAAGAAGAACATTAAAAAAACAATACTGTAAATCTAGTATAGCAGTGTGTAGATTGATCTGGAAAAAAAATTAAGTGTAATTATTTATATACCCCCGCTTTAAAAAAGTGGGGGTATACTGCTTTACCTCTGTCTGTCCATCCGTCAGCCCGTCCATCCGTCCCATGAATATTCTTCGTCGCATCTTTCTCAGGAACTACATTACAAGGATTTTTGAAATTTGGTTTCAGGGTTTATATGAGTCAGCTATACTGTGTGATGCGTTTTCAGATTCATCACTCAACAACTTCCTGTTTACCTTATACTTTTAGCGGGCCGGGGGTATCATTAGTGAGCAGTAGCTCACAGATTCTCTTGTTTATTTTTGTTTTTACATATGGTTTCCATTGTTCTTCAGGAAAACCCAATGCATGGATATAAAAATCATTAATTTTATTGCAAGTCTTTTGCTGCAATTAGAGTTTAATATAAAATGCCAACATGAACACCTTTTTCAATATGATATATTTACATATTTTTCATAAACCTGAATTAAAGCATTTTGTTAGGAGACATTCTGATTGTTGAAACTCTGAATTTATCCTATTCTATAGCTGATAATGTTTTATAATGATTTTTTTAAATTATTAATTTTCAGCACACAAATGATTTTGCTCTTTACACTGAAGCTATAAAGTTCTTCAACCATTCAGAATCAATGGTTAGAATTGCTGTGAGGACTATTACACTTAATGTTTTCAAAGGTATACTTAACTGATAGCTGATAATTTTTAAAAGGGGAAGAAAAAGACTATGTTTTTAAACAGTTGGGGAAAAAATATGACAAACATACCTAACTGGAAGGTAAATTAAAAAAATGGGGGAAGTCGATAAAAAGTGGCAAAATAAAATGTTATCATTTTGGAAAAATTCTTTTAAATGACTACTACATTGATTTACTTCTTTGATTTATTTAATGTCTAGTCAAATATTATACCCCCACTGGCACTATATTGCATTCACCTTATCCATCTGTTTGTCTGTCCCTCCAACAACTATTATATTATAACACTTTTTTCAGACACTACTGAGCAGGAAAGTAAGCGATGAGTTGTAATGTGTCAACACTTTACAGATCTGTCAGATAACTACTTACTGTTTGTCAATACTTCAAATTTTCAATATATTGAATGACACTAAAATTTGTTGCCACACATTTCTTCATTACTACTTAACAGAATGACTTCTTATTTGGTCAGCAGCTTGATAGCGATGAGTTGTAAAATGTTTGCACTTTTAGGATCTGTTAGACACCTATATACTATTTTCCTATTATTTGAATACGATTGAAGGTATGCATTGCGAAACATCTTGTGCATTCTTGTTTTATCTGTCAAGGATAAGATTTGTTTCAATTTATACATTAAAAGTAATGCCTTGTTAGTCTTGTAAAAGAATGCTTGCCTGGAGTGCAATATAAAGCTTGTCAATATAGGGCTGTTTGACTCAGGCTGACATTCACCGCTTATTTCTTATATTTGTTCTTTTTTTCATCTCTATACCTATCCGTGGTACATTTACAAATGTATATGGTTTATTGAGAAATAAAGATATAAACCAAAGACTATACAAAATTAGAGTTTGCTACTTCTCTGCTAAGAATATGTTAAGACTTGCCTGCTCTGACTCAGACAGGGGGACTGTTCTTCTTGTTCACTGTTACTTTGCTACTAGCATGTTTGTCTAAGCCAACTATTCATGTTAGATCGACTGTTTTCATTCTTAATATGTTAGAAGGATTGACATCTGGCTGTTAATAATATTAATCCATCTGTTTAAACATTTAATTAAAACAATTTAACTATCTATCTATTTATGGTTATATTCAGATGTTACAAAACTATATAGTGCAGGAATTTATATTTTAAGATAATATTGTATTTTCAGTGGAAGATAAGGCAATGTTGAGGTATATACGAGACAGAACTGCAGCTCCATATTTTTCTAATCTTGTCTGGTTTATTGGGAATCACATCCTAAATGTTGACCTCTGTGTCCGACATGATGCTGAGTAAGTATTTGTGTACACTGTCAGGTAGATTTAAACAGATTTGAATGTGAAACATTACTTGGAGTAAATTATAAAATAACTTTACTGACTATAAACCATTTTATATAAGATTTTCAGTTTGTAAACTCATTTGTTTAATATTTTTAAGTTATGATTTGTCATTATTTTTTCACACACATCTAGAAGAGGTCAATGATTTGTTTTCCGTTAGAACTTGCTAAAGAAATCTGACATATAATCTGAGAATGATTTTCTCAGTTTCTTTCAATAACCAGAAAATAATCTCTTTATGATTGACTCATTTATCTCAGTTGTATGAAATTCCAAAAAAAGTAAAACTTCAAGTTAACCAAATACACACACAACTTACACAGCCAAAAAAAAACCCATTGTATATGATAAGAGTTTCTTTCAAAAACCAGAAAATAATCTCTTTATGTTTTCTGCTCTTCGGTCGGGTTGTTGTCTCTTTGACACATTCCCCATTTCCATTCTCAATTTTATCATTTATCTCAGTTGTATGAAATTCCCAAAAAAGTAAAACTTCAAGTTAACAAAATACACATAGAACTTACACCGCCAAAAAAAACCCATTGTATATGATAAGAAATCCAGTGACTCAGTTTAAAAGTTTAAATGGTGGTATTATCCTATACTGTTAAGTCTGTTCCATATTTGATGTATGTGTTGGGTTTCAGGCACCCATGTTTTTTTTAAATCCCACCCAATTGTCCATCCACAATTTTAGAGTTATGAAATTCTGTATTATTCCTAGATTTTAAAAATAGGGCTGTTCCAGAAATAAATTTATTTGGGGATTTTGGGGATTTGAAGAGACTTTTTGTTTTAACCTGCCATCCATAAAGTTTTTTATTGATTATTTCCTATAATTGCCCAGACTATCTTTCTTAAATATTCACTAACCATTAAATTTTAAAATAACCATTAAATCAATTCTGGAACAGTTTTCAACATATATACAACATAAGAATCCTGATAATTTTATCCATGCGTTTAAATATGCATTCTTTAGCTTCAAAAGACGATATGATAGGTATGTAACACAGTTTAGACACTATCTTGGGCTCAAGCCAAACACATTTAGAAAACGTGGCAGTTTCTTTTTGTTTGCCAATGTATTAGTATTTATTTTAGATTTTAAGTTAACCTCATGTTATATGAATGGAAAATATAGAAATAGAACTGTGTAATATTACAACATCTCCAGAAAAATACAAGGATGTTGCTCAGCATTTAATCTGTACTGTTTATTGGAAATATATTTTGGACGAAAATGTCAAAGTACTTTAGATGAAACAAATATTCACTTTTTATTTGTTTTATTCAAGACCAAAAAATATCAGTTTAGATGAATGTTTATTAAAAAAAATGAGTAAAAAATATTAAAACTCATTTTTAAAGTTTAAATTTTCAAAGTGACATGATTTGTTCGTATCACAACACTATTTTAGTCAATTTCCTTGTATTTGTGTCTGGAATAGTTTGGTATGAAATGTATATCAGATTACATACTTTGTTTCAGATGATTTTGTTTATACATAGTTATGTTACAATGTTTGTAGTTGGTAAATCTATTTCGGGGTTTGTATTAAAACTCAAACCCTACATATGTTAACCCATTTACTTGCAAGTGGTCAATATGGTTAATTCTAGTTTAATTTTATTAAGAGCTGTTTTTGAAAAATGCCAAGAACTATTGATTCATTATTATTTGTGGGATTCATGTATTATTTTTGTTGATTTCATGATATACATGAACCACAAATTCAAAAGTTCAATGAAAAACAAATTTCCTATACTCTTGTATGCAGAATTTTCAAAAACCATGAAATCAGCTATTCACGAATGTACAATAGTTTCTGAATCCACGAAAATTAATACTAACTGGTACCCCCGGAAATAAAGGAATCCACAGTATTCAAACAAAATTGTTTAGGTAGAAGTCAGACAAACATAAGGACAAGTCATGTGAAGGAAACCATTTCAGCTGAGCAATATTTACTTCAGTACCAAATAATTTGTATACGACCACAAAAAAATTTTTGCGTCGTATAATGCTATGATTGCCTCGTCCTCGTCGTCGTCCGAAGACACATTTGGGTTCTGGACAATAACTTTAGTTTAAGTGAATGGATCTCGATGAAATTTTACCAGAAGATTCAATACCACAAAAGGAAGTTTGGGATTGCTTTTGGGGGTTATGGTACCAACAGTTTAGGAATTGGGGGCCAAAAACAAGCATTTTTGTAGTTTCCGGACAATAATTTGTGTGTTAGTGTATGGATCTCTCTGAAATTGTACCACAAGGTGTCATATCACAAAGGGAAGGCTGGGATTGAGTTTGGGGGTAATTGCCCCATACGTTCAGGAATTAGGGGCAAAAAAGGGGCCAAAAACAAGCATTTTTCTAGTTTCCAGACAATAACTTGTGTTTAAGTGTATGGATCTCTCTAAAATTGTACTACAAGATTCCATATCACAAAGGAAAGGCTGGGACTGAGTTTAGGGGTAATTACTCCAAAGGGGTGGGGGTTCAAAAAGTTGAGGGGATTTTTTTTTCCAATTTTTTTTGGGGGTTAATTTTTTCTTCAAAATTTTGAAATCTTCAATTGCACAGTATTGCACAATAGCAAGAAATCTTCAATTGCACAATATTGCGCAATAGCAAGAAATCTTCAATTGCACAGTATTGCGCAATAGCACAGTATTGTACAATATCACAGTATTGGGCTAAAGCAAGAAATCTTCAATTACACAGTATTGCGCAATAGCACAGTATTACGCAATAGCACAGTATTGCGCAATAGCTAGAAGTCTTCAATTGCACAGTATTGCGCAATAGCAAGAAATCTTCAATTAAAAACAAATACAAATGTTTTAACCAATTTCAATGGGATTGATTAAGTCTTTAATTATTCAGGGTTCTAACCTTGTATTATTTTTTTGGATATTGGGCCTCATTTTTAAATTGGTCGACATTGAGGTCAAAAGGGTCCAAAATTAAAAAAACTGAATTATTGCGGCTGTATGATTTGCTGAATCTTATTGTGCATTTAGATTTTTTATTTTGGGCCCTGTTTTCAAATCAGTCCATGTTATGGTTTGAAGGGTCCAAAATTAAACTTTGTTTGATTTCAACTAAAATTAAATTTTTTGGTGTTTTTTTATATGCTGAATCTAACCATGTTGTTAGATTTTGGATATCAGACCATTTCAAATTTTTAAGATCTTTGACCACATTTATTTTGTGTCAGAAACCTATACTATGTCAAAAATTTGATCACAATCCAAATTCAGACAGTATCAAGCTTGAATATTGTGTCGAAACTTGCCCCAACTGTTCAGGGTTCAACGTCTGTGGTCGTATCAGGCTGCGCTCAGCAAAGCATTTTATTTTGATAGCACTGGATATTATCCTCATTCAACTGACCAGTTGCAAGAAAATCGGTTAACACATTTACAGCTTTTGTTGTGAGCAAGATGCTATAAGTAAAATTTGTGTATTGCATTTATCAAATATATATCTCATTCTGTACATGTCAATAATTTAATTTGAGACATAAAAACCAATTGGATTAATAACTTATTTGGGAATAAGCAAACATGTTTTTCAACAGAAAATATTTACTTTAATACTGTTCTTGCTCTCATCACAAACTTTTTTCTTAGTTCATTCAAACAAAACAACATGCAGGTGATTCTCAAGAAAATAAATCCAATCTCTAACAACACCTCCTGTTACATAAATTGTGTCCTACTGGGTCAGAGGTTTCTGCTAGTTATGCCTGATTTATGGGCATTATGTTTTTTGGTCTGTGCGTCCATTCGTTCGTTCGTCCATCGGTCCGTCTGTCGTCGGTCTGTTCGTTTGTCTGTCCATCGGTCTGTTCGTTTGTCCCTCCGTCTGTCTGTCTGTCTCACTTCAGGTTAAAGTTTTTGATCAAGGTAGTTTTTATTGATGAAGTTGAAGTCCAATCAACTTGAAACTTAGTACACTTGTTCCCTATGATATGATCTTTCTAATTTTAATGCCAAATTAGAGTTTTGACCCCAATTTCACTGTCCACTGAACATAGAAAATGATAGTGCGAGTGGGGCATCCGTGTTTTATGGACACATTCTTGTTCAGTTTGTGTTCTTTGTGTACTAGCTTAATGGTTCATATACTCGTGAAAAATTTACCACAAATATATTATGTCATCATAATTTATACTTATCTTTCACTAAAACATGAACATAAAATATTTACCTTAAGTAATTGAACTGATGCCATGTATTGAGCACATATTTCTTATCATTTTGGAACAACTAATTAGACCCCAAGATGTCCTATGAGTTCATCTGTTTTCTGTAATTTGTTATTACAGTACAATTTTTGTTGACTTTTTAGCTCACCTGACCTGAAAGGTCAAGTGAGCTTTTCTCATCACTTTGCGTCCGTCGTCCGTCGTCCTGCGTCCGTCGTCCTGCGTCCGTCGTCCGTCGTCCGTCGTCCGTAAACTTTTACAAAAATCTTCTCCTCTGAAACTACTGGGCCAAATTTAACCAAACTTGGCCACAATCATCATTGGGGTATCTAGTTTTAAAAATGTGTGGCGTGACCTGGTCAACCAACCAAGATGGCCGCCACGGCTAAAAATAGAACATAGGGGTAAAATGCAGTTTTTAGCTTATAACTCAAAAACTAAAGCATTAAGAGCAAATCTGACATGGGGTAAAATTGTTCATCAGGTCAAGATCTATCTGCCCTGAAATTTTCAGATGAATCGAACAACCTGTTGTTTGGTTGCTGCCCCTGAATTGGTAATTTTAAGGAAATTTTGCTGTTTTTGGTTATTATCTTGAATATTATTATAGATAGAGATAAACTGTAAACAGCAATAATGTTCAGCAAAGTAAGATTAACAAATAAGTCAACATGACTGAAATGGTCAGTTGACCCCTTTAGGAGTTATTGCCCTTTATAGTCAATTTTTAACCATTTTTCGTAAATCTAAGTTATCTTTTACAAAAATCTTCTCCTCTGAAACAACTGGGCCAAACTAAACCAAACTTGGCCACAATCATCATTGGGGTATCTAGTTTAAAAAATGTGTGGCGTGACCCGGCCAACCAACCAAGATGGCGGCCACAGCTAAAAATAAAACATAGGGGTAAAATGCAGTTTTTGGCTTATAACTCAAAAACCAAAGCATTTAGAGCAAATCTGACATGAAGTAAAATTGTTTATCAGGTCAAGATCTATCTGCCCTGAAATTTTCAGATGAATCGAACAACCTGTTGTTTGGTTGCTGCCCCTGAATTGGTAATTTTAAGGAAATTTTGCTGTTTTTGGTTATTATCTTGAATATTATTATAGATAGAGATAAACTGTAAACAGCAATAATGTTCAGCAAAGTAAGATTAACAAATAAGTCAACATGACTGAAATGGTCAGTTGACCCCTTTAGGAGTTATTGCCCTTTATAGTCAATTTTTAACTATTTTTCGTAAATCTTAGTAATCTTTTACAAAAATCTTCTCCTCTGAAACTACGTGGCCAAATTAAACCAAACTTGGCCACAATCATCATTTGGTTATCTAGTTTTAAAAATGTGTGGCGTGACCTGGTCAACCAACCAAGATGGCCGCCACGGCTAAAAATAGAACATAGGGGTAAAATTCAGTTTTTGGCTTTTAACTCAAAAACCAAAGCATTTAAAGCAAATCTGACAGAAGTAAAATTGTTTATCAGGTCAAGATCTATCTGCCCTGAAATTTTCAGATGAATCGGACAACCCGTTGTTGGGTTGCTGCCTTTGAATTGGTAATTTTAAGGTAATTTTGCTGTTTTTGGTTATTATCTTGAATATTATTATAGATAGAGATAAACTGTAAAAAACAATAAATGTCGGCAAAGTAAGATCTACAAATAAGTCAACATGACCGAAATTGTCAGTTGACCCCTTTAGGAGTTATTGCCCTTTATAGTCAATTTTTAACCATTTTTTCGTAAATCTTAGTAATCTTTTACAAAAATCTTCTCCTCTGAAACTACTGGGCCAAGTTAATTATAGATAGAGATAATTGTAAGCAGGAAAAATGTTCAGTAAATTAAGATGTACAAACACATCACCATCACCAAAACACAATTTTGTCATGAATCCATCTGCGTCCTTTATTTAATATTCACATAGACCAAGGTGAGCGACACAGGCTCTTTAGAGCCTCTAGTTTGTTATGGTCATATCTATCATCAGATTTTGATTAAGCTTTGGTATACTGTATGCATCTTTTTTAAGTTTTCTTTAAAAAATATCAGTAATATTATTATGCAATCTTAGCAGATTAAGTATTGGTTGAAACAGTTATTTTTTAGTTCTTTATTGAAAAGCCAATTTGGATTAGGTCAGATCATTGTCTCATTAGCAATTACCGGTATACCACATTTCCTTATTTTTATATTGGACTCTGTTGGATAGTTGTCTCATTGACAATCAAACCACATCTCCTATTTTCATATTTTTGAATCACATTGAATCCTGCTAGTTCACATATTTGCAGTTTTGGCATCACACCAAACAGCTTCTGACTTCAGTTTTTTAAATGTATTCACTGGGCTGTGTCTGAGTTCAGTCATGCATGTCTGCCAAAAAAGGTTATGATTATGTTGTCATAAAAGATATCTGTGTAGGAAGATTGATGTCACATGGTCAATATTTGTGAATATAAATGCTTTGTGAAAGTGATTATATAAGCACCACAGTTGGGCTATCTCTGTAATAATACTTGGGAGTACTGTGAATTCATTTATTTTCATGGGTACCTATTTTTGTGGATGGAGGAAAAATTATACTTTCATGGATATTTGATTTCATGGTTTTGCCAAAGTTTGCATATAAGCCTATAAAAAATGTTTCCTTTGTTGAAGATTTGAATTTGTGGTTCAATTACTCACAGTATCAGAAGATTTAAATTATTTTTAATGCCCCCGCAGTAGCAGAGGGGGCATTAAGTTTTACCCTTGTCCTTCTGTAGTCTGTACTGTACGTTCTTACGTCCGTATGTCTGTACGTCCCAAAATTGGTTTCCGTTCTCTATAACTTTAGTTAGCCTCAACCAAATGTTATGAAACTTATACACAATGCTTATTACCACAAAACACAGATCAAGTTTGAATTTAGTTGGTGTCACTTTTACCTTTCTAGAGTTATGCCCCTTACAAACGGAAAAATTGCTGAATTTTTTGTTTCTGTTCTCAAACTTAAGTTTACCTCAACCAAATGTTATGAATCTTATACACAATGCTTATTACCACAAAGCTCAGATCAAGTACCGGTACAACTTTTGGTAGTGTCACTATTACCGTTCTTGAGTTATGTCCCATTATAACGTTATATGCAAGCGGGGGCATCATCTGTGTCCCATGGACACATTCCCCATTTATTACCAAGAAAGTTTATGATTCATTGATCTCTACTATTTCTCATATTCCCTCGGAAATTATCAAATTCCTAATGCTTAATTTGTAAAGTCCTAATTTTAAAATGACTTTGTGATATTCCTAGTAAATATAACCAAATTGAATGAAAAAGTCCATCTGACCATTAAATAATCTTTTATTTATTCATGAAATAATGTAAAATTAATTTTTATAAATTTTACTTTATTTTTTTAGTCACCAAAGTAGAAACAGGCTGGCAGATTTAGTAGCAGAACATTTAGATCATCTCCACTACCTGAATGACATATTGTGTATCAACATCGATACTCTCAACGAAGTACTGACAGACCAATTCTTAAACAGACTACTTATACCACTGTATGTCTATTGTCTGACCATGAGGAAAAAACATAATGGAAGACAGGTAATAAAAGACGTTGTGTGATGGCTTGAAAATTGTATATAATGTAAATTTTTTGAATTTTTGCATGCATTTATTATTGGGACTGTTGAAAAATGGACAGAAATGCAAGATTAACTATATCTATTTCAGAAATTTTGCATTCAAATAATGAATTCAAAAGGCAAAGTTTTTATTTTTGTCGAGCCTGCGACTTTTGTCGCAAAAGCGAGACATAGCAATCCTACATTCTGGCAGCAGCGGCATCCACAAATATTCACTCTGTGGTTAAAGTTTTTGAAATTTTAATAACTTTCTTAAACTATCCTGGATTTCTACCAAACTTGGACAGAAGCTTGTTTATCATCATAAGATAGTATCCAGAAGTAAGTTTTGTAAAAAAAAAATCCAGTTTTTCTGTATTTTACGTATAAATGGACTTAGTTTTTCTGCCAGTTAACATTACATTCACTCTGTGGTTAAAGTTTTTAAAATTTTAATAACTTTCATAAAATTTCCTGGATTTCTACCAAACTTGGACAGAAGCTTGTTTATGATCATCAGATAGTATCCAGAAGTAAATTTTGTAAAAAAAAAATCCTATTTATCCGTATTTTACTTATAAATGGACTTAGTTTTTCTGCCAGTTAACATTACATTCACTCTGTGGTTAAAGTTTTAAAAATTTTAATAACTTTCTTAAACTATCCTGGATTTCTACCAAACTTGGACAGAAGCTTGTTTATGATCAAAAGCTAGTATCTAGAAGGAAATTTATTTCCTGTTTTTCCGTATATAACTTATGAATGGACTTAGTTTTTCTTCCAGTTAACATTACATACAGTCTGCAGTTAAAAGTTTTTAAAAAAATTATTAGATTCATAAACCATTCTGGATTTTTACCAAACTTGGACAGAAGCTTCTTACAATCAAAAGATAGTATCTATAGGAAAATTTTTAATAATTTTTTCCCCATTTTTGTTGAGCCTGTGACTGGCAGCAAAAGTAGGCGAGACACTGGGTTCCGCGGAACCCTTACGAATTTTTTCAAAACCTATCTCATCACAATTTTCGCAATAACAAATAAATCGTCAAAATGTCTGAATTTACAGTGTTAAGAACAATGTCTTAACATAATAACATTATACCTCAATAAAAGGAGGTGTTTGGAAAACGCAAAAGAAACACCAATCCAACAACACAAAAAATAAACCCACAAGACATCTAGAGGTCAATTAATCTTCAACAATAGACAAGTATGATTTATATGCTTAGATTTAGGTAAATCATACATCATGTTGATCCAGTATTGGTTTGTTTTGATTTTATTGATTTGATATGACCTCTCAATTCAAGCAGTTTTAGACATATGTACAAAAAAAAAGTTACATTTAGATTAAGCATGGTAAGTGTCAGTCCATGTTATAATTAATTATGGAATTAAAAACAAAAAGTGATTCATATAAAGGAAGCTTACAAATGATAAATTTTGTTATTTGACTTACCATTAGATACTCATCATAAAATGAGTAATGGTTCTATAAAAGAAAATTGAAATTTACAAAGAATTCCATTGCAGAATCGAGTTATCTCCCTTTACAGACCTCTGACCTCACATTTGAAAAATAGAATTAAATGAAGGTATAACAATCTGAAGGTGCTGATCTTATGAAACCCTGAGATAACTTTATATTGTAAAAAATTTAGATAATAAAATTAATACAACGGGAAAATGTTTGAGGCATTTTGTCAGAAATTACTTAATTTTAATATTTTTGTCTTTTTGTATTTTTCAGGGAGATAAGAAACATATAAGTTCTGTAGTGGCACTGTATCTATTATCTCAGGTTGGTAATACAAATGAATCTCCACCAGTTATTATTTAAAATTATAATAACTTCTGTCATGCCTAAATTTAATAAGGGAGGTAAATGGAACTATTATCAAAGGTTAATATCAGCAATGTCTTGGATTATTTTTTTGAAAATGCAGATGATATTGAAAGTTAACTGTGCTATCGTGCATGCTCTGTCATAAGATTTTTGGAATTTTAAAGCAAAGGTTTACTTCAGCTATATCTCAGAAGAGTTAAAAGATCAAGGGTGATCGATTATTTTAGTACTATATAGGATAGGGATAATAATATTCATGTTTTTAAATAGAAATAGAGTAAAACTATTAAAATGATCAATTCATCTTGTTAATATCTTTTTTTACTTTGGGTAATTTTTGTTGAAAATTTGTGTACTCATATGAATTATATAACATAAATGATATACCTGGCAGTATAATTGATTAATTTTCTGTTTTCATAGTCATCAAAAGAGGGACGAAAGATACCAGAGGGACAGTCAAACTCATAGATCGAAAACAAACTGAATACGTCATGGCCAAAAATAAAAAGACAAACAGACAAATAATAGTACAGATGACACAACATAGAAAACTAAAGACTAAGCAACACGAACCCCACCAAAAACTGGGGGTGATCTCAGGTGCTCCGGAAGGGTAAGCAGATCCTGCTCCACATGTGGCACCCGTCGTGTTGCTTATGTTATTACAAATCCGGTAAATAGTCAAATGATCTATGTATAAAATACATGATTGGAAAAATAAAATAAGAAGATGTGGTATGATTGCCAATGAGACAACTCTCCACAAGCACCCAAATGACACAGAAGTTTTTATTTTAATCAGTATTTTGATGAGGATTTACATTAAATAGATATTGGGAAATGAGGTGTAATAAATAAAATATAAATTGGTCTTTATTATTTTTCCAGGTGTTTTTGATAATTAGTTATGCACCATTAGTAAGACAGCTGGCAGAAATTATATTTCAAGGGGACATAAGTGTACAACAACAAGAAGCCTCAAGTGATTCACCACAAACTGTAAGTTATAATGATGGATGTCTAATGTGGAGCAGGAACTTCTTAACCTTCAGGAGCACCTCAGTTCAATTTTGCTCAATTTTTATGCCCCTGCTGTCACCGGAGGATGTATTAAGTGTTACCCTTGTCAGTCTGTCCGTCCGTCTGTATGTATGTCCCAAAATTGGTTTCCAATCACTAACTTTAGTTTGCCTCAACCAAATATTATGAAACTCGTACACAATGCTTATTATCCCAAAACACAGATCAAGTTCGAATTTGGGTGGCGTCACTTTTATCGTTCTCGAGTTATGCCCTTTCTAAAGTTATATGCAAGCGGGGCATCATCTGTGTCCCATGGACACATTCTCCATTTATTATATTAAGTGTTACCCTTGACCATCCGTCCATTCGTCCATCCCATTTTCGTTTGTTTGAAGCTTGAGCGGGGGAATTCATGTCCTCAGACATATTTTTCTTTTACTTAGCTTGCTATGTAGTGTTTTGTGGATTTGTTCATCTTTTCGTCATTTTAAGGGTTTTTTTTCCCCAAGGTGTTTTTTCTGTGATACTAGTATATGAGTTTTGAATGACCCCTTGGTATCCTTTGCCTGCTTTTTAATGAATTATTTTTTAACTCGTACCAAATTTATATTACATTGACAGTTCTTTCTATGGCAAATTTAGTTGCACATTGATTTTGCACCTTCCATTTATTTATTTTTCATTTATAAATGTGTAGTAATTTCTATTTTTTTGGCAATTGTACATGAGCCTTTTAGAATAATATGAAGTTTTTAAAGCAAACTTACTTTGAAACTTAAAAAATAACATATGCTTCCATATGTACACATCGAACTAAGACTGTACAATTGTACCAGATGGGAATCCTATTTGATATGAATCAAATAAATTGATTTAATGGAATATTTTCTCCTTTTTCAGAGATTGAGAGAATTTGTAGCCCCAGATGAATCTTTAGAAGCCACATTAGAGAGCAACAGAGGTCAACATCCATTCCATCAAGGTGAATTAGAGGAACCTGTTACAACAGGCAACTCAACATTTTATATGAGAACTCAGTCAATGACAGAGCAAACTGAAGTGCATGGTACATAATATTACAGGCCTTTGCTATCTTTGATGCATTTTCAGATACAGTTAACCAACATATGTCGTCTTGAATACCAAATTATTTTCTTGACTTTCATAAGAGGAAAAATAGCACCAATATATATATTGTTATGAACGTGTGAAATTTGGATCTTCCCTTTCTAAATACATTAATAAAATTATAATATATCAAAATAATTCTCTTCAAATTTGACTAGAAATGGTTAAAGAAATGCAAAATAAAGTATTCACAAAAATACCATCTAGTGGGTTATTTTCGCGGGGGGTGTAAATTTTCGCTTATTTTTTCAGATAGAACAAAATTACCAAAATAAATTCCGCCAATTTAAAAGTGAACATGCAATGGTATTGTATAAAAGATTTGAATTCGCTAAAATGATAACCGGCAAAATATTTTGTATACCTTATTCAATGAAAATCGTGAAAATAACCCTCTATAAGGTAAGTTGATGTACAGTACATACATTACGTAAATTATAGGGATTCTACAATCATGGAGTATACAATTTTTTTATGGATATTATATCTATATGTTGTTTATAAGTTGTAATTTTATACAAATTTTAATTTGTACTACAAAATATCAGTTATTGGTTAAAACAACCACACTATATATATCTATTTATAGAATGTTTCTGAAGATGCACCAATCTAAATGCTTTTAATTTATTTTGTTTAGTTTGTTATTATGTAATCATATGTCATGTATGTAGACTGTTATGGAATTATTTTGATCTTATGTATGTTGGAATCTTCTGTTGTAGCCTTATCTCATTGAGATTATTCTGTTATTTTCATGCAATATGTATACCATATTTAAAAGACTTACTATGCAAGTACCAACAGTCATAATAAATAACTAATTGATGTGATTACTAAAGAGCTGGTTTATATACATATATAATGGCAATGGAGCAAATTGCTTTCTTGTTAACACAGAATAAGTCATGAGGTGGTGCACTGAAGAAAATTGCAGCTTGAACTAATGTATAATTCAATTACAAGTGGCTATTGTCTCGCCTCTAAGACATAGGGATTCTTTGTCTCGCCTGTAAGACATAGGGATTCTTTGTCTGGCCTGTAAGACATAGGGATTCTTTGTCTGGCCTGTAAGACATAGGGATTCCTTGTCTCGCCTGTAAGACATAGGGATTCTTTGTCTCGCCTGTAAGACATAGGGATTCTTTGTCTCGCCTGTAAGACATAGGGATTCTTATCAGTCTGCAGAAGCAGCAACAACTTTAAATATAAATCTATATATTTCCTAAGTTAGAAGACATGGATACTTTATATCTTGTAATTTGTATACAGATGCCTTATGTTCGGGCATGGGTAATCGTTCTTTTCCTTATTTTCATAGTTTAGTTTTTTATTATGTGATTTTCTTACTTATCACGAGTTAAAGGAAAAATATATTTGGTATATAGAATCTTTGCAAGGTATACATGTCCATCTGTCAGGGTTCATTTGACCATGACCTCATTTTCATTGTACATTTGTCATCGTGAGGTCAGTTACTTAGATACTGTAAGCAAAAGGTCAACTTTATGTGGTGTATAGAATGATTGTGTACTTGTATTGCTGACACTTAAGCATGTGCACTCTTGTTGATTGTATTAATTATTTGTGTATTGTGTTTAAAATGTTGAATTATTTTTATTAGATTATTTTTGTGTGTACTAGCATGTTGTACAATCAATGTTCTATGTTGAAAGATAATTATTTACAAATGAAATGAAAGAATATATCATGCTGACACTCTGTGTTTACTTTAAAGAATACCAAGCAGTCAGTTCAGTCATTAATTTGACCCACACCTATCTCCTTGAATCACAAAATAAATAAGAATCGACCTATTTGGAATGTTATCGGCCAAGTATGAAAAAAACTTATTCATACATCTTCTGCCCTCTCATCAATCCATATCCAGTCAAACCAGACATTGAATTTATCTGAGCATTACAATAAAGTTGGTTTCATTTCAAATTCAAATGTTTTTTGTCGTAGAATTATATGGTTAAAATATTCTTCACTAAATATTGAACAAACTTCTTTTCAGTGTCCTTGTTATAATTTATAGATAGCTATAGAGAGTGCAGCTCCCTGATGGAAAACAAATACTTTTCAATGAAAAATTATTGTTTTAACTTCTGAAAAAAACTTTGTAAACGACCATAAAATACAATAAATCCATCAAAAATAACTTAATTAATTTAATTATTTTAATTTTTCATCTATAAACATTATCAAGTTTGTCCCTTTTCAGATAAGAAACCATGCAAATGTGACATTCATTTTGAAATTGTCCCCGTCTGCCCTTAAATCCTAGCTATATCAATAGACTATTATATGGTAAGCTCAATTCAATAATTCAGTTACCAATATAACAATAATTTTTTTAAAAGCTGAAAAAACTACATAAACATGCAAAATTTGTGACAAATTATGAAAGTCTGAAAATGACTACTTTAATAAAATTTTACTTAAACATTTTACAGAGAGGGTTCCTACACCTCCAACAACAGAGGCAGACCTACCTACTCAAAATTCTACAGATGAGGAAAAATTATATGGCTCACAGAGAACCTCTACAGGAACAAATATAGAACAGAAACAAACAACATTTAGTCTTGAAAATAGGTAAATATGTGTCACTGTCAGAGAAAAGGGGAGGGTTGGGTGCTTGCAAACATGTTTAACCTGTTACATTCTGTATTTTCCAATTCAGGAGCCTGTAATTCTGTGGTTGCCATTTGTTGCTGTAAAGGGTATGGGATCTGCTTATTGTTGAAGCCGTAGAGTGACCTATAGGTACTAACTTCTAACGAATTTGAATTGTTTAAAAAGGGCTAAACGTGAAAAAAGTTTCCCTGAAAATAAGTTGGTTTACAGTAGTTACAATGAAAAATAAATCAAATTATTTACAACACTATCACATTCATATTTTCCAGAGCCTATTTAGAAGCCATATTCAATGCATTGGAATGTAGTGAGAATGATTATGAAGCTTTGTTTGCACTGTGTTTGTTATATGCCATGGGACATAACGATGGTAAGTAGACTAAAGGTCACAAGATCATGCATTTGACCTTTGAAGTTTTATTTCTTTATTTGGAATATGAAGGGCTTAAATGCTTTGTTAGTGTGACGTAATACCTTGGCTTTCTTGTATTACATTAGTGAAAAAAGTTTGTCAAAATTTAAAAGAAAATACCTTGATAGAATGTATGAATTTATCTAATTTGAGATATAAAGAAAACTTGTTATAGGGAGTTTCTATGTTACATTTAACAGTAGTTTTATAATAAATACAAAATACATGTTGATTAGTAATACTGCAAACCTTCCATATTTCAAAATTAACCCTTTAATATAAGGATGTTATGCTTAGTTTCTTTCCAAACACAGAAATTTAACTATCACTGAATATTATACTTTACTACAGTTGGTTAAAAAAATCAATAAATCATGACATTTTGATGAGCTTAAGGAGAATGAAAATTTTGCACGAAATGAAGTTTAAATTGAAGAGTACAGAGTTTTAAATAATGATATTCAAGAAGCAAGTTAGAAATATCAACTACTTTTGGAAACAAGAAAATGAAATATGACTCATATTTTTATTGAATTATTGCTTTTAACATGTTGAAACAAAATTAAATATTCACCTTACAATGAAATGCCTTTATCTTCCTTTGCAATGTGTGAATTAAACAGAGGGTATGATGTGTTGTGTTGTTATTTGTTTTGTTTTATTTAGTGTTAGCTACAGTGAAATCTACCACAACCAATCTTGGATAAAAAGAATCTTTTCAAAACTGAAAGCTTGACAAATTGCATTTACCTCTAAAATTCAAACAATCTATACCAATCTTGGCTTAATTAATGAGTAAGTTCAATTGAAGATTTGTTCATATAGATTTCACTGTACTTAATATGAGGTAGAGGATGTCATTGAATCAGAAATGTTTATTATTACAAAAAAGAGAATTTAGAAAATTTCTTGGAATGGATATGAATACTTTAACATTGGAAAAATGAATATTAGTAAAAACAGATCAAGTTTAATGCCATGGTGTTTTTTTTTATCCATCTACAGTCCCTGTAAATCTGACCATGGTAACTTTAATAAATGAGTTTAACATTGAAACCATGGAAGAATGTTTAATGACACAGTCATCAGCATTCTACTTGATATGAACAAGTTTATAATGGCATCACACTTCATGTTATTATTTTTCTCTTATAATGTCTCAATTCTATTGTGTGGATTCATTTATTTTCATTGAAATCAATTTCTCATTTGGAAAAAACAATGGCTATTATGAGGGTACCTTATTTTGGGAGAAGACATCATAAGTTAAATTAACTTGTGTCTTATCCTTTTTGCATATTTAAGAAAATAAAATGTGTTTAAAACTACCTAATTTGGGCTAATCTGTGTGTTACCTTATTTTGGATATTTCCAGGGTACCTAATTTCAAGTTTCATTACTTGTTCCTATCAAATTAACTACTTTGACCTATAATTGTCTACTTTATATACATTGTGACTTGGATGGAGAGTTGTCTCATTGGCACTCATACCACATCTTCTTATATATTAATTAAATGTGTGTTTTCAAATGGAATCCGTGAAAATTGGTATTCCATAAATATTAATGAATCCACAGTATTGTCATAACATCATAGGAATTGTTTTCTAAGTAAACCATTTTCTACTGTTATTGTACTGCATGTTATTTATTGTAAACAAAAATATTAATATTGTTATACTGTTTAAATCATTTAATTGTTGCAATGTCATATGAATTTTTTCAAATTAGAAATTAATCTGTTTTTCAACCTGAAGAATACTGAAACTATTTTACGATGAATAAAAATCTGTTTTTCAAATTTTAATCTACAAGGTTTGATCCTACTTTTTAACTTTTAAGGAATACATTTTGTAATTTTGTTTTTTGTCATTTTATTTTATATTTATAAAAGTGAACATTTTTTAGTTGTTATGGGTTGTTGATATTATTTGTATTATCTGAGAACTAGATATATAAAAAAAGGAGATTTGGTATTATTGTCAATGAAACAACTATCCACCACAGACCAAAGGATGAGGAGGTCCTTGTAAAGCCTTCAACAATGAGAAAAACCCATACTGTATAGTCAGCTATAAAAGGCATAAACATGCATAATATGAAACAATTCATACATGAAAACCTGATTTATGACAATACATTAAACGAACCAAAAATGACATCCACTGAATTACAGGCACATAATGAATGTGGAGGTGCTAAACATGTTTGTTAGAGCACAACCTCCCCCTAACCAGCTGGGACTACAACATGAGAACACACTAAAAATCAGTTGAATACATTCAAAAACTGATCATTCAGTGTAACAGAAAATTCAAAGAAAAAGTTGGAAATTTACATATATGTCAGTCTTAGGTTGATTAGGATGATCAAACTCCTAACATTGCTTGGGTCAAGTAGCGTCACCTGTGCCTAGCTGTATAACTATTTTCGAATGATTGATCCATATCTATTACATAAAAACTATAAAAAAAATCTTATATTTTCATTACAGTTGAAGATCTGGTGAGATTTAATAGTGTCCCTTAAAATTAAATGATTTTTTAACACATTTAGGTTGCCTTTCTATCTCCCATTTGTAGTTCACCGTTCCGAAGGAACTGTGAGCTTTTGCCATCACTTTGCGTCCGTCTGGTGTAAACTATTTCAAACATCTTCTCCTCTGAAACTACTGAACCAATTCCAACCAAACTTAAGCTGAATGATGCTTAGGGTATCTAGAATAAAGTTTGTGTTTTATTTACTGTTTGTCAAATAACATGGCCACCATGGCTAAAAATAGAACATAGGATTAAAATCCAGTTTTTGGCTTATATCTCAAAAACCAAAGCATTTAGAGCAAATCTGACACGGGGTTAAAGTGTTCATTAGGTGAAGTTGTATCAGCCCTGAAATTTTCAGTTGAATCTGACAACCCATTGTTGGGTTGCTGCCACTAAATTGGTAATTTTAAGGAAATTTTGCAGTTTTTATACGACCTCAAAAAAATTTTGCAGTCGTATATTGGTATGATGTTGGCGTCATCGGCGGCGTCATCATCGTCATCGTCGCACTCTAACTTTAGTTTAAGTGAATGGATCTCTATGAAATTTTACCATAAGGTTCAATACCACAAAAGGAAGGTTGGGATTGATTTTGGGGGTTATGGTACCAACAATTAAGGAAAAAGGGGCCAAAAATAAGCATTTTTGTAACTTCCAGACATAACTTGTGTGTTAGTGTATGGATCTCTCTGACATTGTACCACAAGGTTCCATATCACTAAGGGAATGCTGGGATTGATCTTGGGGGTAATTGCCTCAAAATTTTAGGAATTAGGGGCCAAAAAAGGGGCAAAAAATAAGCATTTTTCTAGTTTCATGACAATAACTTGTGTGTAAGTGTATAGATCTTTCTGAAATTGTACTACAAGGTTCCATACCACAAAGGGAAGGCTTGAATTGAGTTTGAGGCCGATGAATCATAAGGGGATTCAAAAAATTGGGGGGGTTTCCTTTTTTTCCTTTTTTTTTCTTTAAAATTTTCCATTTTAAATTGGTTATTTCTGATTTATATATAAAAGCAAATAAAAATGATATGGTTTGAATAGGTAAATTAAAAAATTTTAAGTTCTTAGACCACATTCATTCTGTGTCAGAAACCTATGCTGTGTCAAATATTTAATCACAATCCAAATTCAGTGCTGTATCAAGCTTGAATGTTGTGTCCATGCTTGCCCCAACTGTTCAGGGTTGGACATCTGCGGTCGTATCAAGCTGCGCCCAGCGGAGCATTTTATTGGTTATTATCTTGAATATTATTAATGATAAACAGCAAAAATGTTCAGCAAGGTAAGATCTACAAATAAGTTCATTGGATCAAAATTGTCAATTGACCCCTTGAGGAGTTATTGCCCTTTAAGGACAATTTTACACAATTTGTTTATCATGTTTTCTAACTTTAAAAAATCTTCTTCTCTGAAACCACTGAACCAATTCCAACCAAACTTAAGCTGAATGATTCTAAGGGTATCTAGAATAAAGTTTGTGTTTTATTTTCTGTTTCTTAAAAAAACATGGCTGCCATGGCTAAAAATAGAACGTAGGGGTAAAATGCAATTTTTGGCTTATATCTCAAAAACCAAAGCATTTAGAGCCAATCTGATGAGAGGTAGAAATTAATGATTTATGATAAAGTTAACTGTAAACAGCAAAAATGTTCATCAAAGTAAGATCTACAAAGTTCGATGACCAAAATTGTCAATTGTCCCCTTAAGGAGTTATTGCCCTTTAAAATCAATTTTTCACAATTTGTTCATTTGGTTTGCTTACTTTAAAAAATCTTCTCCTTTGAAACTGCTGAATCAATTTCAGCCAAACTTGGGCTGAATGAGTTTCAGAGTATCTGGTATAAATTTTGTATTTTATTTTCTTGTACGTCAAGAAACATAGCCACTATGGCTAAAATGGCACATAGGGGTGAAATGCATTTCTTTGATTTTGAAGAAAATATGACAGATACAAAGAACATTTCAATGGAAGTTTTAAGCCATTCATTAATATATATTGAAAAGCAAAAAAAATCATTAATGAAAGATTTAAGCAAAAAATTACAGGTGAGCAATTCAGGCTCTTGAGAGCCTCTTGTTACTTTTCTAGACACATTTAAAATGGCTTTTGGTATAGAAATTTAATTTTCATATTGAGAGAATATTTTTACATTGTAGTTTTATTCCTTTTTTATAGGCATACATCAGGGATTAATGGACACAGTAATGATGCCAACTGAAAAATCTGAGGTATCAGAATTTGTTTATGTAATGTTTTAAGAATATATAAATAAAACTAGATATTGGGTAAAAGTTTATAGAAACTGGAACCCAACAGCACACCCCAATAATTTTTTATAAAATGTGTATAGGTTCTTATACAGTTGGGTCAATATGCACAATTCATTATGCTCATGCCGTAGCGGCAGGGGCATTAAGTGTTACCCTTGTCCGTCTGTACATCCATACGTCTGTACATCCCAAAATTGGTTTCCATTCTCTAACTTGAGTTTGCCTCAACCAAATGTTATGAAACTTATACACAATGCTTATTACCACAAAATACAGAACAAGTTTGAATTTTGGTAGCGTCACTCTAACCGTTCTAGAGTTATGCCCCTTTATCAATGGAAAAATTTCAAAATTTTTAGTTTCTGTTCTCTAACTTAAATTTGCCTCAATCAAATGATATGAAACTTATACACAATGCTTATTACCACAAAACACAGATCAAGTTTGAATTTTGGTGGCGTCACTTTAACCGTTCTAGAGTTATGCTCCTTTATAAATGGAAAAATTGCAAAATTTTTAGTTTCTGTTCTCTAACTTAAGTTTGCCTCTACCAAATGATATGAAACTTATACACAATGCTTATTACCACAAAATAAAGATCAATTTGAATTTTGGTGGCATCACTTTAATCATTATCAAGTTATGCCCCTTTATAAATCGAAAAAATGGCAAAATTTGTAGTTTTCGTTCTGTAACTTAAGTTTGCCCCGACCAAACATTATGAAACCTTTACACAATACTTATTACCACAAAACTCAGATCAAGTACCATATTTGGTAGCGTTACTTTTATTGTTCTTGAGTTATGTCCCTTTATAATGTTGTATGCAAGCGGGGGCATCATCTGTGTCCATGGGGACACATTCTCCATTTTTTCAAGTAAGCAGTAATGGTTGCATTTTATTCAATTCCTCTGCCCATATTGTAAATTAGGTTATTTATGAAGGCTGACAAATGTGGTCAAATTTTTCAGGGTGTGAAGTGAGATAAAGAAACTTTTATGTTACCTATTGCTTTACATGCTACGACTATTATTTCTAAGACCTTCATCTTTGTTACTTCAGTTGTTATGGCAGAATTTAAAACACAAATTGTGAATTTGGAATTAAGCTTGTCCATTTATAAAACAAGGCATGGCATTTACTTGAACAAAAGAATCCTGATGAGTGATAGCTTGATATTTGTTTAGCCTGTCAAATACTATAAGAGTAGGTCAACTATATTTGGTGTATGGAATGATTTTAAAGTGTACATGTCTGCCAGGCAGGTATAATCTGACCTTGACCTCATTTTAACATTTAATTGGTCAATATTAATGTAATGTGTTTTAATCTGCTTTTCAATAACCATAAGCAAAAGGTTAACTATATTTGGTGTATGGTATATTGTAAGGTATACATGTCTGTCTGACAGGATTTATCTGACGACCTCATTGTAATGGATCTTTAAAAATGTTAAGTTTATGTGATACTTGTAGTGAAATCTTTTATCTTTAAGACTTTCAACACAAAATCAATGGTCAGTAAAGCAGGCGAGACATTTCAACATGTTCACACTTGTGTTATAGATAGTTTTGCATTGATGTAAATTGAGTTGACATTATTTCCTTTGGTTAATTTTCTTTATTGACTTATCAAATTTAAACATGTAGTATAAGCAAGTTTTCTAACTAAATTGTAGTGATGAATTGTAGAAGGCTTAAACAAATTTAGATTGTTCAGAAAACAACTTTTTCTAAAGTCTAGTGGTCAGTATAAGAAGTTGATTTTGATTGATTTATGAAGGAATTTGTGCTTGTTGTCCTCCAACATGATGACAAAGGGAAATAACTAAAATATGTTAATGGAAATCTATCTATTTGACTCAACTGGTGCAGCATGGGTAAAAGATGAAAATGATTTATTGTTCCAAATAAGGGCCTTTGATGGGCAGCATGACATTCACATTCAAAACATTACACTATGATTCCTTAAAAACATTTTCATATTTAAATGAGAAATTAATGTTCATTTAAGGAATGACTGTAATATTTTTTCTGTCTATGAAGAAATAACATCAAAAATGTGGTGCACACTACGCGGGTTATTTAAAAGTGTGCACCATTTTAGGCTATATAGACAGAAAAAATATTTCAGTCAGTCCTTATAATTCAATTCTAAATTCCATTTTTAAGGAGTAAAGCATGAAAAAAATGTTGCTGACGTCATGATCACATGACACAATTATGTCTATGAGCTGATAGACAAAAAACTTTTAGCCAATCAGAAGACGAGTTACATCCAAAATTAAATTATATATGGATATTAATCATGTACATATTCTTTCAGGCCGAATTAGTACCATAAAATCAGTCACACTAATCATCGTTATTAAGTACAAATGTATATTAATTCACATTTTGTCTAACATCTAGACATTCAATGATATAATTCCCTAAATATTGTAGGACAGATAAATTTTCATTAGTAAATAACCAAATAGAATATATTAATATATGTATATGAAAAAAATATTTCTTTTTCAGACCAAAGATCATTACAATGTAGCTTTAGTAGAGAGACTAATCAAAATCATCACATTGGCTAGTCAGAGTGGTAAGCTGAACTTCTTAGAATTAGGATATTTTAATTTATTTTTTGGTGTCCTGACTATCTTAATTGAGAGAAGCCATACATCAAAAAAATAGTTCAAAGTTATTTTTAATTTCACCTTAGATAGATAGCTAAGATGCAAGCAATTCAACATTCAGTTATTTCTAATCAAACTAAATGATATGATGTCAACTGTTAATGTTATAATCTGGTATCAATGATTTAACACAAGATATTTAAAAAAATGCAGTTAAAACATCCAATAAAGAAAACAAAGAGAAAAGGTTATAACAAAAACATAACAAAACAAAAACAAAAAAATTTAAAAAGAACCAAAAAAACAACAGCAAGAAAAACTGTCTAGATTGATTTAAAAATAAAATGTTCATCAGAAATAAAATATAGAAAGACAGTAATCCAACAACACAATAAAACAAAAAAGGACATCTAGAGGATAACATACAATTGAAGCAATCAGCAAGTATCAATTCCATATGTCAATCTCTTAATTGCCCAAGTCTAGAAAAGTTTTGGTTAGATTTACACAGCAAGAATTGCATACTTGTTTTATACGTAAAACAGGTGTTTTCCATGTGTTATATTACTGCTACTTTCCATATGTAAAACCTATGTTGTACTTTTTGCTGTTTACCACAAATCTGCAATAGTTTATGTGAAACAACAGCCCTAAAAATCTTTTTAGTATGGCCTTATATGTATACTTATTTGTGATATTTTTTTTGAAAGAGTGATTTTCATAGAATTATTTGATTTATGTTTTTATACGCCCGTTTACGGGACGTATTATGGTATACCGTTGTCTGTCTGTCCGTCCGTCCGTCCGTCTGTCCGTCCGTCTGTCCGTCGTCAACATGTCGGACATTAACTCAAAAATGCTTTCACCAATTTGCATAAAACTTTGGTGAATTGTTTATATCTATTGACGTGAGCTCCCTTTTGTTTTTTTATAAAATTTAGATTTTAAGTTTCCGAGTTATGGGGTTTTATTCATTAAAAAAAGGGGGATTTTCCAGTTTTCGGACAATAAGTCAAGAATGCTTTCACCAACTTGCAAGAAATTGTGGTGAATTGTTTATATCTATTGACATGAGCTCCCTTTTGATTTTTATAAATTTTAGATTTTATGTTTTCGAGTTACAGGGTTTTATTCATAAAAAAAGGGGGGATTTTCCAGTTTTCGGACTAAAAATCAAAAATGCTTTCAGCAATTCTTATGAAACTTTGGTGAATTGTTTGTATGTATTGATGTAAGCTCCCTTTAGATTTTTATAAATTTTACATTTTACATTTCTGAGTTATGGGGTTTTATTCATTAAAAAAAGGGGTGATTTTCCAGTTTTCTGACAATAACTCAAAAATGCTGTCACCAATTCTCATGAAACTTTGGTGAATTGTTTATATCTATTGATGTAAGCTCCCTTTTTTATTTTCATAAATTTCTGATATGACATTGAGAATTAATTGAACTTTATTTGTTTATAATCTGACAACAAATATACTAAGTATTGCACAACAGCAAGAAATATTTAATTGAATATAAATTCAATTCATATAACCAATTTCAAGTTCTTTGACTACATTTATTCAGAAACCTATAATATGTCAAATATTTAATTACAATCCAAATTCATACCTGAATCAAGCTTGAATATTGTGTCCATTTTTGCCCCAACTGTTCAGGGTTGGACCTCTGCGGGCATATCTAGCTGCGCTCAGCGAAGCAGTTTATTGATAACAAGTGTCATTATTTTTATGACTTTTATAATGTAGTTGTTTTTCAACTGACAGAACAGGCTAAATCTGTTGATTTGGTGTGATAGGAAATTCCTGCATACATACATGTGTAATGTTATTAGAATTTTGATATGTAAGATATATCCAATTATCACCCTACACAAAATTTGTATTATAATTTCTCTAATTCTTCGTCAATTTATCCCTTTCTGCACCCATTGTATAAAAAAATTTAATCAACGTGTGGTTCGTTTGATCTCAGTTCTTCATTGGTTAAAATCCTATTATGACATCGAATTTTCTTGCTTTCCTCTGAACTTCCTATTGTGACGTCATGAAAAAAGGCGACCATGCCTGATGACGTCACATAGAAAGAACACATTTTTTTTTCAGATTATGGAAAAGAGGGAATAAGTTTGCATGCATATTGTTTGAAAATCATTAGAGAAACAGATTCCACAACCAAATCTCGTGTAATACAATATTTATCCACTCTCGACAGTTAAATTTTAAATATTTAAAACACTCGGCAAGCCTCGCGTTTTAAATTTGACTGTCTCGAGTGGATAAATATTGTATCACACTCGATGCAGTGGTAGAATCTATATAAACATAACAACAGTTTTCAAATTGTTATCCATGTATAATTTGTTGTTGCAGGAAATAAAGTGAGATTATCAACATTAGAACTAACTATCAAACTTTTGAAACAGCTAGTCTATATGAGTGGGAAATCATATCTACAAGACCGACACCTAGCCAGCATTGAAAATGCCAGGGAGTGTTGTACACAACTACTCAGGAATTTTTATAAGGTTATTTATTTATGATTTTAAAACTTTAATTCAAGTAATTTAGTAAAATTGTCCTTCGAATGTTCAATTTGCAAGATCTTATTAATTTTTATTAGTCAAGCTGTTGGTGGTGTATAGATTTAACTGGAATGTAGTCTTATAAGGTGAACAGTGAAACATAGACAATTAATACATGCTTTTGCATAGAATTTGTAGTAAATATTTTATGCATGTAACATAGCTTTAGGACTGGAACATATTACAAGCAGGGATTGTATTTATGTAAGTTTTTATCATTCAAAATTTGCACATTTACAACTGTGTAGTATACATATGTAAATGAAATCTACTTAAAGTTGATTTGTGGCAATTGATTGGTTCTTCTCATTCTCAGTTTTGGCATACTACTAGATCTTCAGGACATGCATCCAAATAAAAAAAATGTAGGACACCCATGCTCATGTTCAAGATAGAGACAGCTGAACTATCTGTGTAATTTTAATAAACAATTCCTGCATGGTGTGTTTGAGTTCATAAATGAATTAATTTTCATTAAAGTTTTATTGCTATAGTGATTTCTCATTGTGATGCAATAACATTCTAACATTGAACAATGAGAAATTGTCTTGTATCAATCAACAGTGCTTGACTCATGTTGAATGGTTTAAAACATCAAAGTAAAGTGTCTAGACTTTCAGAAACATCAACATGTGCTTTTCCAATAATCTCTGAAAAGATCTGTTTCATCATGTGCAAGAGCAACAAATTGTACTACACCAGTATTTTTTGTTAATTTATAAATATTTATTCAGTTTGTTAGCATTGGAAATATTTTTTCAAACAGTATTTTTCATTATATTCATATATTTGCATCCGTTCGTCTGTCCCGCTTCAGGTTAAAGTTTTTGGTCAAGGTAGATTTTGATGAAGTTGAAGTCCAATCAACTTGAAACTTAGTACAAATGTTCCTTATGATATGATCTTCCTAATTTTAATGCCAAATTAAGAGTTTTGACCCAATTTCACGGTTCACTGAACATAGAAAATGATAGTGCGAGTGGGGCATCCATGTACTATGGACACATTCTTGTTTATCAATAATTCACTTTCTGTATTGTGGGACACACAAAAATCATGATTTGAAAGAAAAAGAAGTGTGCAGTTTGATACTATAATTCAATTTAGAGAAATTGGAGTAATATTTGATTTCATTATATTAACATGTGGAAACATGCCTATAAGGTTAAACCAATCAAATTCTAGTTAAAGACACTAAAAGGTTATGACTTTCTAAGCAGAGAAAATTTTCCCATCTTAACTTGATTAATATAAAAGATATCTAACTCCTGTTTCAGACAGCTTCGGTAAGAATCTTTTTTATGCATCTGTCATAAAATACTCTGTATGTTATACTCATCAGTTAACAATTGTAAAATAAGTAACCCCCAAAAAACAGTTTTCTGGTGCATTGAAATAAAAACAGATAACTTGAACACAATTTGAACTATTTCTTCAAATGTTTTTTTTTAAGAAGTAATTTCTTTTTCTTTTATACAACAAAAGTCTATCTTAAAAATTGATATTATTAAGAATGTATGAATATCTGTTGAGATAATAATCATGAAAAGAAAAAAAGAAGACATAAAACAAATTAAAAATTTTATGTGAATACACTTTTTTGGAAGATTTAAAACTGTACAAATGACCAGTTGCAGAATGAAATGAGTTAATTTTACTGCATGGTTTTGCTTAAAACATCCATCCATTTCTGTCATCTTCAATGATATAAAGTTTGATGTCTAAATGGTTTTTCAGAAAATTCTTTAATTACTGTATATTTATATAAACAGACACACCTTACATTTTCATATCTAATCTACATGCATGCTAATTAAGACATGTAACTTCTGGATTCATTGAAGTAAAATATTGATACATGTAGTACAGTTTCAGTGGTCTGATTTTAAATGTTTGATGGACTCATAATACCTTATATCCAATGACAGTCAAGGGTATAACTTAAACAAGTTATTACAGAAAATAACAGGCATACTGTTATTGTGGGGATTCTGACAGAGTTATCTCTTCCTGTCATGAATTGTGTTGAAATAACAAGGTTACAACATTTCTTTATTGTACAAAGAAATGTTGTCTGTAATAACACCTTTCAGTTATCACAGACATTTTCGTCTGGTGAAATGCAAATATGGTCAGATACTTTCAAATTTTCCGCTGATTGTTTTGTTGTTAAGATCTCATGTGATTTCAACATGTTTACATTATTATTTTTCCCATTTTGGGTGAAACAACGTAGGCACAGTGATTACTAGTTTGTTGTATTTTGATATAATTTTGTCACGAATAAATTTTTTTATAGCGGAATTGATTTAATATTTTTACATATTTGGGTTTGTTTTAGCAATTCGTCAATGATACCTTACGATTAAATGGTTATAAAATCTACTGCACGTTTAGGATAAGTCACTGCACAGATGTTTACAAACAAGTTGGTCTCAAGCCTGAAGTAACAACATGCTTGTTATTACACTTTCAATGATTTTTTTGGGGGAAGACAACTTCAAACTGTAATAACAAGCATCTTGTTATTTTTGGCTTGATATTTCTTATTTGTAAACATGTTTTCAGTTTTGTCCTCAATGCACAGTGGATTCTATAACTGAAATTGATTTTTGCCAGGTTTTTGATAGTTTCTATTTAATTTATTCATATCATTGTCAGAGACTGTATATTAACCTCTAGATGTCTTTTGGTTATTTTTGTCATTTTGACACTTTGGTGTTTTTTTACTGTGATTCAGTATAATGGTATACCAGTTATTACCCTTGTATGATCTCATATCTGTAATACCATAAACTGTCAACATTTTATAAACAATTTTCTTATTGACATATTCACATGCAATAAATGTTAATATTAAACCTCACACTAAAATATTATGAATGTTTTGTAAAAAAAAATCAAAACATCACAAACAATGAGCTTTATTGTCATTATCCTAAGTCTGACAAAAGGATTTAAAGATGAATCCATCTATTGTTCTTGTGCTTCATACAGTTAAAAGATGTAACTATTTTTATGTAATGTTACACAATCTTTGAAAAATGAAATGTATTACATAAATTACAAATGGCTAAAAATAGATATTTATCAAATCATGAGTCTTCAAAATTATTTTGTACTAACATAATGTTTTTGGCTTTTCATTTCATGAATGAAATATTTCTTTGTCTCCATTTGAATTTTAAATGAAGTAAAATGATTATGCAATTGTGTATTAGCCATATTGACATAAACTATATATATTGTCTTGCCTATAACAAATGTGTTACTGTTCCAGCCTTACCAGTACCTAATATGAAGTGTTTTGATTGTGTCCATTTCAGAAAAAAGTATTTTGTGTATCCCCCACATAAAACGACATGTTTTTTTACCTGTCCAATGGTCTGTCCATCATAAACAAAAATTTGATTCTGAAATTATATGATTTGTAGTTTGCAATCTTGTTTAAATTTTTTGAACAGATAAATTTATGGGGTTTCTGATCACAAAACTTGGACTTTTCCATTTCTGCATATGGAGAAGTTTGTCATTGCAAAATCTCCTATAGCTGGGTGAAAAGAATTGCCTGTCACACTTTGGGTATCTAGATAATATATAAATCACAGCTTGACCAAATACTATGAAGTCTTATACAGTTATATTGACCACAAGATACAGCCCAAGTTTATTAGTCCCTGACCGACGAAGTCGAAGGGGACTTTAGGTTTGCACTCCGTCCATCTGTCTGTCCATCTGTCAGTCCGGCAAATCAGTTTTCCAGACTTTTTTTCTTCGTGCTTGAAGATATTGATTTGATATTTGGTTTCTTGATTTATCATGACAAGTTACAGGTCAAGTTCAATTTTCACGATGTTAGCTTTTCTCTTTGTTCAGTTAAAACCCTTTCCCTAGAATTAAATTTTTGATGAAATTCTTATTAATTAGTAGATTTCTGTTCAAAGGCAATTAACTCATTTTTTAAAAGACAAAATGACATTTTGGATTTTTTTCCTTTTCTTTGGTAAATTGTTTGAAGAATTTAGTGGTAGTTTTGTTTGTCATTCTTGAAGATATTGATTTGATAATTAGTATATAGTTTTATCATGACAAGTTACAGATCAAGTTGGAATTTTGTTCCAGTCTGATAATTTTGTGCAGAGTTATGGTCTTTGGACATAGAAAATTCACTTAAATAATCAGTTTTCAACATTTTTTTTTCGTCATGCTTGAAGATTTTGACTTGATATTTTTATGTAGTTTACACCATGACAAGTTATAGATCAAGTTAGAATTTCCTTCCATTACAATGAATTTGTAACCAGTAGGGGACTATGTATTGCCATGCAATACTCACAGAATGCTTGTTATTTATTGTTTTGACATTCGTTGTGGTCCAAGCTTGGATATATAATTGTGACTTTTTATATGTCTTGATAAAAAGGATGCAGAATTGCATTTTGAATTGATGATATTTAATTTTAATCTTATTTCTTTGACCAACTTTATTTTATTTTTCAGAGTGAAGAAATGTTTTTAGACATGTTTGAAGATGAATATAGAGAAATGAAGGTAAAATAGAATTTATTTATTTTTCAATTAAATTCATATGATACTTCAAATTAAGGTGGTACCAAACACCTTGACTAAAAATAATTTGGCTCATTTAATTTTCATAAAATGTTGACAAAATATTTACTTTGACCCTTTGACAAAAATACAAAAATTACAAAAAATTTGAACCACACACTATCTGAAAAATATCATTGGATATATAGCAGTTTGACAAACACTAATTTTGATTTTTAAAGAGTTATCTCCCTTTAGTGTTATATACCACTTTAATAAAAAAGTTGAAAATGTTTAAATACTTAAATGGATAAGTTTTACTATAAAACATGTGTACATGAACTTTCTATTAAAACAAAATCCTTTGTCTTATCAAAATCTTCAGAAATGTACCGCTATTGAATTACTATTGTCATCCTGTACATTAATTGGCCAATAGCTTTTTCCTATGCAGAGATCTTAACAACGAGAGCTCTCGATAGAATTTCAGCAACCACACTGCGCAAATGCGAGGAAAAACCTTGATTAAAAGAATGTAAGCAAACGTGCACTGGAAGGTACTTAGTGTTAATTGAATCGAAAAGAAGAATTAAATACACCAAATAATTGAACTGTTATGACATAAAAATTTTAGGTTAACAAATAGAAACGTATGGAAAATATATTAAAAAAAAGTAAACATCACTTTTGCATGTCTATCATCTCACTTATTTTTCACGTGCTTTACGAGTCTGTGTTTTGTTGATGGATTGTTTATTAAGGTCAGGTTCGGTAAACTTTGGCAATAAAACACGAGAGTTCATTTGCAGGGAAAGATTTCACTAAATGAAATATTTTTGTCGATTATTTGTTATGTATTCGTGATAATTGTAAAAAATTATGCATAGAGAACTTAGTTTCGTATATATACATGCATCGGTTCTGACAATGATTTCCGTAACATTATTATTTCAAGACACTCATTTCATATGACTTTAATGGTAAAGCATTTTTTCAAACATCTTGTTCTCTTGAATATGAAATTTATTAAGATTTTTTTGTGACAAAATGTTAATAAATATATATCTTAAAACTTATCCCAATGGACGAAAAATATTCACTAAAGTCAAGAAGATTCAATACTTTTTTTATTCTATCTTGCTTTTTGTCTACATGGTAATCATATATCAGTGGTAGTTGTTTTTACAGCTGATACCAGTATTTGAAAATTTAGACAATAATGTTGAGTTCTTATACACTCATAATTACTTATTGGTAATAAAAATTTTACTTCAGTTTTTAAGGGAAGAACTAATTGACCAATCTTGTATTACAGAACCGTCCTTTGAATGTTGAATATTTGACCATGGATGCCTCCATACTGTTACCCCCAACTGGTACCCCTCTGACAGGGATAGCTTTTTCCAAACGATTACCATGTGGAGAGGTTGAAAGAGCCAGAAGGGTGAGTAAGAGTAAGGGATATTTTTATCCAGAATTAATAGTGACGTATGATGCAGGTTTAGTTTCTTAAATTTTGGACTAAAAGAAAATATGTGTATTGGTATAGGTCAAATGTTCAAATAGAATTTACATGAAGCCCATAACTTCAGAAAAGGCTTTCTTTTTCAATCATCACAAAGAGTAGGAAGGATTCTGCTGACTAATGGTAGGAGTCTAACAGTTATGATTTGGTTGATTATTGTTAAAATGTTTACAAAAATAATTTTAACAGTGTTCTGTGTTCTTTTACTGGCAGAAGCATCTGAATTTAGTTCTTATAAATATAATAATAAACAAACAGACCCATAATTTGTTTTTTTTTTAGTTTTTATGCCCCTGCCATTGCTGAGGGGGCATTAAGTTTTACCCTTGTCCGTCTGTACGTCCGTCCGTACGTCTAGAAATTGGTTTCAGTAACTTTAGTTTGCCTCAACCAAATGTTATAAAACTTATACACAATGCTTATTACCACAAAACACAGATCAAATTTGAATTTTGGTGGCATCACTTTTACCTTTCTAGAGTTATGCCCCTTTACAAATGGAAAAATTGCTGAATTTTTCACTCATTCTCTAACTTAAGTTTGCCTCAACCAAATATTATGAAACTTATACACAATGCTTATTACTACAAAACACAGATCAAGTTTGAATTTTGGTGGTGTCACTTAAACCGTTCTAGAGTTATGTCCCTTTACAAATGGAAAAATTGCTGAATTTTTTGTTTCCATTCCCTTAAGTTTGCCTCAACCAAATGTTATGAAACTTATTCACAATGCTTATTACCACAAAACTCAGATCAAGTACGAATTTGGGTAGCGTCACTTTTATCCTTCTTGAGTTATGACCCTATATAATGTTATATGCAAGCGGGGGCATCATCTGTGTCCCATTGACACATTCCCCATTTATTTATAAGTATTTTCACATCATTACCACGTGTTTAGTTATTTAAGTCCAGACAAAAGAAAAACATGACTGATTCAGAATACTTAAAGGGCAACATGTTTGTGGTTAGTTTTAAATGTCTTCCTCAAAGGTTTATAAATTCATGGTGAATCACCATGAAAAAATTATTAAAATTTCCATTGTATATAAGAAATGAAAGATTTCAGGAGTTATGACAGTAGACTTGAAAATTTAGATCACTCTTTTGTTATTGTGACATTGTTAAAGTACTAAAAAAAACCTATATTCTGACCCATACTTAAACTTGAAAAGTTTATGCATCTTGAGTTACTTGTTCAAAATCTGTGAATGTTGAATTATTTTTGAGTCATTTTATGCCTTTTAATTGCATTTTACATTACATTGTAGTTCTTTAAATAAATTCTGATTTTTAAAAGATTTTCTTTTACCAAGACAATCATATGAAAATAGGTTGATGTGGTATGATTTCCGATGAGGCAACTCTCAACCAGAGATCAAATGAATTAGAAGTATAAATAGAGATCTAATAGGTGAAGGCTTTTTCAGTCAGTTTAAAGTTTCATCATATCAAGAAAGTAATTTGAAAAAGAAATTTTTCATTTGTTGTCAAACAGGTTAAATCATATGACCTCTTCCTGCATTGCAAAAAAACCATGATATTATTTTTAAATAGGTTCAATCATTAGGATTCAAATATTAAATTTAGAGTTATTCCCCTTAGACTGTAGAAATCCAAGAAAGGTTATTATCAGGTTGTAATATAATCTTGCAGAGGGCAATTTAAATGTGAACAATGATTTAATTTATTTTATATGGTTTTGAAAGGTATGCAGAATTTATAAGTATTCATATTTAATTCAACATAAGTATTCTGAGATTAACTCCAGGAACATTCCAAGTTACATGAGGGTGTGGCTGGGGGGATATAGAATAGAGAATAATGGGCAAAAAATATAAAGAATAGAGAAAAATGGACCAAAAAAATAAAGAATAGAGAATAATGAGGTGCTAAAATATAAGGCATAAAGAATAATGGGCAAAACGTATAAAGAATAGAGAAAAATGGCCTAAAAAATTAATGAAGACAAAAATGAAGGACCCTACATCCAGACCCTCTTACATCATTGTTATGACAGGAGCAAAGGAAAAGGTTTTTGTTCAGAGCATATTGGAGACATCAGAGATTTGGATGCACTTGCTTGGATTTCAGAAACAATTCACACAATTGTCACTGACGAAATATCTGGAAGTTCAAGGTTACACCTTATATATTATTGCAATCATGTCAGAAAAAGTTCAAAGCAGGTCTTGATTATTTGCAGCTGATTTACTAATGAATTAAGAAGCTCAAAAAGTTAAATAAAACAAGCAAGTTCAACCATCCTTGAAATATTTAAAGTTAAAACTTAGATGAACTATTGACTAGGAGTTCAATCTGATTTGAATGGTTACTTCCTTCTTCATTTCCAAGATAATCTTCTTTCTGATATAAGGCCTTTTGACACTATCTCAAAATACCTTAAAAAAATAATTTATGGCAGAGAACTTACTACCTTATAGTTATACAATTGGAGTGTGTTGTTTATTTCATGTAATATTATCATTATGATCATGGATGTTTTTTTCATTTGATTTAAATGCCATACTAATAAAAATGTCAGATTGCTTTGCTATGCAGCCTTTTGTATTTTACACAATAAGTAGCATATTATAAGTGACTCATTATTGAACTAACTTATCTTAATCATTAAAAGAAAAACATTTAATAAACCACCCATAAGCCTGATATATTGCGTAATTACTCAACACAATGTAATACCAGTAGAAGATATTGATCTATCTAGAGTTTTCTGTTACGCTGTAGTATTGTACCTAAATGTACCTACAATGGATTTATTCTGTGAATTCCTGAAGTTGTTTACTTTTTTAGATGTAACCTGTACTGCAAAAATAATACTGTAAATTCAGAAATTTTGCAATGTTTTTACTATTATACTAAATATGACAAGATAAGTCTCGCAAAAATTAGAACTTATTTTAAATTTTGAATGTATATTTGTATGCATCATTTCCTGAAATTGCAATTTTACAGGACTAAAAGTTTTGTCTATCATTCAACAATTGTATTAATAACATCTTGCCAAATTTTCTGAATTAACAGTATTTTTATGCCCCTTGCCGTAGTGGAGCGAGCATTAAGTGTTATCCTTGTCTGTCCCGTCTGTCTGTACGTCCCCAAAATTGGTTTCCGTTCTCTAACTTTAATTTGCCTCAACAAAATGTTATTAAACTTGTACACAATGTTTATTACCACAAAACACAAATCAAGTTCGAAATGTGTTGAATCCTGCATCTGTATGTGGAAGTTGACTTGTGCATATTTACAAGCAGGGGCATCTGTGGCCCATAGACACATTCTTCATTTATTTCTCTTGAATGAAATTCCCAACTACTGAGTCTTAATGCATGCACTTGATAACCCATGAGCTTTTTAGACTTGCGTTTCGACAAATAAATGTAGTAAAATTGAAAATATGTTGATAACTGAACAACTGGATTCCTAATATATAAAAAAACGACCATATAATTATAATAACACAGTTATTTTGATACAGATTTGAAAAAAATACAGGAAAGGGACTTATTCATGAGTAAAGAACTGGTAGGACATTATTTAAGAGTTGAATGCTTCTTTTTGTAATTTTATTGGGGTGTAAAAGTGTTAACCTTAGCACATTTTGTATGAAGCGCATACTAAAAATGTTCACAGGATCAATACTTTTATACCCCTATAATTACAAAAAGAAGCATTCAATTCTCATTAATGCATGTTTATGCTACAATCATGAAATTACTAGTTATATCATATGTTTCTTTTGTTTTCCTATGCATTGTTGTGATGTTGACATGGGAAGCATAGTGCTGTCATGAATGTTTCATTTTATTGGAGAAAAGTAGCCAGTCAAAAGTATGGATCATACATGTAATGTAATAATTAACAAATGAAGAAACCCTAGAGACAAACTTATTCTGTGACAAATATTCATTAGGATGCTTTATTCTTGCTAATTGGCAGTTATTACCAGTCTCTGTGGAACTCGTGGAAATAATGAAGAGGGGAAAAACCTACTGATAGGAAACAAACATACAACATTGTAGAAAAGAAAACCTACTGATAGGAAACAAACATACAACATTGTAGAAAAGAAAACCTACTGATAGGAAACAAACATACAACATTGTAGAAAAGAAAACCTACTGATAGGAAAAAACATACAACATTGTAGAAAAAAGGCTGATTGAAGTGTTGATAAATTATATATAATACTAACTACTGTGATGTCACTTTGATATCAATATGTTTAGATATTTTCGGTGACCGAGTGGTCTAAGTAGTTAATCTACTGTATCACTAGCCTGTCAATACTGAGGTTGTGAGTTTGAACCCAACCTCTGTGGACGAGTAGTCTAAGTAGTTAATCTACTGTATCACTAGCCTGTCAATACTGAGGTTGTGAGTTTGAACCCAACCTCTGTGGACGAGTAGTCTAAGTAGTTAATCTACTGTATCACTAGCCTGTCAACACTGAGGTTGTGAGTTTGAACCCAACCTCTGTGGACGAGTAGTCTAAGTAGTTAATCTACTGTATCACTAGCCTGTCAATACTGAGGTTGTGAGTTTGAACCCCCACATTTGGTAGTTGTGTTCAACTCCAATCTCAATTGATTAGGATTGTTAGTTTTCCTGCCAAAGGTCAGTGGTTCAGCTTCCTCCACCAATAAAAACTGACTGCCAAGACATAGCCAATAGTGCTTGAAGTTTGAAGTGGTATTAAACACCAAAAATCAATCAATCAATATTGTACTTTTACTTTTGCCATATTGTTTCTCTAGAAATAGAGAAATTTTTGTTTACAAGAGTGAACTTTATAACAAGAAATGGCTGAATATCAATAAATGGAAGAAAAATGCAAATGATGCACACACAAAAATTGTAATGATATATTTTCTGAGATCAACCAAGCAAAAGATC